CTACCTGGCCAGTAGAGAGACTGGAGCTTAATTTACACCTGTCAGTTTGATAATAAAACATACCTTTATCAAGTTGACTTTACTGTTTTATTCTTTTTTTTCCGTAAATTTTAGTCTATTAAGCCTCAAATTCCACATTGACATTAGGGAGATTGAATCTATTGTAGTTCCTAAGGCACCTGTGCACACACAATTGACTGGACTTGTAAACAAAGATGTGATGTGATACGATAAACATCATCTATGCTGCTACACTGTAAACGGTGGCTTGAGGAGAAAGTGAATGTACCCCAAGATGCATGCTTGTATGCAACACTAATTGATCCATCAGAATTACAATATATGCATTTGGAAATAGATTGACGGATAATCTTACTTTAAATACCCAAGATGACAGAAATGAAACATACCTTATAGCAAAATCACCATTGAAGCATATCATGTAGCATAATTCCATCTACTACTCTCATACGGCTACTACTGTAGGGGGAAAAACTGTCCCGTTCGTTCAAATAATCTTGACTTTTACCCAGTATATTGCCAAAACTCAGAAAACAAAGCTGCCCCATACTGCGTTCGATAGAACAGCTTATAAAGATTACAGCAACAAAAAAACCTTATGGCTGGACTATATTTTAATTCCAGTATAACCAGCTAAAGTGAGACGTAGCAAAAATATTAGGTGGGTAATTCTAGATGATATAAAGTGGTTGATATCTTTACTTCCAATAAACGTATCGAAGAAATCTAAAAAACTACCCGCGGTATGCTCAGGATATTTAATATCCCAGGAGCATTCTAAAAGTATAAAAGAAGCTAGTTTTTTCATATTTCTTTCTTTATTTCTTTGCTTTCTTATTTTTTTTCAAAACTTTCATTATGCCTGCTCGTTTAACACAAGATTTGCGCAACACTCTTCAATCTTTGCTCCAACGTGGTCTTTCGTTCTCAAAGATAAGAAATTTGTATCCAGGAGTGGGTAACTCTACTCTTACAAGGCTCAGAAAACTATATTGCCCTGACCCAACTAGACCTCTTGGCGGAAGACCGAAAAAACTTGGTGCTAAAACTATGTCCCTAGTGTCAAGAGGACTTCGATCAGGTGCTTTAGATAATCCCCGAGCAGCACAAGAAATTTTAAGATCGATGGGCCATGATATGTCAATTAATGGCATCCGCAAGTCATTGAGACGAAATGGACTTAAATCTCGTAGAAAAGTAAAGACCAATTTTGTTAGCAAGACAAACAAGCGGCTTCGATTGGCGTGGGCTAAAAAGCATAGGCATCTTACTATTGCTGATTGGCGTCGTTGGGTGTCTTCGGATGAAACAAGAATAAACCTTTGGGGCTCAGATGGTAATTCTTTTTACTGGACGAATGGTGGCCGAATCATGCAGTCGTATCAAGTCAAGTCTCAGTTGCAGGGAAATGACGGTGGGGTCATGTTCTGGAGTTGTATAACAGCGGAGGGGTCTGGTTATGGTACTACCATTATTGAAGACGCAATAAACTCGGGCTTGTATGTCGATATTTCGAAGACATCATTGAACGACACTCTTGAGCACTTTGGGAAGACACCATCTGATGTGCGATTTCAACAAGACAGAGCAACACCGCATACATCGGGCATTACTAAACAATAGTTCACCGACAATGGGTTTAACATAGACGAAATCATGGATTGGCCACCCCAAAGTCCCGATCTTAATCCCATTGAACATGTCTGGCATCTCCTAAAGCTTCGACTTAATAAGTATCCCACTAGGCCCTCTACAAAAGAAGAATTAGAGCGGCGTATTAACATTCAGTGGTAAAAAATAACAGAAAAAGAGTGCCAGAAATATATTGATAGTATGCCTGCCCGAATCAAGGCTGTCATCAAGAGCAAAGGTGGTTCAACTCACTATTAATGATTTTATAATAAAATGTACATTTTTCTATATTTATTTTTTAACCAATAAAATCATTGGATTTTAGTTTTTGAAAAAGTTATAATTACGTATAGATAGCAATACTTTCTCTCATTCAAACGATATATATTTCGACTTTGTATACAAAGAAATGACCAAAAACTTGTGCAAAAAGACAAAATTTTAAACGAACGGGACAGTTTTTCCCCCTACAGTAGATCTAATGGGGCCCTATCCATTAGTTCCCATCACCCGGAATCCATTATTATAAATATTCACGTTATATCCACCATAATAAACGGTACTTTTTATGCTGATCTCATTCACATTTGATCCTTGATAAATCACTGATTGTATATACTGTCTATATTTCGTTATTCTAAACACCAGCCGTTATTTATGTTATCTAGTTTATATCTCTTATCTGGCTGCAGTACAGTAGCTGCCAGTGGTTCCATTATTCTCTATGTTATTTTTGGTTTATTTTTTTTTGATCTGATGGATTAAGAATGGTATTTCAATACATGGTTTGCTAACCATGCGTAAAAAATAGCTCGTTATTGTTGTGTATGTATTTTTTTTAGGTTTATTTATATTATAGCACATTACAATACCCCTGAAATTTACTTTGATATCTGTCATCCTTTATTTTTAGAATATTTTACCCTTGCTGTCATCATGCTAATACCATTATTATGTATGCTTATCTGCTGATGGTAGCATGGCTTGATTGATATGTCTGCAATGAAATTGGGTTTAAGGGATTTCACGAAAAAAAAAAATAAAGCAGTAGTTTTAAAATACAATAGAAATCAACTGTATTTTATTTGTGTATAAAATGAACTGAAGATCTTGGAATTGAGTAAAAAAAAGAAGAGTATTTATACATTTGCAACTAGCTTGTAGGATGAGTGATGATAGAGAGCAATAGGTGCTGCCATTGCGATATCTGGCAAATGGTGTTGATGTTTGATTTAAAGAGGTGATCAATGTAAGAGCACTGGCCACAAAGGTCAATTAAAGTATTCTTGATGGGCTTGGATGAGCTATCCTCATAGCATGATTTAATGTAATCTTGACAGTTTAAGACGCGACGTTTGTTATTGAAGTGTAGAACCCTTTTTCTGGTATTGTTCAACTACGCGCTGATGCCATAGTTGAAATACATGTGAGTGTTTGGCAGTCGTGTCTGGTCTTCATTTACACATGCAAACGTTAAACGGAGCTTCAATTTATATTGTTCTGAATGATGATCCATGGGACTCCAAAACCTATCGACCTTAAATTTACGCGTTTCTTGATAGTAAACACCCCTTTAAGCTTATACAAAGCTTGCAAGAATTGCAAGAAAAATACAATGGTATTTGTTTCAAGTCTCTGGTATACGTTGTTCATCTGATATTTGATAAGTTAACTTTTGCGATTCTTTCACTGTTTTCTAAAGATTAATCAGTATCTGTCATCAAAACATTTTGTTAAGCATTACTAAACATTGTAGACCAAAACATTTTCTATCGAACGAGCTATTGCCCGAAGCTCTGGCATGACTCTATCATGAAATATTGACAATCTTGTCCTGACCAAAAAATCGTCACCAGATTTTTTGCTTGCTATATCACACGTAGATTTTGAACAAAAATCCATGATTTTGCAGGATACCCTTTTTTGGCCGTATCTTGACAAGTACTCATTCAATTCGCACAAAACAAAGACCATTCGATAGCCCTACGTTATATCCATCATAATATAAGTGTTTCAAGTACCAGGTGTACGTTTCCTTCATAAATTTGCTCAGAATCATATATTTTATGAGCTACAAGCAGGGGATATTCAACTTTTTTTTTTATTTATCTATAATAACCATACCATTGAATAGAGAATTGAAAAAGAAACAGAAGCTTTTAAGTTTGAAGCTCTCGTTCACAGTAAAATTCAGAGATATAGCCCTTTGAAAATCGGTCATTTTGAACATTTTCCGTCATTACTCATTCGCATTACTTTCCATAACCCCACATCAAACATGCCTAGTCAAAAAAAAAAGCTTCTTGTACAACTTTCACTAAACACACCTCTCACATTCATACAGTAATTTAAAAAGTTTTACTAGCAGCATCTATTCAAAATTAACTATTTTCTAAAATCTCTTTTTTTCTCAACAACCAGACTACCTACGCAAATTTCAATTGCACCATCGTTTAAAGGGCAGCAAATTGGTATAGGAATATACTAGTCTCAGGGCTCTAGCATCAATATTTCAAAAATTGATTTTCGAATGATCCTTTGTTCAAAGCTGCGAAATTGAGTATACCGTAGTACATCCATAGAATCGGCTGGACATATAAGCACAGACGTAGCGTGACACAACCAGGAAATAAAGCAGCCTCCAATTTTTAACAAGAAGTGTGTAAAGTGTCATTGTTGCTGATTATTAATTAAACAAACGATAATAGCTAATATGTTGGTTTCTGCATATGGATTTACAGTTGCCGAAACGTTCATGTTAAAAATATTGCAAGGCAGACGGATTTGAAAATATCTGTAGTAATCATGTCATGGTCAATGTTTGAATGCAATTTCATTGAGGTTTGTTTATGACAGCTTGCAGCTATCAGCTAGATGTAATTTCCTGAGACTCTCGTATTCTGCCTCCTGCCGCCTGTCATATTTGCTGAATCACTTTGCTTGTATTGCATCAAGCATATATGTTGACCTGGGAAAGAGCTTGCTGTTGCAAGCACGCTGCATTTCAGGCAGGACGTGGGTTGCCTTTTTCTTTCAAACAATCAATCATTGGGCAGTAATAGCAATGGCTAATTGCGAGCAGCAGCGTACCAAATACTATACCCCTGATTGGCATCTCTTGTGGAAGCCAGTGCCACGTAGTCTGAGGGTGTATTTCTCACAGGCACTATCCATCCGCACAAATCAATGACTCATTCATCCCACATGCACCAGGAACCAAAGAGTGATTGACAGATATCGCACTCCTCTTGTTCGGAGGTGAAAAGAATTTGCATACAAAAACTACAAATTGCGCGCCTCACACCTATTTTTCTTTGTTTATTTTACATTTACAGCAGCAAAGAAGGATGTCGAGCGAACCTATTAGTGTTTTATTTGTATGCTTGGGTAAGCATCGACATAGTCAAATAGAAAGAGGGGAAGAGGGGAAGAGGGGAAGAGGGGAAGGCATTGTGCCTAATGTGAAATATGCATTCTCGTAGGCAACATTTGCCGTTCTCCTATGGCCGAAGCTGTCTTTGCTCACATCGTAAAACAGCACAACCTTCAAGACAAAATCACCAAGATAGATTCTGCTGGTACTGCTTCTTATCATGTAAGTGATTGTGGATGGACGAAGGAGGGCATTGCAGTTTTGACAGATTGCACAGGTGGGCAGTGTTCCCGATAGCCGTAGTTCCTCATGCTGTAAGGCTCATGGCGTGCCCGTCAAGCACAAGGCTAGAAAGGTAGGGTGTCCTGTGAGAATATACGATCAGAGATTTGACTACGGAATCACAGGTCTCCAGAAAGGATTTTGACGATTTTGATTATGTGCTTTGCATGGATGAATCTAATTTGAGCGATTTGAAGGTAAATTAAAAATCATTCAAACTCGAGAGGATTGTGAGTATTGACGTAATTTTGGGGGGGTGATTGGCATTGTACAAACAGAGACTTGCACCTAAAGGTTCAAAGGCAGTTGTCAGATTATTTGGCGAATACGATCCTCAAGGCGAGCTCATCATCGAGGATCCCTACTATGGCGGAAATGATGGATTTGAGCATAACTTTAGACAAGTGACTAGAGCCAGTGAAGGATTGTTAAAATCATTGGGATTGCTTTAGCAGGAATAAATGGCATTTTATATAGCATCGATTTGCACCAGTTGGGAGAACAGGCATAAAAAAGTTTCATCGAGCTTGTTTCATTGACGATCCGATCTCGATCTTTTTTTTTTTTTTTGATGTGAAGGATTTGATATAAAAAAAAAAAAAAAAGAGCTGCCATCATGCATGCTGCGAATTCACCTTTTTCCTTTTTATATACATCACGCAACGAAATGACAGCTTCAAAATCTATTCAAGTGTGCTTCTTTCGCAACGTGTTACGAGTTCACGACAATCAGTCCTTATTTCATGCCTTGAAAGCAAAGCCAGGTGCTGACATCTTGCCGGTGGTTTGCATTGATCCGCGTATGACGGATATCAGTAATCTCAAGAATCAAGGTGATAATGCGGCTCCCAAGACGTGGTTCTTCAAGCTCGACCGTGTCAAGGCTTTCCGCTCTAGATTTTACTACGAATCCATCATGGATCTCAAGCAGCAGCTCGTCAACAGAGGCAGTGATCTGATGATTCTCTTTGGACGTCCAGAGGAAGTATTCCCCAGGCTGGAAAAGTACTTGGCCACCAAAAAGTATCAGCTGGAGAATGTACACGCACCCAAGGAGGTAGGTACTGCAGCGCGTTCATCACGGTTTGGCATTGACATATATCTGCGCAATCTAGTACGCCTATGAGGAATTATTGATCGAAAAGGATCTCTCAAAATCCATGAAGGGCAATGTCAAATACTACCACGATTCAATGATGGTGCATCCAGATGATTTGGATTTCGTAGGCGAACGCACTTACAAGGTGTATACTCATTTCCGCAAGAGAATTGAAAAGATGGATCATCCCGTCAGAGCGCCACTGGACATGCCTGAAAAGTTGCCTGCATTCCCTCAAGTCGCTTGGGATTTTGAGCATGCCAAGGACGGTTACAAGAGCCTGGAAGAGTTGTACAAGGACATTCACGTCAAAAAGGATTCTCGATCTGCATATCCTTGGAAGGGTGGTGAACAGTCTGCCCTGGATAGACTCAACAGCTATGTGTTCAAGACACACGCTGTAGATGAGTACAAACATACGCGTAATGGCATGATTGGCACAGAGTACTCGACCAAATTCTCTGCTTTTTTGGCTCACGGGTGTTTGTCACCTCGACTGATTTGGCATCAAATGGATAAATTCAACCAACAACGCAAGAGAAAGCGCAGTGTCAAGGCTGGGGGAGACGATGACGGTATTTACTGGGTGCGCTTTGAGTTGGTAAGTCTGAGGGATGTTGCGTAGTCGTCAAAGAAGCTGCCTAGTAATCAAGCTTGTTTTTAGTTATGGAGAGACTTTTTTAGATTGTTGGCTGCAGGTTATGGTTCTCGCATCTTCATGCTGCATGGATTCAGAAACATGGAAAAGCCAGAAATAGCCAAAGAAGATGACAAGAAGCATGTGGATGAGAAACCCAAGCCAAAGAACAGCTACACAGACAAAGTATGGAGATCGGATGATGATCAGTTCAGTAAATGGTGCAATGGTCAAACGGGAACTCCCTTTGTCGATGCCTGCATGAGAGAGCTCCTGTACACTGGTTTTTTGAATAACCGTGGTCGTCAAAATGTTGCTAGCTACCTCGCAAAGGATCTGGAGATTGATTGGCGTATTGGTGCTGAATACTTTGAGTCTATGCTTCTGGATCATGACGTGTACTCCAACTACGGCAACTGGCAGTATGGTGAGAATGCTCTGCATCGCACTTTTCTTGATAGGATGGACTAACAATACGTTTCTTCTAGTGGCTGGTGTGGGCTGTGATCCTCGTGAAGGCTTCAGACACTTTAATATCATCAAGCAAGGCAAAGACTACGACGCTGATGGTGATTACATCAAGCTTTGGTGCCCTGAACTGGAGCATCTGCCTACACATTTCATCCACTGTCCATGGCTGATGACCAAAGAAGATCAAGCCAAGTACAAGTGTCAAATTGGCAGTGATTACCCTGAACCCATGGCCCTGTTTGATACCTGGATCAAGCACTACCCTGCTGCTGCTACTAACGGTGCTATTACAAACTACTTTCAGGACAATAAGAAGAAGGTCAAGACGGAAAAGAAATAAAAAAGGCCAATCATTATTGGCAGTCCTTCCTTTCTCCCGTTTTACATGCAAACCAAACAATAAAATCCTACTTTACCTTTTCGTTCATATAACCTTTACCATGACAAAGTCTAAATCTACAGTGCTGCTTCAGTCGAGACGAGAACCCACATTAGAAAGCAAATCTATAGCAGATAAGCGAGTCTTGTTTGGCAACAATCAGCAGCAGAGCATGAGTGCGCCCTTTACAGAGCCTTGGCTTGATCCAAACATCCTCTGCAAATCAAACGCTTACCAAATAACAGTAAACTGCAAGCTTCCCGAGAGATATCAGACGATAATACACCGAGGTATGTATATGTTGAATGGCATCGTCCACTGTTGCTAATGCATTCGTCTCGATAAGAATTGGGTAAATTCCTTCGCGTGAAGGCTAGTTTGCAGGCAGAATACATGGCGCTCCTGACGACTACGCATTTTTACCTGTATCTCAAGGTAAAATGCACTCAATATATCAATGGAAGCATGTGCTTACTGGGAGTTATTGGATAGAAATCACACAGACATATTGCACATCCCATGGCCCACTTGTACAAAGAAGACAGTATCAACCCCTTATTTGATATATTTCTCCAAACAGACAACACCATACAACGGGAGGATGAGCAAGTAGTCAAGATACTGACAGTGGACAGTCGAGGCAAAGCCATTTTATTTGTACATTATGACGGTAGATTCACACAAGCATTCTACGACATCCCTTTATATCAACCATACGAGTACATTACCGCTGTCAAATGGATTCATGCGGATCAAGCCTTGATTGGGTCATCCACAGGCCAGGCTTACTTGCTGAACTCCACAGCGACTAATACTCAACACCGTGTAATGACACTCTGCAAACAAAGCATGCCTGGTCCATGGGGATTCATGAAATCACTGTACACAGCATCTCTTCCACATGCATCAGAATGTACATTACCAAAGATTGAAGAGAGTGGATCTATTGTAAATATTAGTACAGTGGATAATATGGTGTATATGTGCAGTCATCATCAAGTGTGTGTGTGGATCATCAACAATACAGAGGCTCAGGTACTGTCGGTTAAACCTCTGAGGGTCGTCCAACATACTCACTATGTGATAGTTAGTTGCACGTATCCCTCTTCAAAACGACATTGTCAATTGCATATCACAACATGTACCCTCCGATATCACGAAATCCATGCTCCAATGTAGAATAGTAACTATGGACATTGAAATGTGAGTGAAGCGCCATAAATGTCATACATGGGCAGTAAACTAACATGACGCACCCCCTCCCCCCCTCACTAGTAAGGAGGAGTTGGTTTTGTTAGTATCCTACACGGTTCCTGGACTAAGTGAATATGTGCAATATGCAGTGATAAAATTCAGCATGATCCACAGCAATGACACAATAATGATGTATCCTCAGCATACAGCTTCGTTGCCCTATTCCGAAATACCCTCGCCATCCTCAAAAATCCCTCAACTGAACATCACAAAGGACATTGCATTTGCATCATTTGATGGCACGGTTGTAGCGAGATCCCTCAGCAAAAAGTCGGTGTTTGAGGAATCTTTGGTGTTGAAGGATAAAGAGAATGCTATATTGGCTGTGCATGTTACAGATTCTTCGGAGAGCTTCGATACAGCCAAGGTGGTTACAGCTAAAAGTGATGTGCTCGAGTTTCAGGTGAACAAGAGCGAGATTCAGGGGCCAGGGTGAGTAGTGATTAGTGGTGGCCTTAGGCTCGACACTCATTTGATATTGAATAGCAATATTTATGCTGGTATTGTTGATGATGTAGTAAGTTGAAGCCGGCTGCTTTCAGACCGAGTATGTACTTAAATGAAACTAGGTGGAGAGAAACACAATGGTATTCAAATCAAGACTAGAGCAAGCCCTCTTCTTTGGTGTGTTTAATGAGGTAAAAGTACACTGGCATTTTGTTCATGTCATCACCCTTCTAAACACTGTTTCCCTCAGTCACCGCTGCAATTTCCTCTTGCTGTCGAACATCATGAGGATGTGGGTTCTGCAGTGATGGATTTGACTCGCGAGATTCGTACTGGGGCCTGCTCTTTCTTGCCAAAAATGTTGGAAATCTCGCCTATTGAATCTAGATTCTACTTTCAGAATCACATGTACAAGATACTGCAAGATCAGATGCTTGACCGATTCGTAATGTATCTTGTTTATTTGATGCGTTCAATGCCCTCTGATGTTTGCTATTTGTGTAGCTGTCCGCCGAGCAAAGATCTCAATTGTTTGAGTTGCTGGAATTGTATTATTTATCAAAGCAGCTGTGGAAGATTACGCTAGAAAAGTAAGTCTCCATCTAAACGAGAAGGGGAAACCCTGTAAACTGACATTCGAGCCAGATCCGCTGATATGCAATGGATGGACACTGTCACTCAAATCAGCCAAGCAGTGCTGCTCCAGACAACAGATCAACCAAACACCAAATCTCAGCAGTGGGCGGATTTCCTCACACACCATGTAAATGAGTATTTGTTTGTATGCTTGCAGGATCTCGTCGTACTCATCAGCATGTGTGCCTATAGATTGACAAGATTAAAGATTTCCTCTCGCAAATTTCCACTAATAACGTATCCAGTTGCGCAGACGATATTATACCAGTAATGTCCATTCGTCCCTTTTGTGTGATATTCACCTACTAACATGATTTGCCATGTAGAGAATCATCCAAAAATGCAGGTCATTTGAAGACATAAATCTACCTCGATATAGCATACAGCAACCGCCCAAGAATAACTTCTCTGGTAATACCATCCATCTACACACGCTATATAAAGTTGCATATGGTAACTGGTTTTTTTTTTTAATAGCCAAGGCATGTAAGCATTTGGTTAGTATCTTTGATCAAAAAGTGGCTCACTACACAATATCCTGCCCAGACAACGGCCAAAAGGCCAAGTTACGGGACATGGCTACCCTTTTATTGGACATCCACAGACAACAACCGTACACTGAAGAATACGACGACATGAAGAAAACAGTGTTTAAAGGATTGTGTGCAGTGGGATTGCATCAAGCAGTAGTTGATCTTGCTGATAAGCATAATGATATCACCTTTATTGTCATCTCAGTTCCACATCTCAACTTGAGTCCAGAAGAATTCAGACAAACGTCGAGACACTTTGTGGATCGCTTTGGATATCCTTACTTTGAAAGCCTACTGCAACAGCTGGATGTTGAATTGCGAGAGAACATTTGGTACTTTTGTGAACAGTATCCAGCGTTTACAGAGACATTCTTTTCCAGTGAGCAACAGCACTTGCCCAAGGTAGCCTGGATTTATCATGTAAAGAAAGGAAATTACAAAAAGGCGCATGAGGTGCTCTCTCGCTGTAGTGGTCACATGTCGGAAAAAGAGCATTGTTTGGCATCTCCATGGATCAAGATGCTGTCTGTAGTCCTTGAAGGAAAAGTCGAGTAGCATTACAGAAGAGTATATAACTACTAGTAACTATCATCCCTACAATTTTCTGTTTCTAATCTTGCCACTGCCACAGCGATGAACGATGTCTGCTTTACATGAAATAAAATGGTAGTATTTTAAACAAATTAAAGGTGCTCGTCATTTGAGATGGGGAATGCCTGTTTGGAATCTATACCTGATGGTCAACTGCACTGGTCAAGCAGGGTTGATATTCTCAGTTTTTTCGGCGAGTGTTTTAGCTGAATGCATTCGAATTAATGCAGTTTATACAACTAATAATACAATGCTATTCTTCGAATGCTTCCATATAACATGATGGCATATTTTTGTTAATGCTTAGTATTCAATGATTGCCGCTACCCCCTAACATATACATTGTGTTTATACTTGATTTGTACAATTTCTCCTAAACGCTCATCACCCACAACAAACAACAAAACACAAAAATGCACAATGTCAATCACCCTATCATCATCTATTATTTGCAATGATATTCCCGTTTCTCTCTCTCTCCCTCTCTCTCTCTCTCTCTGTTTCTACAATACAACCACATTTACACGTGCCCATTCATCAACAAACTTCGGTTGAATCATGCTAGAACGTAATGATAAATGTGGTTTTCTGCATTGCATAAGATGAATGTAACGTCTACAAATAGCATGCATTGAACCAGTAGCTTCCCCCTTCTCTTGAAATTCTTTTTGAAGATCTTGCTAAACATGAGATGATAAGAATAGGAGTTTTTTTTGTGTTTGGTTGGTATGTTGTGTAGCTATTATATCATCTTGTCTCTTTATTGAATAAAAATGAGAAACTAGAGATAACACCAAAAAAGCGATCGAGTAGGAGTACATGTTTGCTTTTGTGTGTGTGTGTGTGTGTGTGTGTGTGTGGGATATACTATTTACAGTTATTGACAAAATATTGAGGTAAAATAATAAAGAGGGTTACTCTCCATGTTTCAGGATACGAACAAAATCCCTATAATTAAAGTTGCCGTCTTCATCTACGACAGAGCCTTTGAACATAATGTCGACCTACAATACATCACGCGAGTGTGTGAGTTGATATTTGAACGATTCCTCTGGGGAGAAAAACGCCTTTTCATACCTCTTCATCTGTAAACCTATCGCCCATAGTTGTCATACATTCTCGCAAATAGTCCGCATTGATCTTTCCGTTTCTATTATCATCAAAGGCAGAAAATGCCTTGAGGATGGTGTTTTCAGGATCTGTATCTGCTAGCTTATCGGCCATCAGTGTCAAAAAGACGGTGAAATTAATGGGGCCTGTTGCATCTCCCATCATCAATTCAATCTCTTCATTTGTAGCAGGTTGACCTTGCAATAATTATCTCAATTAACTCATGTGCTCTCATTTACGCCCCCCCCCTTGATATCTCTGGTTTCTTACCTAATCTTTCAAATGTCACTTTCAAATCATTAATGTCCACCAATCCATCGCTGTTTGTGTCCATAATACTGAATGCATCCTTAAATTCCATGACTTGTGCTTTATCGAACATGGCAAACACATTTGAATTTTGACGTCTCTTGTTCTACAATGCGCACGGAGGATTAATGAAAAGCCCAAGCCAAAGTAAAGAACTGGATTCCAACATCAACTTACCATAGGTGCCATTCTAATTTCTTTGCTTGATGTATACAAAAGGTAGGGAAAATAAAAGAGGAAAAATAAAGAGAATCAAGTTTTGACAATTAGAAATTCAACTTTAAGGCATTCTTCTTTGGCCTTAATATGGAAACCATAATAAATAACAATACTACATTTTTGGTGTGCCACACACGTTCAGGTGTGTGTAGCTTTCCTAGAGTTTCTGCCAGATCACACACACACACACACAATGGACATTCCTTTCCTTCTTGCTTTCTTTGAAAGGGATTTTCATTATTATTTATGTTTTATTTCAGAGTGCATTAGTCAGGGGAGAGGCTCAAAGAAGAGAGGGAGGCATCCAAAGGGGCTGGATCATGAGAAAGAGTGTATCATACGTATTTTAAGGGCCCTGTTTGTATGCCACCTTTTTCGCCCCCTCTTAGTCTTTTCTGTGCCTGGAGGACATGGAATCAAGACAAAATGATGGGGAATGGCTTAGTGTTTGCATAGATTGAATAGAAACTATGCATATACATCATATATCCATCTACCACGATGAGCCCCACATTTATCTACATTACTACAGTGAGATGCTTGGTAGATATAAAAAAAACCAACATGTAGTTGTTGATCATCTGCCTTTAATGCAACTGGCAATAAACAAAAGAAGTTTTAATCTGCAGGAAAGTTCTACATGGATTTGCTTGCTTTGCTCCAGAAACAGTGTTTCTATCTATACGCTCAATTAACCCCGTGTATATTCAATCAATGAAGCTTATAAAAGACTTTCATCATCATCCGTGAACTCCTTGAATCCAACTCTTTTTTTTTTTTTTTTTTTTCTTCCTTTAAAATCCCCTCTAGCTCAACATCTTTTTGCTTGTTGCTATTTCTTGATCTCTTTCTTCTTTTTCTTCCTGTCTCTCTCTCTCTCTCTCTCTCTCTCTCTCTCTCTCTCTCTCTCTCTCTCTCTCTCTCTCTCTCTCTCTCTCTCTCTCTCTCTCTCTCTCTCTCTCTCTCTCTCTCTCTACTTTTGTACACTAAAAAATCCACTCTAGAGTAGACCCGTCAAACTCACCAGCATTTTGAATTTGCACATCTACTTTATTACTACTACTATACAATTGGAAGCAGCATAAAGATGTCAAATCAGCATTTAAACTTGAAAAGCGAGGACCCAACATTGATTGAAACTCATTCATCCACAGTCTTGGATGAAAAGGTCCTGAACGATGAAGTAAAGATTGATCTTCGAGACAACCTGACACCTCACAATGATCCCAGCAACCCATTTGCATTTGTACCTGAGCAGCTGTCGTCTCTGATGGACCCCAAAAACGTACCCTTGCTACGCATCTATGGCGGTCTGGAAGGCGTAGCTCGTGGTCTTCATGTCGACCTGGCATCTGGCTTAACACCAAATGCACCTGCGCATCAAAACATTACACTAGATCAAGTTATTAGAGACAAGGACGATTCTGTCTATGTGGAGGAAATCGAATTCAAGCGAACTCCTACTGTGCATTCATTGGGCGGCAGACAGTTGACCCATCGAACAGACGCTACTGTACCAGCTCCTGATCTAACTGCATTTCCTCAGAGAAAGGCTGTGTTTGGCGCTAATGTACTACCTGAGACTGAATCAAAGAGCATATTTGCATTGATGTGGATTGCCTTCCAAGACAAAACCCTGATTCTACTGGCTATTGCTGCTGTCGTCTCTCTCGGTGTTGGCCTGTACGAAGACATTGCTGTTCCTGAATACGACACCTTTGGTAACCGTATCCCTGGTGTCAAGTGGGTGGAAGGTGTCGCTATTATTGTGGCCATCTTGCTGGTTGTTCTGGTCGGTAGTGTCAATGACTATCAAAAGGAGAAGCAGTTCCGGAAATTGAACGCAAAGAAGGAAGATCGTGCTGTCAAGGTAAACAAACAAACAATAGCAACTATAAACATATAAACACATATTAAAATTTTCCGTGAACCAGGCAACTCGTGAGGCTACTGTTAGCATGATTTCTGTGCATGACATTCAGGTCGGTGATATTCTTCACCTGGAACCAGGAGACATTGTGCCTGTGGATGGTATCTTTATCGAGGGCCACAATCTCAAATGCGATGAATCTGCTGCTACTGGTGAATCAGATGCTGTGCGCAAACAGAACTGGCAAATGTGCGAACGATTGGCCAATGCTCACACTGCAACTACGCATGCTTCTTCGTCTTTTTCTTCTTCTGAATTGGGTGTCAAGACAAAGGCTCCTATTGTCTCTACTGAACACAAGTCTGTCCCCGATCCGTTCATCATCTCTGGCTCCAAGGTTCTGGAAGGTGTCTGCACTTACCTCGTGACAAGCGTAGGCGAGAATTCCTACTATGGCCGCACCATGATGGCCCTGCGTTCTGAGCCCGAGAGTACGCCACTGCAAGAAAAGCTGAACGCCCTGGCTGAATTGATTGCGAAGCTGGGCTCTGCTGCTGGTTTACTGATGCTGATTGTCCTGTTGATCCGCTACTTTGTGACATGGAAGGACGGTGTGCCTGACCAGCCTACAGCCATTGTCATGGACATTATGAAGATCTTGATTGTGGTCGTTACTATTGTCGTGGTTGCTGTTCCTGAAGGATTGCCGCTAGCCGTGACATTAGGTAGGGGAACGATAGTATCCAATGATAGCCACATGAACACATCTAACCAACATTTGTATTTTTTTTTTTAGCGCTTGCTTATGCAACCCAGCGCATGCTCAAGGATAACAACTTGGTACGTGTACTAGCTGCATGCGAGACCATGGGTAATGCCACTACGGTGTGCTCTGATAAAACAGGTACCTTGACTCAAAACAAGATGACGGTGGTTGCGGGCACATTTGGATCGTCCTATCGCTTCATCAGCAATCCACCTGCATCCCGCTCCGATCTCGTTAATATCAAGAACGTAGCTACTACTGCTCCTAAAGAAGTTTTAAACATGATCAATCAGTCCATCGCTGTCAATTCAAATGCGTTTGAAGGCGAAAACGAAAAAGGAGAGCCTTGCTTTGTAGGCAATAAGACAGAAACCGCTCTCTTGCAGTTCTCCCGTGACATCAAAGCTGAGCATTATGACACACTTCGATCTCGTTGGCCCATTGAGCAAGTCTATCCATTTAGTTCTGAACGCAAGGCTATGGCTACTGTACTACAAATTCCTCACCCATCTGATCCGGACCAAGTTATGTACCGTGTGCATGTCAAGGGCGCATCAGAAATCATTCTGGGTCTCTGCTCAAACATTTTATCGTTACAAAAGTCGTCTGCTCAAGTCTCCAACGATGATTACAGTGGTGCTAATACCCGTGAACTCACAGGCGATGATGAGAGTAGAATTGAACGCGTCATCCAGAGCTATGCCACCAAGAGTCTTCGCACCATCGGCATTGCTTATCGTGATTTCGAGCAGTGGCCTCCCGGGGGACCTAGAGCCAATGCAGATGATGATGTACCTTACGACGATATTGTTAGAGATAAAGGCCTCACTTTCCTTGGTGTTGTTGGTATCGAAGATCCTCTTCGTGAAGGGGTACCTGAAGCTGTACAAGCATGTCAACGTGCAGGTGTATTTGTCCGTATGGTCACTGGCGATAATCTCGTCACTGCAAAGAGCATTGCAAAGCAGTGTGGCATCTATACTCCTGGTGGTATCGTCATGGAAGGCCCTGTCTTTAGAAAACTGCCTCAATCTGAAATGGACAACGTCTTGCCTCGTCTGCAAGTGTTGGCTCGTTCTAGCCCTGAAGACAAGCGTATCCTTGTCAGCCGCCTGCGTGAACTGGGTGATATTGTTGCTGTAACGGGTGATGGCACCAATGATGGCCCTGCCTTGAAAATGGCTGATGTGGGTTTCTCTATGGGTATTGCTGGTACTGAAGTCGCCAAGGAAGCCTCCAGTATCATCTTGATGGATGATAACTTTTCAAGTATCGTGAAGGCCATTATGTGGGGTCGCTGTGTAAACGACGCCGTCAAGAAGTTCTTGGAGTTCCAGATTACTGTCAACATTGTTGCTGTGATCTTGACTTTTATCTCTGCTGTTGCTAGTACGGATCAAAAGTCTGTCCTTACCGCTGTTCAACTGCTCTGGGTCAACTTGATTATGGATACATTTGCTGCTCTTGCATTAGCTACAGATCCACCCACTACAGAATTACTGAACCGTAGACCCGAGCCTCGCTCTGCTCCTTTGATTACATTCAAGATGTGGAAGATGATTATCGGACAAGCCATCTTCCAGCTGGTGGTGACCCTGGTGCTCTTGTACAGCAATGTGCTCAACTACTCTACTGATAATGCTGTGTTGCAGACAGTGGTATTCAACACCTTTGTGTTTTGTCAAATTTTTAACGAAGTCAAGTAAGTCTAAACGCTGTATTCGCAATGCAGATACTAATACCATTCATAGCTGCCGCAGAATTGATAGCCATATCAACGTCTTCACCAACATCCTCGCCAACAAGTTTTTCATTGGCATCTTCTTCATCTGTGTGCTTGGCCAAGTCGTCATTGTTCAATTCGGTGGTGCTGCCTTCCAAGTCGTTGCTCTTGATGGACCTCACTGGGGCATTGCTATTGTAATTGGCTTCTTGTCTCTTCCCATCGGTGTGGTGATTCGTCTCATTCCTGATGATATCTTTGGTTTCTTGTTCTTCAACCCTGCAACTCGTGAAAAGTATCTCGGGGGTAATGAAAACTGTGTTCCCTCAGTCTATGTTGCAGGAAACGAGCGTGTGCCCTGGAATTCTAATGAGAGATCAAATACGATGCATTCTCGTTCTTCCAAACATAATGGTGCTCATTCATTTGCATCTGGTTCTATTCGTAGCTTAGAGTAAATTATACACACCCTCGCATACAAAAACCCCCCCTCCCCTTACTTTCTGCATATTCTCTTAATGTCCTTCTTATCCTACCCCCTTTTCTAAACTTATACTATACATTGGTATGTTTCTTCCCTTTCAAACTGAAAGTCATGTACAGTGCTTCGTTTCCCCCTTCATCATCTCATAGCCATTTATTTTTACATTTTATTATAATATATCTCTTTGAAAACAATAAAGTACTTGATAGTTTCCATCATATCGTCAGTTTGGTGTAGATCAATGGGTTGGTAGATCACTTCATTATGAATTGCTCTCAACATCGGCCAAGAGGGATTTTTTTAAGCTAAGGATCCGATGGATTGTCGAATATCTACATTTCATGCTTGCAACAGTCAGGCACAATATGAAATCATGTCAGCAACATTTGGCGTATTCATGTTACACATCCTTGCTCGGCTCAAGCCGCTTGTCATATTTGCCATGACCCTCACTGGAAGGTTTCTCTATTCGATTAATATCACCTATCATCCAAATAGGCCCCAACATATACATCTCAGCATATTTGTGTCTACTAAAACGGCAATTCTGGATTGTTCGAGTAGAACTTTATCTCCAAATTTGGATATGAGCATACGTTGACAATGGACAAGTATGGCAGCGAGTCAACGTAATCGCTTAGGTAAACCCTACTATAAAAGGCAATACAAGGCTGATAATCAAGATCGCATAAAAGCTCGAATTTGTTGGTTAATCCCTTTCCGTGTCGTTTACATGGAACCGCAGTTATCGCCTTCGATCTCTTTCGTCACAGTTGCAATGTTTCATTGGACTCTGCAATGTCTGTGCCTTCCGAGGACTCATTAACATGCAAATGGGTTTCACTTGTCAGATCAGAAAAGAAAAAGTATATAGAGATCGTAACAATTCCATTATAAAACTGCATATTCTTATAAAGTTATAAAAAACTCAAAATGTCTAAAGTTTGGTTGATTACTGGTTGCTCCTCCGGCATTGGTGAATCTGTTGCCGTTGAAGCTTTGAAGAGGGGTGACAAGGTTGTTGCTACATCAAGAAATCTGCAAAAGCTGGAGAAGGCTTTTGAGAAGCACGGCAAGAACGACGGATTGCTGTTAAAGAAGATTGATGTTACTGATGATTTTGAGGTGATCAAGAAGGCTGTGGACGAGATTGTTGGTGAGGTTGGCCAAATCGACTTTTTGATCAACAATGCTGGTTATGTTGAAGAAAATCTGCTTGAATTTGCCTCTACCAAGCAAGCTTATGATCAATTCAATACCAACGTCTTTGGATTGCTTAGCGTTACCCGTGCTGCTCTCCCTCACATGAGATCCAAGAAGACAGGTGTCATTGTCAATGTCAGTTCTGGTGCTGGTTGGGATGGCTTCCCTATTACAGGTTTATATGCTGCTTCCAAGTTCGCTGTTGAAGGTCTTAGTATCGCTTTGAGAAAGGAGGTGGAGCAATTTGGGATCAAAGTGCTCGTTGCTGAGCCTGGTATGACAAGAACTGAATTCTTCCAAGAAAAGAACATGGTGAATATTATAGAGCATGAGGCTTACAAGGAAATGTTGGACGGCTACAAAAACAACACTGCTTTATACCACGGCCAACAACCTGGTGACCCTAACAAGCTGGCTAAACTGCTCGTGGATGTGGTCAAACATGAAAATGGTGCTGCTAACCGTACATTCCCAGATATCCTTCCTCTTGGTGAGGATGCTTACCAGATGGTTAAGGGCAGAGCTGAAAACGGTTTGAAAACTATCGAAGAATGGAAAGATTTTGCCTTTGGTATTAAATTTGATTAAATAAATGTGTAAATTTCTCATACTTGACATGTTGATGGCCCTGGATTGGTATAGCTGAGTGAAAGCCGTGTTTGCTGAGAGAGCAGATGTTTGATTCGGTTCTGGATACAAGTGTTTGCAGAATGATGCTAAAAAAAAAAGCTGTGCAAAAACCAATAATAAACCAAACTTAGATCATGTTCTAGTCAGAGTACCCAATGTTATTTGCTACAGAAGCTATATAAATGTCTACATGATATGATATCGCGAAAAACAATGACTCACTCTGAAATAGGCTTCTTTAAGGTATCAATGGCCAAAGCCAGTACAAACGGTTTAATTCAACGTTAATGAAGATATACTACACTTAATAAAGCTAGTTAGGATGCTGCTAACCCTATTGCTTGCTCCAGACTCGTCTAATTGCAATGTTACTACATGATGCGAACATGATGCCAGGTGGATGGTGATTTTATTGGTCAATGCTTCTACTGAGGTTGGCCTTTAGACTGATGGGGGGCCTTAAATAAAAATGCTACGAAAAAAAAAATGTTTAGAGTGTTTCTCATTCACCTTTTATATCCACTTGATCATACTATGAACACTGTACTCAAAATGTCAAGCAGAACATTAGAGAGCCTGCCTTCAGTACCCACCAAGTTTACAAAATCGCTGCCATGCGATATCTATACAGCCAAAGTAACCGAGACAAATCAAACCAACTTGATGCGCACACCTAGGCCTGTCCACGGAGCTGTCTATTCGCACGTATATCCCGAAAAAGCACCCGATCCTCGTTTATTAGCATTATCTAAACCTGCATGCAAAGATTTGGATCTAGATGTCAACGATATATTGAATGACTCTCAAAAGTTTGTATCGGTATTTTCTGGAAATGAGATTCTGCCAGATACTCGACCTTGGTCGCTTTGTTATGCAGGACATCAATTTGGGTAATGAAATGCACCGTGCTTTAGTCGCAAATACAACTGTGTATTGACGCACTGTGCCAAATCTTAGGTTTTTCGCGGGCCAGTTGGGCGATGGAAGAGCAGTATCATTGTTTGAATCAGTAAATTCCAGAGGAGAATCATGGGAAATACAGTTGAAGGGTGCAGGTCGCACACCTTACTCTCGCTTTGGTGATGGCTATGCAGTGCTGCGATCCAGTATTCGAGAGTTCTTGATGTCTGAACACATGCATGCTTTGGGTGTGCCGACGACCAGAGCACTGGCACTGATTGAGACAACAAGAGATGTGTATCGAGATGATGGGCCCAAAGGAAGTAAGTGTCAAGTGGTACATTGATAGGCTTTCTTTTATCTGATCATCCAAGTAGAGCAACCTGAAACTGGTGCTATTGTTGCTCGCATGTCACCCTCTTGGCTAAGATTTGGCAATTTTGAAATGTTTTACTCTCGAGATGATATGGATAATGTGCGACGTTTAGCTGATTATGCTATAGATCAAGTAGTCAAGGATAACGAACATGCAGGTCCTGGAAACAAGTACGCAAGATTCTTTAGAAATGTCACAAAGAGTACGGCAGAGATGGTTGCGGAATGGCAGGCTATTGGATTCAACCATGGTGTGATGAATACAGACAACATGTCAATTTTGGGCTTGACAATGGACTACGGACCGTTCCAAATCATGGATTACTATGACCCTTCATATACTTGCAATCACTCGGACGAGTCTGGACGTAAGTGCAAATGCTGTTGAATGGGTATTCATATACTGAATATACTGTTCTTTAGGGTATGCATTTCATCGTCAGCCTTCTGTTTGCTTATTCAATTTGGTAAAGTTGAGTGTGCCTTTATTTGAATTGATCGGCGCAGGTGAAAAAGTAGATGAATTGGTGTTTGCAGACATCACAAATGAAACTAGACAAGGCGTTACTGATGAAGACACACTGGAAGAATATCGCAACCAAGGCAGAGCATTTGTGCAAGAATTGCTCAATAATGAATTCAAAGTTTACTTTATGGACCGTCTCCTGACTAAAATGCGAAGTAAGATAGGTCTTTTGGAAGCCTCGAGCTCTCAGAGCGACATGGATGATGTGGTTATTCCTCTCTTGAATTGGCTGACTACCTATCACATTGATTACCATCGCTTTTACAGATCTTTATCAAACTACAGGATTACAGAACACGGTGAAGACGCAGATGCGGATAAGGCAATCACAGAATGGCTTGACATCAAAACTGAAGAAGACACTCAAGCTGAGGCGAGTAAGGAAGCTTTGAAACCTTGGTTGGCTATATATCGCCATCGCCTGTTGAAGGACAAGGTGGATAATGATGACCGTAAACAACGCATGGATGCAGTGAATCCTCGCTTTGTACTTCGAAATTCTATCGCTGAAGATGTCATTCAAGCCTTTGATGATGACACAAACGAAGACGAAGCCAAGGAAATTCTAAACGCTTGCTTGAATGCCTGTATCAATCCATTCAAGGACCACTATGAGGATAAACGTGTGGAAGATTGGATTAATAGCCCTGTACCTGTAAGTATTTATTAGATCAATTGACGTCCATGAGCAGTGTTGCTCATTCTACAATATGTTTGCAGGAGAAGGATATGAGATGTTCGTGTAGCTCCTGAGCAACTCTCTCTATAGCGTTTTGAGAGGATGGTTCGTTTTGCCGTTGAATAAAATGCTTTGTCTATTAATGATTTAAGAATGCCTTCTCTTTTGTGTATTAGCAAAATGGATGGCATTTGCTCTTGTTCGTAAATTCTATAGGCACCAAACATTTGTGTGTAATCAATGTGCTCAATCCTTAATGAAATACAGTGTGAGACAATCGCGCGTGGGATGTGGAGACCAGAACGCTTAAGCATAAAAAATTGGATATGATGCGAGCCACCTAGTCATTGAGCTACAAGAAGAGTTATTGATTACGAATACATTATTTGAGCTGATTATATATTGCAGTTTTTACTAGATGCAGATTATCTAATGCGTCCAGAATGTCTAGTGTGTCTTACAGCCACCATCACTTCATTCATAAGCTGTATCATTGTGCCTTAATACTGCGATACAACAGCGCCACTTAACCTTATACGTCAAGCTTAATATTTGGACATAACAGCATGCTCTAAACCTAGATTAATGCATGCAATGTTTTTGCGCCTTTGTATCATAACAAGAGCGCGCCTCTTGACAAGCAAATATATAAAACACAGCCAAATTTGACAGCTTTCACGCCTTTACATCTTGACATGTAGACCTTTCTGAACCACCGGAATGACGCTAAACAATTGTACTCGAGTAGCAGTAACTTCCTGACACCTTTGCTCAACTTTTTGGAAACCCAAATAACATGGCCAAAAATTGGTCAAACACCATGAGGTACCCTTCATGGTTTTCATCAAAAATCAAACGATCGCATTTTTGACCTTGAAAATGAAGACTTTTACTATGGTTTATATTAACTCAAAATGTTTCTCTAAACCCAAAGCAACTTCTGAAACCACTTTTATGAGGCTTTCATATGCAAAATATGGCTATTTTTGCTAAAAAACCTCATTTCAAATTTTATTAAATTGCTCAATAATTTCAGTCAAAACATTTGTTACAGTTAACACCATTGGAAGCGCCTTGAAAAGTACTTCAAGAATGTATTAGGAAGCGCAGGGTGATCATCACAGTTTATATAGTCGAATCTCTTAAAATAGATTAAAGAAGTCGAAAAAAGACAAAATTTGTCCAATCTTGAACAAACAAACAAAAAAAGCTGAATTTGAATAAATTTTGGTGACGGTGGCTGGCGCTTCTGCTGGCTGACTCAAATGCCTTTCTAATGAGGACAGTATTCCTACAACAACGCTTTATTTGTGGCAATGGCATGGCATTATCGATGGTCTTGGAAGAGGCTCGGGCCTTCAACCGCAAGGGTAATGGTATTCTATTAGATCAGGAGAAAGCTTATGATCGGGTGAATGCTGACTATCTGTGTGCTGTCCTTCATTGTCTTGGGTTTCCAGCCAGCTCTGTATCACGTGTCAAATTATTGTTTTTTTTGGAAATGATATGTATATCAATGTCAATGGGCACTTCGCCTCAGCAATCAAAAAGGAACGTGGTATCCGTCAAGACGATCCTTTGCCCCCCTCTACTATTTGATATTGCACTGGAGCCGTTCCTTTTGTCCATCCTGCAAGACCCTATTTTCCACGGCTTTAAGGCGAGCAATAGTGCATCTGCGGAGATGGTCTCTTCTCATGATTCACCAGCTGTCAAATGCCTGGCGTACGCTGATGATGTCTGTGTCCTTCTACGAGACGAACTCGATCTGCATCGCCTCCAACTTCACATGGCCAACTATGCCGCAGTCTCCAATGCCAAGTTCAATGAAGACAAATCGGAAGCCTTTTCTCTGTCTGGTCGTCGCTCTTCGGCGTGGGTGCAAGCCTTTGAAGACATGAACGTTCACACATACCACCACCAAGGCTCCACTACGGCGTTTCTATATCTTGGTTTGTACTTTGCTTACAACCATGCTCAACGTGCTCAAACAGAAGAGATGTTACTCAACTCAATCAGAACTCAATGTCAGGTCTACGGACAACGACAACTGTCCATCCTGGGTAGAGTCACCATCGTCAACAGCCTCATTTTGCCCAAGGTGTGCTACAGTCTACACATGCTGAAGCCTACCAAACGGTTTTTAGAGAAAGTAAAGTCTTGTGTTTATCAATTTGTCTGGAAGAAGAAGCGGCCATTACTACGCAAAGAACTCATATTCCTACCCAAGTCCAGAGGTGGTCTTGCTGTTCTCAACCCTTCTCTTCAACAACTGATTCTCCAAAAACGCTGGCTCAATTACCTCGTTAAACCGCAGAAGTATCCGTCCTTCCTGCTGCCCTTCATGCTCTATCACGTATCACTGCTACCGGCTTCATCAGAGTTTCCTTACATGGCCTTCTTAGATGCTGAATACCGCAAGTCCTCCCTGACACACAAGGATCTCTCTATCTGGCATTCTATCTTCGCCATGTATGATTACTTTGATTTCAATGGACTTCAACAAGTGGATTTCCTACCGTTCCAGACCATCATGCAATTGTCTTTGCACAAGCTGCTCATAGGCCTCAGCGATGATCACTGGCTCCGGTGTCACCCCAGGTTTCCAGCCACCAAGTTGCTGATCTTTGATAACCAGCAGCAACGGCTGCGTCTTCGTGTTGCTTCTGAGTATTCTAGCTACTCACTTTTTTGTGCCTCATGTTACCAAGAAATTCTCGTGCTCAAAACCGTCAAACTGGTTCCTGGTGTGTGGACTCGCATCCTGCAGCCTCCTTCCACCTCTATCTTGGATTGGACGAGCTTTGATTTCTTTGACAAATTGGGCATTACCGAACACTGGAAGCAATATCACCGAGTCACCTATCGCCAACAGCAACAACAGCTGGTCCCTTCCGAACATCAGTTCAGCAAATCCATGGCCAAGGCTTTGTGGCCCTCTCCTGCTCATCCAGATGCACGAACGGTTCTATATCGGGCACTGTCACGATGCATCCCCCACAAATCCTATCTGCGTACCATTGGCTCTGTGGAAAACTCGATCTGTCCCTTCTGCGCCCAAAGCACTGATACATTAAGGCGTTTCGTCATTGACTGTCCCGTCAAATGGCAACTATGGCAATCCGTCCTGTCTCAGCACTACCACAACTATCCTCTGGCGCCCGAAATCATTTATGGCACAGTGCGTTACCTACATCTTCCTTGTTTTATCAAAGATCGTTCGAAATACCTGGCCGTAATATCTACAACCTTTTGGCAAATGTGGAACCTGTACTGGCTTCACGGTAGCCAAAATCCATCCCCACTCTCATCTGCCTCAATCGAGCGCTTCCCCACCAGGACAGCCTCTCTAATCGATAGACTGTTATCTACTACTACGTAATTTAGATTAGATGCTCATTCCGTTGCTCAAGGTCCACCACTCGGCCATGTGTCCCTCATAAAATAATATTTGAATAAAATAAAATATTAACTACAAAAAAAAACAAAACAAAAAAAGCTTCCTTAAGCTTCCCTGGAGTACTTTTCAAGGCGCATCCAATGGTACCTGGTAATATAGACGTTTTGAATAAACTTATTGAGCAATTTATGAAAATATGAAAAGAGGTTTCTGGCCAAAATGTCGAAATTTTACATATCAAAGTCCCACAAAGATGATTTCAAAGGTTGCCTTGGATCGATAGAAACATTTTAATTCAAGGTATACCGTAGTAAAAGTCTTCATTTTCAAGGTCAAAAATGCGATCGTTTGATTTTCGATGAAAACCATGAGGTGCCCCTCATGGTTTGGAGTCGAATTTTGGCTATGTTTTTTGGGTTTCCAAAAAGTTGAGCAAAGGTGTCAGGAAGTTACTATTACTCGAATACAATTGTTTGGCGTTATTCTGGTAGCTCAGAAAAACCTACATGCCAAGATATGATGGCTTGAAAGCTGTCAAATCTGACTATGTTTTGTTTTATAGTTTTTATTTGCATGCTATGAATCACATCTTTGGTAGTTGTAATTTACTGGAATGGCAGTTCTGCAGCCTGTGCAATTTATAATTTGAATAGGAGGCATACCGATATTGACAAGACTATTAATGCAAATTTCGATATGTTATGTTGTTGGCAAGCTTATTAATAATGGAAATGCAAACCCATATTTGCTGCTTGGATATTATGGCTTTGCTACTTTGCTTCGCTACTGGAAACCTCTCTTATAGGTCTGCTATCAAATGTTGAAGTTAGATGCGCTATGTTTTCGGAGCAGGGGCTAAAACCTTCCCGCAAACACCTTCCCCCATGCCGGCTTCGCTGGTAGTTTTTTTTTTTTTTTTTGACGCTTTGATTTTTTCGATGCCTCTGATTAGTCATTACAATAGTTTTTGAGTAAGCAAATTAGAGGCATATATTAGAGAAAGATAAATGAGCGACTTTAATGACTAGCTGCCTAATATTGGCAAGACAGCTTCTCCGTATATGCATGTAAACAATGTAAAGAAATGACAAGCTAGAACTCAAGCATGTCCTTCGTCATAGAAAGAGGCAAGTAAAAGTGTATGACATTCCGCCTTATATGAATCAATATATCTACATACTATTGCGTTCAAGTGCCATAAGTATGGAGTCAGTAGGTGATCCGTATTAAGCCTGAAAAAGATTAGGAAATTTTTTTTTTGAAATCAAATACTATTCATACTATAATATTGTATCCTGTATAATTATGGCTTTTCTCATCGACTTTTCAATAAAAAAACACTTCTGTTACTTTAATGCAGATTATAGGAATAGCTGGATTTTGACCACAGTACATGTATTTGTGTTAGGAACACACAACCTTTGTGTGTAGGCCTTTCAGATAGTATAAATCAAATCAATTTGTAAACACAATAAACATTGTCTTTCAGCTTATATCTATTCTTTTGTATACATTGTTTAAACCGGCTTTACATATCATACTTATACACACGACACTTAAGCAATCGTAGTGTCGTTAATAGAGATATGGTTATTGAGTAGACCTTGGCAAATGTATATAAAAGAATAGAATTGAGATAAAAGATGATCTTTAATGTTTTGCAAACTGATTTGATATTTATACTAAATTAAAAGGTTACACACAAAGACTATGTGTACCTGACAGTAGCTTGCCATAGCCGATGGACTCCACAGACAAAGAAACTATTAACGCTACATGCACTACAAAAGATTGCAAAAAATCTCTCCGGCGGGGAATTGAACCCCGGTCTCCCGCGTGACAGGCGGGGATACTCACCACTATACTACCGAAGAGAGACGTTAGTCGAACAGCGCGCGATATTTATCGTTCCTTTTTATACTTTTTCGCAAAATCAGTTTTTCCCATCAACTCTTTAATTACTCATCAAGATTCCCCCAAAACAGAAATCTCGTGTCAGTGCCAAGGCTTCTGAACCTTCTATTGCTTCCCGTACTACAGTTACACCTGCTAAGCAATTAATTTTCATTAATTCTGTGCACAGTAACACTACTTTGTCCTCTGGTTCCACTACTTCGTGTCCAAGTGCCACTGCCTTGCCTAACGTTACTAGTTCTAACCTCACTTCTGTTACTCCTGGTCCTACCCCCACGGTTTCGCAATCGAAACGTCCATTTGTGCCTTCCCCAACTTCCTCTTTCGGTGAAATGCCCCAAAAACGGATTTTGACTAAAAAGGGCGTGATCTCTTCTCCCACGGTTGTCAATGCCAATGTCAATGCTCCCCCTGAGGTGATCCCTGCTTCTCGTATCACTCGAATTCCGATTCCCAAGGGTTCTAAGGTTCCCATTAATGCCGAAAAAGCTTTGCCACAACCAAATGCTGCTATTCCTGCTACTAATACCACTACTGATCCGTTGATCAATACTACTGCTGTCTCTTCTAACACTGCTACTACTACTATTATTGATCTTCCTTCTGATACTTCTACCGTTGCTTCTTCAACTACTTCTCTTGCTGACTGGGCAATCGATTTTCAGGTTCAATTGCGAGCTATGAATACTCGATTTGCTGCTTATGAAAATCGGTTGAATGAAGTTGAACGTCTTACGGCTGAGAATGCTCAGCTGAAATTTGCTCTGTCTGACGCACATCAGTTGATCGCAACACTTCAGGAGGAGGTGAAGCGACTTAACAACGTCTCTGTAGATGCCGTTATGTCTGATGTGTCTGGTGTCTCTGCCTCTGGTATTTCTGGTGATTCTGGTGACTCTAATGACTCTGGTGTATCTGATGGTGCTGCTGGTGCTGCTGCCTCTGGTGTCTCTGGTGTCTCTGGTGTCCCTGGTGTCTCTGGTGTCCCTGGTGTCTCTGGTAACTCTGGTGTCTCTGGTGTCTCTGGTGCTGCATTTGGTGTCTCTTCTGGTTCATTCTTTGCTGGTAACTCTTCTGTTTCCAAGTATGCTTCTCTTCCTGCTACAGCAGCTGCTTCTTCCACTCGTGTTGCCTCCACTACTCCTACTCCTACCTATAACTTTTTGGCAGCTGCTAAAAAAGGTAAGAATAGCAAGCAAAAATCCAAGTCAAAGCCTTCCCCTCAAAAGGTTGAGGCTGCCGCCCGCTTCTTTTCTGACTATCCTGAGCAATATGAGCAAGGCTATCGATACATCTACTTTCGTAGTCGTCATCGTAAGTCTTACAAGGCTGTTCGTGAACAATTGCATACGTTGAAAGTCCAAAACTGGCGTGTTTTGGATATCCACTACCCTGCTCCCAAGGCTGTTGCCCTTTTGGTCCATCATGAATATGCCAAGGAGCTACTTGATACTCTTGCCAAAGCTAAGGTCCTCCCCATTGATGCTTTTGATCCTCGTGATCCAACAATTCTGGAGGATCCTCGTCTTGTTTCCCTTACTGAAGCTGAGCGTGTGGAGAAGGCTATCCAGGTTCATCAGGGTCGTATTCTGCGTGGTCTTCAATACTTGTACCAGCATGCTGGTCGTCGTCCTATTTCGATTGCTGTTGCTACTGACTTTTTCCACAAGAAATGGATCTCTAATGATCAATTGCGTGAGTTCAAGTCTAATGGTTCTTTTACGATTAATGGTGTGGTGTCTGGTGATTCTGTTTCTGGTGATTCTGGCTCTGGTTCTGATGGCTCTGGTTCTGGTGGTGACTCTGGTGCTGGTGGTGACTCTGGTGCTGGTGGTGTCTTTGAGACGGATAATGAGAATGTTACCATGACTGATGCTGCTAATGATACTGGTTCAACTGTTTCTGCTTCCCTTCCTGGTGGTGATAAACCAGAGGCACCTCAGTAATGAGTGACTCTCGCGATATCACTATAACCATCTGGAATGCTAATTGTCTTGATCGCATGACAATTAATACTGTTACCCAATCCCTTCCTTTGTCCTCTCTCATCTTTATAACCGAAACATGGCTTCTTCCTCCTCTCCATCTCCCTACTTCGTGGCAGCAATTCCATACCTATGGTTTGCCTGTCCCCAACATGCGTCGTGGTCAAATGGGAATCTCGTTGCTGGTCAATCCTGATTTTCCTTACCCTGTTACGCATATTCCTTCTGTCTCTCCTTATGTATTATCCTGTCAGGTTGCATCCACTTTGATTCACTGTGTCTATTTGCCTCCTACTGCTTCTTTTTCTGACTCTGATGCACTAGCTGTACTCCGTGATCTGCCTCTCCATCCTAGTCCCTCCCAAACAAACACAATCATATGTGGTGATCTCAATGCTCGCCATGCTCGTTTATTGGGTGATACTAAGACTACTACTAGAAGTACTCTTCTATATGAGTGGCTGCTTGATACTGGTCTCTATTGTTGGAATGCTTCTTTTGCTTTTGGTGAGCCTACACTTGTCAAACAACGTCGTCGTCGTATTGTCCATCACGATGATGCGAATGTGTCGTCAAGTGCTAGTGCTTCTGGTGTTGTTGGTGCTCCTGTTGGTGTCCCTGATGGTGCTGCTGCTGGTTCTGGTGTCGTCTCTGGTGTTGTCTCTGGTGGTGGCTCTTTTGATGACTCTGGTGGTAGTGGTGTTCTTGGTGCTTCTGGTGTCTCTGGTCGTGGTCCTGGTATTGGTGTCTCCCTCGATGGTGGTGCTGTGTCTGGTGTTACGGCTGATAATTCTGATCTGCTCTCTGATTCTAGTGATGATAGTGACTGTACGGATGATGGTGAACCTGTGAATGATCCAATGTCATACATCTCCTACGCTGCTGGTAGTATCATTGACTTGTTCATTGGTACCCATGGCCTCTTGCATCCTTCCTTGATCGTACACTCTAATATGAGTATCAACTCTGATCATCATCCTGTGTCGCTGTCCTTTGCCTTTGATTCTCCCCCTCCTGTTCGTGTGGATCACCCGCGGTGGATGTGGAATCTATCAAAGTTGGAGGACCCAAGTTGCTCCTATGCTCCTCTGTTTGCAAATCGTATTGCTCCCTTTCACGATGACCTGGTGTCTCTGTTGCCCTCTACTGCCTGTCCTGACTTTGATGCATTAGGTAATACTCTCACCGATTGTATTCATTCGTCCTTGACAGAGCCTGTGGGTCGTCGCTTACCAAAGCCTCCTGGTAATGCCTGGTTTTGGACCTCTGATTTGCAAGCTGCCTTTGACCTTCGTGAGCATCTCCATACCCGCTGGGTTCGTTCTCCTAACCCCTTCGAACAATGTAAACGCTGGGGTGAATATCTTGCTGCTAAGAAGGCATTCCAAAAGGCTATTCGTCGTCGGCGTCGTCAAAGCTGGAAACAGTTTTGTACCAAGATGGCTACACAGCCTTTAGGTGATACTACTGGTACGCTCAAGCGGATTATCCGTGGTCGTAGTCTCAGTGCTCCTTTCTCCCACCCTGAAGGTCCTGTTGCTGCTGCTTCTACTATGGCCCAACACCTTCGTGGTATCTATGCTGGTGATTCCCTGCTTCCAAACCGGCCTAATGCTCCTCCTACTCCTCTTGTGCCTCATTCTGTGGATGAATGTCCGTTTGATGCCGATGATGTTGACTACTACTTAAGAAAGCGTTTGGCCAGGCGGCGTGCTCCTGGTGGGGACCATATCCGTGCGGAAATGCTCCTTCCTATCCGTGAATCTCTGGTGCCTGTACTTTATCTGTTGTTTCAGCTGTGCTGGCGTTGGTCTCGTACTCCTGCTTCTTGGCGATTAGCACAGGTGGTGCCAATTTACAAGAAGGGTGATCCTCTTGATCCTGGTAATCATAGACCCATCTCTTTGACTTCTGTGTTTCGAAAGTTGTTGGAACGATGCCTTTATGATCCTTTGGTGTCTTCTGCTCCTGCGTTGGATGTGGTGCAAGGTGGTTTTCGTGAGCGTCGTGGTGCTCCTGATCAGGCGCTCTGTCTACATGAACTCTGTCTTCACCATACTCTTGATTATGGTTCTCCTCCTGTTTTGGCTTTTCTGGATATCAAATCTGCATACGATACGGTTGACAGAGCTGTCATTTGGCGTGCTCTCGAAACGTATGTATCAGATGCGATGCTTGGTCTCCTTCAGCATTTGTTTGATGAAGTGTCTGTTCAGGTCTTGGTGTCTGGTGCTGTTTCTGATGGTTTTTGGCCTGGTACTGGTGTGTTGCAAGGCTCCATTTTGAGTCCTTTTCTTTACTCCGTGTACATCAACTCTCTGCCTGCGGTGTTGCGTGCTCCATTTAACCCTCGGGTGGTGGAGCGTCCTCCTCGTTTGTATAACGGTCTTTGGATCAATAGTTTGATGTATGCTGATGATGTGGTGCTAATTGGAACTGCCGAGTCTATGCCTTTGTTACTTGCTCGTGTGGAAGCTCATTCTGTGTCTCTGGGTTATCGGTGGAACCCTCTGAAATCTGTCGTCCTCAATGCTGGTGTTGGTGGTGGTGCTACTGGTGTCTCTCCTGGTCTTGGTGCTGGTGTTTCTCTGTCTCTCTATGGTCAAGCTATACCTACTGCTCACTCTTTTACCTACCTTGGTTTGCCGTTCAATGTGAAGGGTAGCTTGGACACCGATCTCTTATTGACTAGAAATAGTCAATCAGCGTTAGGTGCTATGCGTGGTTTGCAATCTCTTGGCCTTCATTCTGCTGGTTTCTCCAAGCTCCTATCTGCTAAACTGTATGCGGCCTTTATTCGGCCCAAACTTGAGTTTGGTCTGTCTATTTCCTGGTTCTTGAAACGTCATTTAAAGCTTTTGGAAAAAGCTCAAAATCAGTGTCTCCGTCTGGCTTTTGGTGGCCATCGTACCTCTTCCGTCGTGGTTTTTCGACATTTAACCAATCTTCCCACTATGGAGGAACGTGTTGATATTCTGACTAGTAAAATGCTCTGGCGGGTGCATACGCAACTGCCTGGTGATACTCTTCTTATGGTTTTGGCTCCCTCACTTGTGTCCTTCAAGCATCGTTTGAACAAGTTGGCCGTCAAAAATCCAATCTGGGATCCTACTTTTGCTGGTGGTGGTGCTGATAATTCTCTTGCTTTGGATCGTCGTGGTCTTGCTGACAAGATCAAGGTGTATCGTCTTGATTCCCTCCAATGTCGGTTACATCCTGCTCCTCCTGTTTCTCCTCCTGTTCTCCTCTCTGCTTGTCGTCCTTCACTCATGGTGGATCCCATCCTGTATCTTCCAATGTCTGTGTTTGACCGTAGTCGTATTCTCCGTTGGCGCATGGGATGGCTACCTGCTAGGCCAGTTCCATGTCGTTGTGGTGCTCCTCACGCTAGCCGCAACCATCTGCTAGAGTGTCTTGGTGTTGCTTCAAAGCTTTTGTTTACTGATGATCCTCTTGGTGCTGATTATTTGCCCAATCCTCTGGACTTTTGGCTCAATCGACTACCTCGTATGCAACCTTCTGCCTCTAAACTCGTGTCGTCTCGCTCCTTTTGGTCTGTTCGCTGGCCTGTCATGCTCCAAATCTTTTTGGATATCGACATGATCTGTCATCCTGATGCTGAATTTACTGGTAAAGCTCTGGACTCGTCTGGTTCTGCCTTTCTCAACTGGTTGACCCCGGTTTCCTCAACTACCTCTGTTTCGGGTACGCCTCCTATCTCTTCCTCAGATAGTGCTGGTATTACTGTCGCTATTCCACATCTTTTGTCTCACTAAGATGCTGTTTCTCTGCTGTCCTTTTCCAACTGTTTTCGTTTGCCTTTTTTTGAACCAAGGATTTAATCTTTAAATTTTTTGTTATTTTTTTTATATTCTCTTTCCGAATTTATTTCCAGTTGTCATCATTTTGATCCGCAGTATAATGAGCACTTTGCCCTACAGGGACGCAGCTGCAATATTATATCTTTTCAATAAACATTTCAACTATACCACCGAAGAGTAAACGACACTTGTCAGGGTTGAAGGGTATTCTGACAGTGATTTAGATCTGCAGGATATTATTGACAGACTAAACACAAACAAGAATAAGAAGCGCAGGTTTAAGCCTTGAGCGCCAGCTACCAGGAACATTAAACAACGATTAACCTGGATAGCGCACAACATTACACAAACTATATTGGATAAAATCAATGTTCAAATCTAATATTAATAAAGCACCTTTTTTATCCATTCAACTAAAAGACTATAACATCTTTCTGCACACTCTCTATATCTACTTCCATTTATATCTCGATCAGATCTCAGATTGCATATACTACCTCTACGTATTAGCATCTGACACACTGATACGTGTGTATCTTTCTTTTGGTTACTTGGCTCTATCTCGATTTCCTAAAAAGGCGATATACCGTATACGGAAAAGGCGCAAGGTGGTGGATTCAAGGTATAATTCTCTACCTTATCTACTATGTCTTACTTGACGGATTACTCCTGGTTGGTGCTGTGTTCTGGTGCATTGACACACTTATACAATTGTTGTTGCGGAATACATCCACTATGATCTGCATTCCGACAGTTCATCCAGTTACCAGATTTAGATATAAACTGTATTATGTACACTGGATTGGATGTGCGGTATCGATTTATAATACTATAAGAAGATATGGACTTCAGATACGCTAGTACTATAAGATTCATACTATATAAGATATAGGCTATAGATGGCACCACGAACATGGATAGCGCTATAGACTTATTATACTTGTATTCCGACATTGACTACGGATGTTTACCATATCTGGATAGGCACCAAGATTAATGCAATATGAGCTTGTTGCTTCAGATGTGCACTTCATGATCCACGCTATAAGACACATGCTTATATCCGTGATACTAGCTATAGATACTTTATGAACTACTACAGACTTGTACTATATATGAGACATGCTATAGACATGCATACGATATGCTATAGACATGCATACGATATGCTATAGACATGCATACGATATGCTATAGACATGCATACGATATGCTATAGACATGCATACGATATGCTATAGACATGCCATATATCCAGATACATGCTAAAGATGTATGCTCTGTAATGAAATAGCCACCCAAACGCAACTTGATTGAAAACCGAAATTCACCAAATAGCACTCATTCAAATTCATGCTATTTGGTGAATTTCGGTTTTCAATCAAGTTGCGTTTGGGTGGCTATTTCATTACACTCCAAATTGGAGTTCTTTACAGTGGCAAAAACACGTTTTTCTTGAATAACATTACAGAACCGTCTAGGTGGTGCTAAAGTCTATAAAATAAATTTAGGGCGTGGTATGACTAATAGCAATGCACAAAAAGAATTTTATATGCGCGACTACACAAAAGTTAGCCTTGAGTGATCATTTTTTGGCAATGATTTGACGGGGACTGGCCTATTCAGTGTTGTTGATTTATAAGAAATGGAGCTACAGCTTCAAATAAGACCTCAAACGATAGGTAAATTCTGGGTTTACACAATGACAACTCTTACAGTTGTCTTGATGCAGACTTATTAGTACGTGCTGTGTTCTTTTAAAACCTCTTACAATATCTGAAAAACATGCATATTTGTGTACAAGCTGTGGAATTACTTTTAAGAGTGGTTTCATTTGATACGCGCTTAAATTTTGTCCAGAAGAATTGCTATGAACTAGGGGCAATGGTTGTTACTACTGAAAACAATACGTCGTCTAAGCGATGGAAAGATGTCAGTATGCACTATTTTGGCGTCATCAAGCTATTAGGAGCTCGAGGTGTTTCTAACTACAAACTGACATGCATTTTAGGGACAAGTTTTTTTCTAGTGAATGAAAAAAAAAAAATCAATTGAACAATATTACCACCTTGGATTATCTGGCGAAGTATTATATTTATTTTGAATAACGAGTTTAGACTGCAACGATGCTTGATTTACAGCTTTTTTCAGTTCTGTCGCGGCGGATGACTTTTGGTCGAGCAATCTGCGTGCCGTCTTTATATATAACTTTTATATTATATAATCAAACTCGAGACCGTAGCCGAGTATGATGCCTAGATCTAAATCGTGAGGCAACAACACCGAATCCTGGTGTGCTTCAATTTGTGTTTATATTTTTCTGGATATTAACGTGAGATGGTTTTGTGTGAGCACCATCATTATGCAAGAAGCTCAAGTATTATTATTCTTGCGACAATGATTTGCTGTAGGCATTCATTCAACAATGCAAAGTATGTATCTTGTTTGCTGTTATATACTATGTCTATGCTATACTTCTCTTGGCTCACATTTAAGTACTCTTTTCTTATTTAATTTTGTTTATTGATTGAGCCGTGTACACTAAGAGTAATAGGTCAGAGTGAAGAGGCGGGTGCAATTGAGATAAAGACATAAGAAAAAATTATCTAAACTAACTATATGAGGGAATGGGTTTGATCCTCACCCACTGTTATATACCTTTTGGATTGTCTCAATGGTAATCAAGTTGACAAGAAACAAAGCTCTTTATTGTAATATGAAATGAAAAATAATATTTAAAACTTGAACTCCTTCTTTTTTCCTTCCTTTCGACTATCTTGTGTTTTGGCTTTTTTAGCCTGTCTACTAGCATGTTCAGCATACATGTCTGATAAATCTTCATCATTCACACTGCCACCGGGCAATTTAGCTTTCATCTGAGCTTCATATTTAGCACGCAAAGTAGCCTCATCAAGGCCGCCTTCCAATTCGCTTGGATCAATAGCAACATCTACATTATTTGCTTTACGTTTTCCTCCTGCTGTTTGCACTCTACCGGTAGGTGGTGGTGCAATTGGTTTATCCACTGCTGTTAAATCGTAACCATGCTGAGAGCCCATAAAGCCAGTGATGTTTTTAGATACTTCAGGCAGTACTTGATACAATTGTTTTGGCCCTTCGTCTTCCTCTCGTTTGCGATCTTTACGAAGCTCAATATGATCAGGTGTTTCTAATCCAGAAGCAATCGACGCCATGCCTGAAGGTGTAACGAGTCCATCAGCAAGGTCGTCAGATGCAGCCACTTCTTGTTGCTCCTCTTGTTGCTCCTCTTCCTCTTCTTCCTCTTCGCTCTCTTCCTCTTCCTCCTCGTATTCTTCCTCTGATTCAAGTTCGCCCCAAAGCTGTTTATCAACAGGCTCGACAATCTCTGGTGGTGCAGCTGTAGGTTGGGAGACGCCAAATACATCACCGTAAAGAGGACGATTGTATTCATCCACAGGAGGTCTACCCCATCCACCGGGGTGATATCCCCATTGAGCACCCTCGGGTATTGGTGCATTTAGACCAGCAATTTTCAAACTAGGGTAACTAGGGGGAGGGCCGTAACGTTGCATGTTGATCAACCATGGAGGAGGGGCCAATGGAGGCATATTCAATGCTTCTTTCAATTCTTCAGACAATTGTCCAGGTTTTTGTTCTTTCAGTTTTGTTTCGAATTCTTTGCCTTCGTAGTATAGTTCACCATGTAATGTGTATTTGCCGCGAGTTTGGAATCTGAAAAAGGCGTCGTGCAGCTTTTGATAATCAATGTCGAGTTTTCCCATCTTTGGTGCTACTTTCTCCTTCATTTTGCTCTTCAAACCAGCTGCGCTTTCTTTTTCTTTGACAGCATCACGCATCTCCATAATGCCGGTGTCTTTGATAAAATCTATGACAACGTATGAGCATCGAACAGTATTCATGCAAAGAACAAAAAAGTAGTTACCAGGCAATTCCCATGGTGGCTTCTCGATACCACGCTTTCCTTGAAGATATTTACGCTTCATGCTCCAATGAGCAGGTACAGGCACGGTATTGCGATATGATTTCAGAGCGACCAACAACTTGGGATCACTGGCTGTGACATCCCACCACTATGGATATCTGATTAGCGAATAGTTCGTGAATGAGTATTCCAAATTCTACAATACCTCGACAGTCTCTGGTTTCTTTACGAGCTGCTTCAGTTCTGCTACAGTCAAGCGTTGGATTTTCTTCATCTTTTTCTTTGACAAAGGTTGATCGTCCTTTTCTTCATCGTCTGAATTCTCCTCATTTTCTGGTTCGACAGTGTTGTCTTGTACAGGGAATTCCTGCGTTGAACAGATTGCTACTTAGAACAATCAATCCCATCAAATGAGACCATGATTCACCTACCTCGTCATCTTCCTCAGGCTTTCCAGTTTGAAAATGTTTGAAAATGTCTGAGAACTGCTGAAGCGTATTTTCGTCAAGATTTGACATACCATCCATATTTTTCAATGCGGACATGTCAACAGGCTGAACAACGTATTCAATCTGAACATCATCGAGAGCGTCTTCCTTCTTTTGCTGCTGCTCCAATTCCTTTGGTTTGCCGAGTTAGTGTCTACTGCGAAACACGCCTCATACACCATTAGTTTTACTTACAGCTTTACGTTGTGCCTCTTCCTCCTGACGTTGCTTTTTGCTCTTCTTTTTATTTCTCTTTCTCATCTTGTGTTGAGCCTTTTTGTTGGCAGCATTGCCATTCTCTTTGAGAATGTCGTTTGTTACAGGCGCAACTGCAGACATGTTTAGAGAGCTGAATGAAAAAGGATGCAAATGTTTGATTGACTGGCACAAGCCTTTTACTTGCAATTTCAAATGACGCAAATACCTTGTCACGACACCCTGTTGTTGTTGATGAAGAAGGTCCATCACTCTCTTTCTTCTCAGTTAAAGCAGACAAAGAAGAGGGGATTTTCATACTCTTATACATTCTATATATAATAACCTGCCATGATACAGCCTCCAGAGCCAGGCCCAAATACCAGGCAACCCACTTTTTCATTTGCAATCCCTTCCATCATCATGGATGGAGGAGGCCAGTATCCGCCCTTCTTTGATGTAAGCTTACACTGATTATTACACAGCCACAAGTTTGTGTACTAACGCCAATTCTTTTGCTTGACGTAGGCTTGTATTGCAGGTGGTATTGGAGGTTCAACAGCTGATTTCATTATGCACAGGTTTGAATTGGATCCAATGTACCAAGCCTATTTTCCTAACGATGAACTTACCTAGTGTGGACACTGTGAAGACTCGACTTCAAGGACAGCCCCACAGCCGCGTGCAGAAATATACAAGTATGGTGCAAGCATACAAAATGATATTCAAACAAGAAGGCGCCATGAGAGGATTATATGCTGGCGTAACACCTGCCATGATTGGATCAAGTAAGCTCCAAAATATCAAAAGAGATCTACATGAAAAAGCTTATTCAAAATCACCAAAAAAAAAAACTAGTTCCTGGTACAACGCTGTATTTTGCCATCTATGAATTAACAAAGAGAACATTGAACGAAACGAGTGTGCCTGAAGTTGTGTCTCATTTAACAGCAGGTTCACTGGGTGATCTTGCAGCATCTTTCATCTATGTGCCTTCAGAAGTTTTGAAGACCCGTTTGCAACTACAGGGGAGATACAACAACCCTCATTTTGTGAGTGGATACAATTACAAAAACACATGGCACGCAACGACAATGGTGAGTGAATGAAGCACGAGCAGACACATCCATACTTACACTGATATCAGATTGTCAAATATGATGGATTTGGTGCGTTATTTCATGGATTTAGAGCGACGATTTTAAGAGATGTACCCTACTCAGCGATACAATTTGCATGTTACGGTAAATGACTGAGCAGCCCACGATCGATACGCATTGCTAATGCAAACTATACAGAACAATTCAAGAAATTTGCTCAGAGCAAGTTTACAGCGTCTGGCGAGCATTTACCCATTGGCATAGATATGCTCACAGGTTCTCTTGCAGGCGGCATCGCTGGTGCCATCACGACACCACTAGACGTCATGAAGACATTATTACAAACACAACAAAGCAGCAGTGCCACTCTGAAAAAGAAGCCAACGCTCGCAGCAGCTGTTGCAGCAACACCTACAGCAAATCCAGTCAAATTACTGGATCCACCTGTCAAACATTACAATGGCATCATGGACGGCATGATCTGGAACTACAAAAATCAAGGATTAGCTGGTTTATTCAGAGGAATTGGTCCCCGTGTGTTTTGGACCAGTCTTCAGAGTGCTATCATGTTTGTCGTCTATGAGCAAGTGTTGCATGTTCAATCAAATCTAAGGGAAATTGATGAATGGCCACCAACAAAAATAGCTGAAAAGTTCGTGTAATATATAATCTCCTCTCTTCTTTTCATCCTCAATACCACCACACCTCTTCTTTTTCCTACGTCTACAAATGACAACACATTGTATTATAACATTTCAGGTAGGAGACACATAATAAACATAGACTTGTGTACATTTTATATATGACGAGTATCCGGGAGCCCTGCGAGGGACATGCGATCTCTTTTGAGAGATACTGCAAAGCGACTCAATAAAGTAGTTGATAATTAGAATGCTTGAAATCATTTTATTTGCTCTTGAAGCAACTTGCGAGCATTTGAAAAAAGACAAACAACCACCAAATCAGAAGATTTCAGAGAAGCATATCTCGATCAATTTAGAGTTTATTACTAAAATCGTCCAATGATATTGAAAATTATTTGATGCATTAGCAGAGTGGTACCAAAATGATGTATTTTTTCCCAATGTTACTCTCTGCCACGACTGAGGCGATAGTTCTGTTTGCTGCAGGGGAAAAAAAAAACAGTAATAGGATGGAGAATGCCAAACCACTCCGCTTCTTTCTCGAGTTTTCCTTTTTTCTCTTTCAGTTACCCCATTTCTTAATAATATTATCCCTTCATACACAAATAAATCATGCCATTTTCAGCGGTACGCTCTAAAGCCACTCACCATACAAAAAGTCTGTCGAATTCTGTTACCAAAAGGTAAGATAGCATCTGTCAGTACTTGAAAGTGTAGCATTGTAATCATGATACCATCCGCAGCGTGAACAGTAAAGAGAAAGATGACGAGGACCAAGGAATTGTAGAGCCCAAGTTCCCCATCAAAAAGTTTGATTATGTAGAGGGACGAAACTATAGACAATCCAAGAAGCCAAACGACCAATTTCTGCCTTGCGATGATGAGGAGATTGAGCGATTACAAGTAAATCATCTGTTATTCAAGTAAATATTGCTCGTTTTCTTGCAGCGCACTTGAATCTCATACGTGTGTATAGATCTTTGTTCATTACGCAATATTTCTCGCCTGTGGAAGCTGCACTGAGATCAGGCATCAAAGTATTGGATGTGTCGTAAGTAGACAATGTTGATGATGAAACCTGGATGCTGAAAAAAAAAAAAAAAAAAAAAAAAAAAAACTATTAGAGCTGGTCCTGGTTGGTGGTTGATAGTAAATGATCATAGAATGTATCAAAAAGTACTCCTTCTCTAATGCTACTTGATATTAGGACATGGCAAAAGAATTCCCCAAATCACACTTTACAGGGTGCGACGAGATGATATACCCAATCAACACACCACCTACAAACTGTCATTTCAGAGTGATAGATATATCAAAAGGGTTACCTTTTGCGGACAATACGTTTGATTTTGTGACACAACATGATGCACTATTTCGATACAGTCAGAAGGATTGGGACACTGTATTACCAGAGTTAATTCGAGTACTGAAGCCAGGAGGGTATGTGGAACTAGTAGAGCCAGGAGGCGTCATACAAGACATTGGACCAAACATGTCCATTTGGATGATGCGGCTCACTGTCTCTTTGCAGACAAGAGACATTACTCTTAAGATTGCAACACAATTAGAGGGCATGTTAGAGAGTATAGGAGGATTAGACAAAATAGAGGCCTCTCATCGCTCAGCACCCATTGGATGGTATGGCAGAAATGGAGACATCATGCTGGAAGCCGTCGAACGACTGTTTGATGCGATCAAGCCAAAGCTATGTGAAGACTGGTCAATGAGCAGCTCCAAATACGACAAGATGGTTCAAACTGCATCATCTGAATGCAGAGATTTTAGAAGTTGGCTCAATATTCATTACATTTTTGGACGAAAGGCACAACAGAATAAAGAGAATACATGAATTTTTATTACAGAAGCTATATTTTGTGTGTGTGTGTGTGTGTGTTTTTTTTTAGTACTGAAATCAAGCTTATATATTTTATAATTTACAAAAAGGAGTTTGAGAAGGAGTAAAAAGAAATGAGGCAAAGCATATATGAAAAAAGAAAAAAAAAAGAGACAAAAGAATAAGAGGAAGCAAGTAAGCAGTAAAGAAAAAAAGATTAGTTTTCCAAATACTTAGCTTTTGTTGATTTTCCACCTCTGTTACGACGGCAACAAAATACACCCTTCCTCTTTTCTGGCAAACATATTCCTTCATCTCTCATCTTTTGCTTTTTTTTTTTCTTTTCCATCTAGTTGAGCTTTCTTTTTCTCTCTTTCTTGCTTTCCATGCTATATGGTATTGTGAAATATTTTGATACTTAGTCTTACTCATGCGTGTGTTTGTGGGTGGGTGCGAGTTTCTGATGAGGGAAGAAGATAGCAGTTCTAAATAGATCAAAAGTTACACTGTAGATGCCATGGCGATAGGAGTTGCTTGTTCGTTTGATACTGGTACAGGTATCGGTGATGTAGTAGATAATGGCGTGCTTGTTTTCACTTTTTTGTTGATGTTGGGAGAGAGTGGGTTTACGTCGGTTGTTGGCTGTAATACAGGCGATGGCGACTAACAGAAAAATTCAGCATGCCATCATGGAAGAGCAGCTCCTATGGCTACTTACCTTGGATAAAGCTCTTTTGGACATGGCAGCATCTTTCTTGGGATATACCTCTTCAGGTAAATCAGATCTTTTGACATTTTCAACCACAATGCCCATATGATTTCTTTGATACTCTGGCCATAGTTTCAGCATTTGAGTGAAATCATAGATTGGTCTTGTTAAATCCAATGTGCGAGGATGATCTGCTCTTATGCGAATGTACAGCCCAATGTAGAATACCTTGGTATACACATACACAGGCTTCTTTTTGCTTCCCTTGCTGTGCGAGACAATTTGTCCGTGTGTCGCATCATATACATCTTGAGCACTGTGGCATTTGTACTCGTGTTTGAATCCATCCACAAACGGGTGCACAAGCGCAATCACTGGTACGGCTTCCAGCTTAAGCACCAGTTGTCGCAATCTTGCCTCCACGAGCCCAGACCAAGATAGAAATCTTTCATGCGTATCGCCACTCACAACCACTTGCAGATAGTACTTGTAGTTGTGGAAAAATGTATGGGGTTGGAACAGAGCAGACCAAGGTAGCTGATTGGCCATGATCTTGTCTACTGTTTGAGCTGCTATGTTGAACTCGCCCAATATAATGCGTTGCGTCGATGCTGTAACATTATGCGTGGCACACATGCTGGGGTACGACGGCGTGATGACAGGCATACGATGCGTTCTATCCACTGGATTTAACTTTGCACTCCAAGGTCTCAATGATGAGCTGAGAACAGGACCCTCTTCAATTGGCTTTAAAATGACTGGCGATGGCCAGTTCCATTGAGTCAGAATACGAAAGAATTTGCTAATAATCACACTAGCACATGCATTGGGATACAGTTGACAGATACGAGCGACTAGAATAGCCCAAGCAACACCACCTAGAAATCCCATGACATTGGAGTAAACAGCCTTCTTCATGGCCCATAATTTGATGCATCGAAGAGCAATTCTAAACGTATTGACATTGGGAACGAGACGAATTATATCATCGGCAACTCTTGTACCATTGATGCTTCGAATGCATCTGTCGTCAAGGCCTTGGAGAATTGATGAGTCCTTCAGGTTGATGCTGGGTGTTACTTGGGACACATTTAACCTAGCGCACACAAAATCAATCTATAACAGATGTGTGTCAGCACACGATTACATAGTTGGGGTGGTACATACTGGAATGTCATTAAACTTGAACTTTATCACTGGGACATACGAGTCTGGCACGGCCTGTGTATATATTGCATGAACTAAGTAGGCGAACATTGGATTGCTTTGTGAGTGGATACTTACTGTAATGTGCGTGATCTCGGGTGTCTTTCTTAGTAATGTGAGCATTTCCTGAAAGAAATCGCTTCTAAAAATGACATTTGGTACAACGCACAAAGTGTCAATATCAGCATCTAAACAGGATCTTTAGCACTGGTACACTTTCTACTCATTTGAGGCATGCATACCAGCAGAGTTCACACCTAGCTTATAACTGCCATAGGTAAATACGGCCCCTCCTGCCTGCTTTGATGTTTCTTTTGGCACCTTTCGACGTTCGCACACATTCATTACAAACTGTTGTGTGATTTCCTGTAATCGCTTTAATGCATTCTCTCTGTTGCTTGAATGTGAGTCTATAGTGATGGGCAAATGTACACCCAACTTACCTTTCCACCGTGCGTTGCTCGCTGTCGTACATGCCAAATCTCTCCAGCGTCTCTTCCAATGATGCTGTAAGTCGAATATCTTGCGGGCTTGGGGTTGCCAAGGATAATGGTGCAGTTACACCGGGATATGATTCACTCATGGCAAAATAGCGTATGTATGAAATGAGAAATAGAAGAAAGAAAGGCAAAAGGAGCGAGAAAAAAAATGTCGACAGGTTGAAAAGCTCAAAATCTGGTTGGAGCATTGGATCAGCTTCTAGTCACAAGAGAGCACTTGATGGCAAGACATGAACGTAATCTTGATGCACTACTGGGCAACTCTCCTATCCTGTTATTTTCAAAAGATTTTTTCAGTTCTTTTCAAATTTAGCATTTTTCTGCAAACTTCAATATGACTGACAAACTTCCTCCCAATTTGTTAAAGTTGTTTGCGCCTCGCCCTCCTTTATCTTATGTCCCACCTCTTGATAAGGACCCTGAGAAGCGTGTGGGCTGCATCGTAGGCGGCATCGCGTCCTATGTCGATGAGCTAAAGAACTACGATGCTGACTATGTTCCTTGGAAATCCCTGGAGGAGAAACGAAAAGAAAAGGTGAGTAGTATACCATGCGCCTTTCGTGTGATGGGTACTAACAGAGAGACAGGCAGAGATGAAGCGAAAGAAAGCCGAGGAAGCATTACAAGAGGCTTTAGCTAAATGTAAGCATGTCGCCGCAGAACACACCTTGTATAGTCGTATCAACATCTTTTTGTGATATATAGATGACCCTGAGCAAGATGAGAATATCGACGGCGACCCTTTCAACACATTGTTTGTCACCCATTTGAGCCCAGAACTGACAGAATCAGATCTCATGAGCGAATTTGAATTATATGGACAGATCAAAAAGGTAATGAACCGACTTACCTAGCACACATTGACTGGCCTGTACATACTCACTTATCTTGGTTGATAGATTCGTCTCATTCGTGACAAGGAAGGCAAATCTCGCTGTTATGCATTTATAGAGTTTGAGAGAGAAAAAGACATGCGTGGTAAGTTGACAGGCCAAAAAAAAAAAAAAAAAAAAAAAAAAATAGAGTGGTGTACGTATTTGGCGTACTAATGGTATCTGCAGCGGCTTATAAGGATGCAGACGGCTTAAAGATCCTGGGACGTCGTATCTTGGTAGATGTTGAACGTGCTCGTACTGTGAAGGGTTGGAAACCTCGTAGATTAGGCGGCGGCCTTGGCGGCAGAGAACAGCAACGATCATCATCATCTCATCACTCAATGAGCAACCGTCATGCCAGTCGTGATCGTTCATCTTACAGTGATCGCGATAGACATAGAGGAGGAGGCAGCAGCAGTTATAGAGGCGGAGGAGGATATAATAGCAGAGACGACGATAGAAAGAGATCTCGTATGCGCTCACGAAGCAGAAGTCCAAAAGGATACAAAGACAGAGTTGATCGATACGGTGGTGGTGGCCGTGGTGGCAGAGATAGATCAAGAGACCGTATGGGCAGTAGTAGCAGAAGAGATAGATATTGATTTACCTTTTTAACATTACGTTTATACATATTTCCACCTTCTCTTTCTTTTTCCATATAAAAATTCTCTTTTTCTTCTTCTTTCTTCTTTGAGTGACATTTACAAATCACTGGCATGGGAAAAAAAGCTTCATGTATGTATATATATGCTCAAGACTTGTTGTTGGCAGGAAACATGTGCTGCCAGACTGGATACAACCAAGTTAAGTTAACAATGTTTGTGATATCAGCAATAAATCCTACTTTTTATTGGCAGCTTTCAATGATTTGCAGTGATGAGTTTTGTCTAGTATATACCAACTAGCCGATCCATCTCGCTACGTTCGATGACGGCGTCGCCCTACGGGCTCCCGCCAAATCAGAGATAATAAAAATCAGGCATATCAAGTAGATCTTAAATAATCAATTAGTAGTAAGGCTATATCCTAGTCAGGAGGGGGGGGGGAGGTATCCATTCGCTGATGTTGCTCTTGAGATGACGGCATAAAACTGGCCATTTGTAAATACAGGACGTGTGTAAAACCTACAGCGATTTTCTTGCGATATTGTCATTGCAAAAGAAACCCTTACAGGGAAATACTCTCAAGAAAAAAAATGTATTTAAGCTAAGCAATTGTCCTTTCAACTCCATGATCCTTATTTAAACAGTATCGCAACCATCCTTGTCATCATCAGAAAAGCATTTGGGTCAGCCAACAGTAGCGCCACAGCTAAAATTGATTCAAACCCAGTTAACTTTTTTCTGCTCAAGATTGGACAAATTATGTTCTTTTTCGACTTGATCGATCTATTTTTGTAAGATTCGACTATATAAACTGTGATGATCATACGATGCTTCCTAATACAATCTAAGAGTACTTTTCAAGGCGCTTCCAATGGTGCCAAGTAAAATAAATATTCTGACTGAATGTATGGAGCAATTTCAGAAAATATGAAATAAGGTTTTTGGCCAAAATGTCGAAATTTTGCATATGAAGACTTCATAAAAGTGGTTTCAGAAGTTGCTTTGGGTCAAGAGAAGCATTTTGATTTAACATATGCCATAATAAAAGCCTTCATTTTCAAGGTAAAAAAGGCGATCGTTTGATTTTCGATGAAAACCATGAGGTGCTCCTCATGCTTTTTGGTCGATTTTTGGCCATGTTTTTTGGGTTTCCAAAAAGTTGAGCAAAGGTGTCAGGAAGTTACTATTACTCGAATACAATTGTTTGGCGTTATTCTGGTAGCTCAGAAAGGCCTACATGCCAAGATATGAAGGCTTGAAAGCTGTCAAATTTGGCTATGTTTTGTTTTATAGTTTCTATTTGCATGCCATGAATCACATCTTTGGTAGTTGTAATTTACTGGAAGGGCAGTTCTGTCTCTCCCCAATGCCGGCTACGGCGGTGGTGTATTCACCTTGTACAGTAAATTCTTTAAATTTTTGAAAGGATATGAATGTTTTACAGTGTATTATATGATGTTGATGCCACTATCATTTTCAGAGTTCACTGTATACAAATTACTTGACCTGAATTCGCCAACAAGATCCTATTGGGGGGCGCTTCAGTGCTGGCAAGGGTGATGTGGGATGATGGATACAGGCCAATGTTGCTTTTTCCCTGATCTCTACTTGTACCATCTGTGTATATCAATTCTATGTCGCACATCATATGTGAAAATCGAGCTGTAACACACAATCAAAGACTCGTCTCCGAAAAAAGGCATCTATATAAAATTCTTCGTTCTTTGCCACTTTTTCCTTTCCTTTTCTCCTTGTATCATATCATTTAGCATGACTGAAGCGGAAATCACCAAAGAAGAGCCTAAAATTGAGGCCATCACAAACATCTTGAAAGATGAGCTTAATCTGACATCGCACCAGATTGACCGGGAGAAAGAAAAAAGGAAATTTGTTCCCCAGAAGCCCACTGAAGAAGAGATAAACAAGATCAAAGCAGCAGATCCAGAACGGTTCGGTGCTAATCTGATCCAAATCAAGAAGGGGCAGGTCAACTTGAACCCACTTACACCGAGAGAACAAGAGAAAGAAGGCAAGTTTTGGCTGAAATCATCCATTCAGGGGTGACTCAAACTGAACGAAAACTACACAGATGAATCAGTGATCAGAGGATTGAGTTACTTGTTTGACAATCAATTTATGGCAGCAAAGACCATCTTTGAGGAGAAGGCAGACTGGTGAGCATGATGGCGGTTTGGGATCGGTGGGCATGGATAGACTAAACTTCTTTGCAGTGACCCATTAAATGCTTTGGCGCTTAGCTCAATGGCCTTTTTAAAAGGTAACTATAGAACCTAGAATACCTTTGTACCATGAATAACACTTGCTTCAATCACTCTTTTTTCTCACACAAACCAAAACCTCAAAAGCTGTCATGGTAAGGCACCCATATTTAGTGTTGCACAATGATATTAAATGTTTACCATCCCCACATATAATAGACCTCAGCAGATCAAGATCAAACAATGGCATTGAATGCCTTGAATGAGACATACAACATTGCAAATACTCAATTAGAAGCAGCCAAAAAGTCATCCAAAGTATCCGGCTATTTCTCGGGATACTACAACTACTTGAAAAAGAAAGGCGATTCACCAACAGACGCTGCTACTCCAGAAGGGACCTCAACTGCTCGTCCCACTTCCAGCTATCCGCCCAACAGTGTCTTGCGTGCACATGTTTTGAAAGCCGAATGCTGTCTGCAGATTGCTATTTTGCAATTACTGCAGGAATCTGTCATGGGCTATGTCAAGTGTGGCTTAAACTTGCGAAGAGCGTATTCATCTTACAGTTATGTGTGGTCAGAGTATGAAAAGATGGGGGCAGACCACTTGGCATTCATGGACTCGGATACCATTTCTGGCGTGCAATTTGGGTAAGAGAACAAAGGGGCCATGGCAAAGTAGACAACTGACCTTGCTTGTAGTATTGGCTCTGTTCATCTCGTATTATCCGCTTTGCCGGCCAAAATTCTCAAGGCGATATCAGCATTTGGATGGCAACCTAACAAGAAGTATGGTTTCGTACTGCTCAACGAATGCCGTCAAAGCAAAAGAGTGCGATCCTCCATGGCTACTATCATGTTACTGGCTTACTACACTGCTGCCATCTCCTTTGCTCCTCAAATCATGTCTGACGTCTACAAGAAAACTGCCATGGATGTAAGCTGCTTTCGTGCTATCGCATTGCTTGCTACTTAATACCTCTTCTTTTGTATAGATTTTATTAGACGCTCAAAAGTATCATCCCAATTCTGCAGTATTTCTCTTCTTTGCTGGCCGTATGGCTCGTAATGGCCTGGATTTACCACTATCTACACAATCATTCTTATATGCAGCTGAAATAAGCCGTGGTGAATGGGCTGAAGTGGCTGTTACAAACTCATGTCGATTTGAAATGGCCATGAATCACATGCTCACTGGCAACTGGAGCCATGCAGCTGCAGCATTTGAATATCTGTATGAACAGCAGTACTGGTCTACTGCTTTCTGTCGCTATGCCCAAGGTGCTTGCTACGAAATGATGGGCGAGCGCACTGAAGCCATTTTGATATTCGCAGAGGTTCCTCAACTTGTCGTAAAGAAACTCGGTGGTCGTCTATCCGACATTGACTCATATGTGCTGCGTAAAATCACCATGTTTCAAAAGAGTGGCTATCAAAACTTGGATTTCTATGCACCCATTCTTGAATTCATGTATATTTGGAACGTCTTTCCCTATATCAGTCCCGAGTTGTTAACTGAAGCATTGAATCGTGTTCAACGAAGTTTGGCTGCCATCCAAAAATGCGAGAATATAGAGCAAGAGCAACGAATGATGGAATTAGCACCAGATGCACCAACGCCTGATTATTTTGATGAGAGAGCCTGCTTGCTGGTTGTCAAGGCTGCCATTCTGAATGTCCTCGGAAGACCAGAAGATACAACGTTGGATATCAATTGGATCCTGGATCACAAAGAATGTATATCGCAAGATACGTGGACGGTTCCCTATGCCCTTTGGGAGGCTGGTGTTTCTTGCTGGTCGCTTGATCTCAAAAATAAGAGTCGACAGGTCTGGGAAATGGCTTTGGATCACGGAAAGCATGACTTTGAGCATCGATTAGCTGTTCGTCTCAATTTGGCACTGGCACAGACAGAAGAGCTGGGATACACTGAGCCTCAGCCTACTGAACCTATCGATGATAAAAAGCGATTTTCTGTCGCATTAGTAGACCAGCCCTCCACCAACAACAGCATAGCATCCTCTTCTTGAGACATTAATTGATTCATAAATTTATTTATACACACTTTTTTGTAACATCTAAAATTGATTCGCTTGACCTTGCTTCAAAGCTCTTTCTTCAAGGTATAATGCCTTTTGTGTCCATTTCTTGCTTTGAAGAGTTTGCAGCACATTGTTCATCTTTGCTCTGGCGGCTCTTTCATCCTCTTCTTGTTGTGCTCTGATTTCGTAGAATTCTGATGTTGCTTTAGCGTAGGCCTTTCTCTCAGGCATCTTTTCGTGAGTCATTAAATAGAGTTGATATTTGATGACACTAGAATATTGTTAACTTATTGAATAAACCATACTGCCTGATATAAACTTACGCTTCACCGTCGATTTGAGAAGGATGCATGCCGTCCAACATGAGTTTACTGAAATCAGTGCGATTAATGCCCAAATCATTCTCTACTAGCACTTTGGGTCTTGATAATTCGAATGGATGATCCTTGAAGAATTGTCTTCTAAGCTTATCCTCAGGATAAACGATGGCACGGGGTCTAGGTGGAGGTGTACGTAAATGCTTCTCAGAGTGACGAAGACGATGCTTTTGTTGAGGTTTAGATAAAAAACTTTGTTCCAATTCTGTTTGACCTGAGAGATTGGCTTCAGGGTTTTGAGAACGAACAACACTGGGTCCAGGGGGGATAGCTTGCACAACTGAGAGCCATACTGGTGGCTTCTTCATTAAATTCCCTTTCAACATGTTGGAGACATGCTTTGCAAGTCCTGTAGGTGGTGCACGGAAAGCCATGATTATAGAAAAGAGAGAGGTGAGAAAAGAGGAAAGGGAAAGACAAAATGTGTCAAAATTTTCTAATCCACACTCAAACTCTTACCACCATCCACCACCCCACCCCCTAGTAGATATGGACTTGGTCCTGCCACTTGAATAGCAATTCAAGAAATTTGAATTCCAGCTTGTTGAAAAAGTTACATTCCTTGTTAAGAATCGAAAAAAAAAAAATATCCCTGTGGTAGTTGACACCTATCCATTGATGTCGAGATAACAGAAATTCAATAAACAGTAGCATTGAATGCTCAAAATGGCACCGAACAAAGAGGTGGATAGATTCTTTTAAAAATATCAACAAGTATTTACGACATTCTCATTTTAGTAAATGAAGAGGATCTATGCTAATATAGCTACGAATTGCACCACGCTATATATCTTCGCAAGCATAGGATCGTACATGCCTACGCAACGATACAGTTCTTGCTTATGCATTAAAAAAGGCGTTAAACTTCTAGGAACATCATCGGGGATGGCTAGCGTACCAACAAAATATCCTCTTCATTCGCCATACATTTTTTTTTTTTCGATCCTGACATGTCAACAAAATCTAACAATGTATTTGATCTCTTGTATAAGACAACTAGCCGATCAATCTTGCTACGCTGGATTACGGCGTTGCCCTGCGGGCTCTCGCCGAAGACATTTCAATTCAGAGATATCACATAGATTTTAGACATTCAATTAATAGTGAGAGATTATTGTTATCGCAAAAGACACCTTTACAGGGAAAAACTCTGAACAAAAGTAAATAAATATACATATATTTGGACTAAGTAACTGTTCTTTCAAATACATGGCCTCCATTGGGTCAGTACCGCAATTATCATTGTCATCATCAGAAAGGCATTCGGGTAAGCCAGCATCAGCGAAGCCTGCCAAATTCGATTCAAACTCAGCGTATCTTTTTTTTTGTTCAAGATTGGTCAGATTTCGTCCTTTTTCGACTTGATTGAACTCTTCTGCTTGATTCGACTATATGGATTGTGAAGATCACCCTACGCTTCCTAATACATTCTTGGAGTACTTTTCAAGACGCTTTCAATGGTATTAATTATAATAGGTGCTTTAAATGAAACTATTGAGCAATTTGGTAAAATATGAAATGAGATTTTTAACGAAAATAGCCATATTTTGCATATGAAAACCTCATAAAAGTGGTTTCAGAGGTTGCTTTGGGTCAAGAGAAGCATTTCGATTTAACATATGCCATAATAAAAGCCTTCATTTTCAAGGTGAAAAAGGCGATCGTTTGATTTTCGATGAAAACCATGAGGTACCCCTCATGCTTTTTGGTCGATTTTTGGCCATGTTTTTTTTTGCCCAAAAAGTTGAGCAAAGGTGTCAGGAAGTTACTATTACTCGAATACAATTGTTTGGCGTTATTCTGGTAGCTCAGAAAGGCCTACATGCCAGGATATGAAGGCTTGAAAGCTGTCAAATTTGGTTATGTTTTTGCTTTATAGCTTTTATTTACATAGTATGAGCTACGTCTCTGGTAGCTGAAATCTTCTGGAAAGGAAGTTCTGCAGCCTGTGCAAGTTCTAGTTCGAGTAGAAGGAATATTGTTTTTGGTAAGACTATTTCACGCAAATTTTGATGCGTATACTATTGGTAGGCTTAATAATAATAGAAATAAAAAGCTGAATTGGCTGCTTGAATGCTATGGTTTTGCACCTTCGCTTCGCTAAGGTAAAACCCCCTTATAGGTCAACGTTACCAAATTTTGAATTAGATGCGTTATGTTCTTGGTGGAGGGACCAAGTTCCCCCCCCCCCCCTCCCCAATGCTAGCTTCGCCGGTGGTTTTTTCGAGCCTTGTACGGTACTCAGTACTTTAATTTTTTTACGTCTCTGATGTCTGATTGGTCGCTCCGACGTTTTTTACATAGTTTTCTGGTAAATACTACAGATGATGGTGGGTGGCAGATGTCAGACATTATGCTCGCAAGATTCAAGGCATGCGACATATAACAAACGGTGTTTTAAATAATTTTGGCGGCGGCGTTTAGTAGGCTGATGCTATTAACGTGTAGGATAAATAGGGAGGATGAGAAGTTAGACCGTTGGGTATGGGGCGAGGCAGGTGTAACTAGCGAAGAATAGGATGTACCATGTGAGGTAGAGGTGCCAGAAGTCAAAGGGTATGTATTTTCTGATCAGCCAACTACAGCTTTGTTAGAAATTTGAATTGACAATCATAATTTATATAAAAATGCTCAAGAAATATATGATCTTTAAGGTAGTTTTATAACCTTTTGTATAAGAATGACGGTCATCATAGCTACTCTAGAAAACTTATAATGTAGTTCATATCTTTCAGTGTCTAGAATATATATACGCATTTGTCTATAGACGCTACTTCTTATTGATAAACTACAGAAAAATTGGTATCATCTTGAACATACTACGGGAACTATGGAAATTGATCATTTTCAGGTTATACCTCAGAGGATGGTGAGGCTCCCTGATACCACAAAAGCTGCTAGCTCCCATCGGATATATTGTAGCTCATTGCTACAATACAACTCAATAATAAGTAATTGGTTTGTAGGAATAAATAAAATTAAACGAAGAGATTTCTGATCCAATCTGTCTACTGCCCTAGCCTACTGTTACCTACGGCTACCTACAACCGTCTACACTTCATACCCCCTGCAGTCTATTTATTATAGGGAGTACACACTAACTTTTCATACACTCTTTTTATCTTGCATCCATTATAATAACGAAGGCAAATGATATCTTTCTTTCCAGCTATTAAGAAGGGAATTGCAAATTGGAGATGTCGTAGCTTAGCCTGACTACCTCAACTTACGATTGCTATATATTTTATATCTGATAGGCTTACTCGCTGCAAATTTGCTCAATTAATTGCGATTCCTGACGAAATGTGGTTTAGTTGTTTGTACACAGGCATGCTAATTTAATAACCTTATCATCCTTCACTGACGTACTACTCAAGTTTGAGATGTCAAGGTATTTACGTTGGCTTTCTCTTTTATTGCCTTTTATTTTACTTGGTAACCTCTTTAGTTGTAGCCAGCAAGTAAATCTGTTTCGATCAACGCCACCAAAACGTCAAGCACTGAAATTGGATATGAAGAAACATTCTCAATAAAAAAATACTGTCATGTCTATTCTTATTACTCTAATTAGCTTGTATAGATGGATATAGAAAGTATGGTCAAGCATACATTCTTCTTGTATTGCATCTGGACCAGTACAAATGGCATCAAATCAAGAGGTATGGTATGCGAATTTTCTTCATGCATGCTCATATACCCCTTATTCCATTCAACCTTGAATGATAAAACTTTCATGCTAGAATCTATATCGAGAATTGGCTCGCCTTACATTTAGCATGCTTTTTGTGAATCGAGGCATGCGAGCGTATAGAGAAAACTGTACCACCCTCTATTATCAAGTCCCCTTGCCTTTATACATTTCAAAGTAAATGGTGCTTAGATTGGATCCCTTGTCCTTCCAGATGATTGAGAGAATGGGGAGCTGCTAAAGTATCAGCCAAATATTTGGAATTGCTCAAGTAGCAGAAACTGATAGAATAATTTTGAATGTAGGATTAGTGTGATCCCTCTATTTTCTTTAAAGAGGATAATTCATAAAGTGCAAACCGTGAGGGCTTTCAAACTATAATAGAACGCTTTAACGCTTGTCAAAATGCACTCAATCACGATTGCAAATGAATGCATTCCCAGCTTGTGTGTACTAAGAAAGAGAGATGGGATATAAATAAACATCTCAAAGGGGGCATGTTTTTTTTTTTTTTTTTTTTTTTTTACAGGATGAAAATTTCATGGCTTAATATATTAAGCAGAAGAATATCAAGACATACAATCAGAAAGGAGAAAGGAGAAGGACATGGGCGCTGTTGTGTGCCGCCATGCCTATAGCGTTTTTCCCACTTGGGGTTTCAGAGCATGCTGATCATTCGAATCTTCTAAGATGTACAGAGGAGTTCCTAAATCTCGGTAAATTAGACCTATTTGCTTTCTTCAGGAGTTGCTGATACTCTAGATTTGGTTATGAGTACAAGTTGATTTTCAATAAAAGCAGCGCTCAGCCGTACTAGTTGAGTGCACTTCGATTTTGAAAACTTTTACTCCCTTATTTGCAATTTGCCATTATTTTACAAGATGGGCGCAATTTGTTTATTTAATTTATATCCACATCGCGCTGTACATTTTCTTTGAAAGGGTTAAATCTTGAGAAGTTTTTGCGAATTCGGAAAAAGTGTCTTTTTATTCTTGATTATGTACAGAGAAAGACAGTTAAATTGCATTTGTAGAGGCTGATGCAAGTAGAATTATCGATTTCGAGAAAGGCTCAATTTGATTTTTGAAAAAAATACGAGGGTTTTGCAGCTCTGCATTTGTATGCTGATGAGATATTCCGAAAATTTGTTTGATGCGCTGGCTGTTGTTGTCATTTATTTATTTACCCCTGAGAAGGCTAGCCTGTATGCTAGATGCGTGTAGAATGAGGCTAAGAAAAATAAGACATTGTCGACTATCCCTATCAGTCAAAATCAGCGTGTCAAGTGGCTTTATTTTTTTTTTGTATGCCATAAAGATAGCACTTTATCATGTCGATAAACAATTCGCATTTTCATAAAGAGCAATACTGACGATTTCAAAATGAGCATTCCTTATTATTAAGCTTTATCCAAATTTGATAAAAGTATGATAGAACAAAGCATCATTAAATACATACAATACATTTAGTGGCGTCGGATCGCCTAGTTATAAGAGCAAATCTGTGTCATATAGTTTAATATTTAATAGAGTAAAAAAACATAAGATAAAAACCATAGTTTGCATAGATAGAGCAAGAGTATTATATATATATATATATGCGTGGTGAAATGAAAGACAAAAATCAAGGATATCTACTATAACGGTAAAGAAAAAGCAATTAAAGGAAGGAATAAAGAGGGTGTATTAATTGGATTTTGCGCGTGTAAAAAAGAAGGGGAGAAAATGTTACGCTGCAAGCAACAAACAACATATTTTTAATATCGTTTAATGTTAGTTGTACGAGCCTTTCGCTTGTGAATGAGCTTCTGAACTAGATCATTTTGTGAGCATAATGGATTTGATTGGAAATGACGACCTCTCGCATCTGATCTTGCAAATGACTTTTGACAGCAAGGACAATGGTATGGCTTGACACCTGTATGGACTCGCACATGGCGCTCTAAATCATGGCGCCTGGAGAAGGCACGAATACAGTACAAACATCTATGAGGTTTTTCTTCGTCCACCGCCGCCATCAGATCAAAAAAGGTGGTGTTTTCTTCAATAGGCGAAGGAGAGGCTTGTCTACTACCACTACAGCTACCGCTGCTAATACTGGAAGTAGGCGATGTTGAGGTAGACCAAATGGGAGAATCTGGAGCAGCGACAGCAGCAGAGAAACAGGGCGATAGAGCGCAAAATTCATCGTACAGCAGGACATTGATGTCATTCCACAATAATCCCAAATGAGACGTATCTACAGAAGGCTTGATTTGGTTAAAATCGATGGGATTGTCTAGCAATTCATATAAAGATGCCATGGCTTTTTTTATTATTATTATTATTGCGGTTTTTTTGCTTGTTGATTATTATGTAATGGTTTTTGATGTGATATGATGAAAAATGATAGGTAAAACTTGATGAGATGTAGGAGGGAGCAAAAAAAAAAAAAAACGGAAATGTTGGTAATGGAAAATTTAGCTTTTATACCTGTTGATTTAACGGGCGTTGATGGGGGTATGGCCGGACAAAAACAGAGATAAAGAAGAAAAGAGGGAAAGGAGATCGAGAGGCATAGAGAGCAAGGAGGAGCAGGCGAGGGGATACACACAAAAATGGAAAGCGACAGACATGACAGGCAAGCAAAGGCAGAACCGGGCAGGCAGACCGGAAAAGAATGTCTGGTAGGCAGGTCGGCAAGCGAGAGAGAATAAGGCCGCACGCAAAATTTGCTACGATTAGGATGGTTTACAGCCTTGTCAAAATCAGGGCAAGTGGAAAGCACATCTTGGGAAAGTCTAAACAAAATAAACTTTTTTGTATTAGTATTAAAGAGTGCTTGTGTCCCCCCCCCAGAATTCAACTATTATAAGATGCTCAAGACTGTAAAAATAGCTTGCCTCCCTCTTACCTTGGTTGCATTGATAAAATTTCCTCCTTTGTTCACTTTCCATCACCCCCCAATTTCTCCTGATTGTTACACGTGCGGCCTAGGCAATCCTTCTTTGTGTGCGATTGTGTGCGTTCATTATGTAGACACTCAGTGGTTTCATTGTTTTGCAATTGCAACCAAATTCTGAGTTGAATGTCTAGGCGATTGTTAATTTATAACTTTAAATATTGATTCTTCTCTCTTTCTTCTTTTCTTGCATATATTCAAAATATAACATAACAACATGGGAAACAGTGCATCAAAAAGCCGATCGAGAAAGCATCAGAAATCACGTAAAATGGCTACTACAGAGACGAATCATAACAATCATGCTTCAGCAGTTCCGCCATCAACAGTAACTCCTGATTATCGAAAGCCTCAACCGGAGCAAACACAACCACAGCTGGAACAAGAGGAGTATTATTACACAGAAGAGGACGCAGACGACCCAAATGTCGTCGACTCACATCACGAACAGATCAATATCGAATCCTGCATAGATAGATTGCTCGCAGCTTCACAACACAAACACATTGGAACGACGCTTTGCCTGGATCAAACCGAAGTGATTGCCATCTGCCGTTATGCCTATAATATCTTTTTAGATCAACCTGTAAGTTTAATTGGATTTGAACAGACAGGAGTTCCCTTGAATTAACATACATAGTTTACGTTGCTATCCAATAGACATTACTAGAGCTGAATCCTGGAGTCAAGATAGTGGGAGATGTAAGCGCAACAGAACAATGGCTGCTACACAAGGCAGGATACTAAATAAATTGATTATATTGTAATTATAGATCCATGGACAATATCATGACTTGATAAGGCTGTTCCAGATGAGCGGATTTCCTCCAAGCTCAAACTATCTGTTCTTGGGCGACTATGTAGATAGAGGCATGTATAGCTTGGAGACCATCTTGCTTTTGCTTTGCTTCAAAATCAAATTTCCAGAGAATTTTTTCCTTTTACGAGGAAACCATGAGAGTGCAGATGTTACACGAGGTAGAGGAATTTGATTAGTGTGTGTATGTGTACAAACATCATAACCATATGGTTCTTTCCGATTTAGTCTATGGATTTTATGATGAATGCAAGCGTCGCATGAATGTGAGGATTTGGAGGCATTTTGTAGATGTGTTCAACACAATGCCGATTGCTGCTTTGATTGGGTCGAGAATATTTTGTGTGCATGGAGGTCTCTCACCGTCAATGCAAGCCATGGAGCAGATCACTTCTATACAAAGACCAGTGGAGATACCAGAATACGGATTGCTGAATGACCTGCTGTGGTCTGATCCGAGCGATGCATCCCCTGATTGGAGCGAAAATGATAGAGGTGTTTCCGTGTGCTTTGGCACTAAAAATGTGGACGACTTTTTGGCTCGATACGATCTAGACCTTGTTTGCCGAGCTCATATGGTATAAATCTGATATGAACAATATCACCATATATAAAGTTAACCGGTGTTATTTTTAGGTTGTTGAAGATGGCTATGAATTTTTCAATCAGCGTAGATTGGTGACCCTATTCAGTGCACCAAATTACTGTGGTGAGTTTGACAATTACGGAGCTGTCATGACCATATCCAAGGATTTGTTGTGCAGTTTCGAGCTACTAGCGCCCGAAGAAAAAGTGGTTACCATGGAACAGAAGCGGAAGAAGAATAGGCAAGAGAACACCAATATCTAGTGTGATGGCATTTGTTACTAACATTCGAGTGTATAGTCTATCATTGCAATTACCTGCTTGATTGTCTCCTTTGGACACATGGGAAAGATGGTTGATGATCAGAAAATGAGATCTTTTGAAAATATACACTTGTTCTTGACGAACGGCCGAAAGATCGGTGATTCGATGCCTCTTGAGATGCCAAATAATTGTATAAGCAAAATAAACTTTAACAATTATTGTTATGAACAAACGATTATAGGATGCATGCCTATATGGCAATTGCAACTTACCTCCATTGTTTTTGTTAGCTGCTCGGTTTATACCATCTTTGGCTTTTGACTCAAGTTCATGGATCATATTTATACAAATACCTCAGCGACAGGATGTTTGTAGGCTAATATTTCAAGTAACTTGTAATGTACACGAGCTCTTCTGATTCTTGCTTGTTACCGTAACAATGCATGGCTTTTTTGGGATTACGCCAGTATAAATTTCAAGCAAAATCCCCCACCGGGGTAATAGGGGCTCACTGATAAGCTTGTTTTTAGTAGGGAGTAAACTGTACTAACCAAGAGCTTTACAAATGCTGTACTGTAGGCCCAGTTGATTTAATATGTATCATGTAATACGCCTAGTTTCTTTATACGCCTTGTTACAATCTCAGGGGGTAATAGCAAGGAAAAACGTTTAAATAAACCACCTCCTGAAGCACTTGTTTGGATTTCTAAGCACAATCTATACAGTATCGAAAAAAAAAAGAGCCCTATTGCTATTAAAGCAGAAAAATGTAGTTTGATTTAATACCTTTGTCTAGGATGTAATTCTGAAATACACGCATTACCCGTCAATGCAAGCTTCAAAAGAATGGCCTATTAGATGTCAATGTGACATGTAGCAAGTGCTGAGGAAATGTGATTCAAAGTGAGAGATAAAAGCAATGAAAAAAAAAAAAAAGGTTAGGCGAGAGAAAAGGAAGACATCATTTAATTGCAAGATAAAGCATGTTTATCCATTTGGAAAATTGGAAAATTGTGGCCTAGTATATAAACAGATCAAGGCTTTTTTAATTGTTTTGTTCCATGGACTTCAAGTGAGACCTCTGCACAGCTTAAAAAGTCACCTATTTCGCATCAATTGATCTATAGACTTCTTTTTTGCCATTTTGCCACAACCCTTGAATTCTCCTTAATAAACAACAAAATGTCTTTGGACATTGATTGGCAAAAACTTGATTCTGAACTAGCTGGACATGTTCAGCAATTCCTAAATAAGCACTTTCAGGCTATTACAAAACCATCATTTATTGGCGATATTCAAGTGAAAGATTTTCAATGGGGCAACGAAGCTCCTCAGATTGAAATTACCAACATAACAGAGCCATTTCCAGAGTTCTATGAACAAGAAGATGTGAACGAACAAAACACAGATACTGTTAAGGCTGCATCAGTGACAAATATGGCAAGTCAACCATCCTCCATAGGAACGATAACAAACACAACAAACACAAGTACACCACTGATACGCCCGCAGCCTTCGCCTCTACCACCACAAACAGAGTTCTTCTTATCAGACGATGATGAGGAGACAAATACAGCAAGGATACCGCTAAACACACAAAGATTCAACTACATGCATTCATTCCATCGCTCGCCATTCGTCGCTCCTCAGCATCCATTTAGCAATTCGCCAGGCCTCTATTTCTCATCTCCACCCACACATTTGACACCTACAAACGCATGGAACTCATCACACCCTTCCTCTGTGATTGAGGAAGACTGGATTGATGACGAGGATATCAATCGGGTCTCGGACCACCCTTCCTCTATACCTCCAGCTAGCAATGCAACCATCAACAACGCACCTTCAGCCGAGATGGACTTTCAGGTACACATGCAGATATCGTATAAAGGCGATATGAGCATGACTGTAATGACTGAATTGCGCATGAATTACCCCAGCGTCATGTTTATGAGTTTGCCTATCAACTTGCGAGTACGTTCTGTTGAATTTGAGGCAACGGCTGTGGTTGCTTACATCCAGAGTATGCAGCGAGTGTGTGTGAGCATGCTGGAGCCAGAAGATACAAGTGCTGGTGGTGCTGGTGGTGCTGGTAACAAGGACATTGGAATGGACAGGTGAGACCGAAAGCTGATAATACACAAACATGCACTAAACTAAGTTTATGCTTATGTCGCCTGTTAATTTAGTCTACTAAGAGATGTGCACATTGAGACAGTGGTGGGCGATGAGCAAAAGCAAGGTAAATTAATATTGTGTACGCCTCTCCGTATCGATTTCATCTCCTTACTCAACATTGCTCATCCATGCTAGTCTTGAAAAACGTTGGAAAGATTGAGAAGTTTATTGTAGATCAGTTGAGAAAAATGCTCGATGATGAGCTTGTATTCCCTAGCTATCAGCTCATTCAACTCCAATAAAAGCTTCTATTTGCTCAAGCCCGAATGGCGAAGTAATGCAGACACATCCACATTAGCACGACCTCTAAATTGCTCCCAGACCTTGCCAGGTGCTGTTCCACCTCCCAACGCCAATATAGTGTTTCTATAATGCTGACCAATGGCCTTAATGCCTTGCTGTCCGTTTTGGGCCTTTGCTTCTTCAAACGCTGCGTATGCATCAGCAGAGTATGTCTCTGACCATTTATAACTATAGTAGCCTGCACTGTAACCTCCTCCAAAGATGTGGTTGAAACTGCACAAGAATCTGTCCTGAGGCAAACGAGGTGTCAAAACCGTCTTCTTTGCAATCTCTGCGTCAACATCAAACACGGTGGGTTCGCCAGGGGACGTGGGTGGTGTGAATTGAGAATGCAAGGCGAGATCCACCTTTGCAAAGTGCAATTGTCGCAATGTCGCTAAACCACTCATGAACTCTCTGCCTTTTGTAAGCGCTTGGACCATGTCTTGGGGCATGGCTTCACCTGTCTTGTAATGTCCTGACAGACGGTCAATCCACTCTGGCTCACTGCAAAAGTTCTCCATGAACTGAGAAGCTACTTCCACGAAATCCCATTCGACGCCATTGATACCAGATGCAGGGGCGTAATCGACAGTGGTCATCATATGTTGCAAGCAATGCCCAAATTCATGGAACAAAGTTTCCACGTCTCTAAATTTCATTAGAGAAGGCTGATCTGCTGATTGAGGTGCAGGCTGGTTGCAAATGAGATAAGCGACGGGTAAAGTAATCTTTCCATTCTGGTGCTTGAAGCGTGTGGTAACCACATCCATCCACGCACCGCTGCGCTTCTCAGAAGGTCTCGAGTAGAAATCACCATAAAAGTACGCCTTGACTTGTCCTTTTTCAGCGACTTCAAACACCTTCACATCCTCGTGCCAGCGAGTAATGCCCTTGTCTTGCATCTCAGAACTCTCCAGTTCACGCACCTGAATACCCAGCACCTCATCAGCTACTGCAAATAACCCATCAAGCACCTTGGGGAAGGCAAAGTATTCGGAAATGGCCTCTTCATCGAACTTGAAGAGCTCCTTGCGATATTGCTCAGTGACATACCCAGTATCCCATGGCTGCAGTGGTGTGGGCTCATTGAGCGTTTCCTTAGCAAACTTGGTCAGGTCCTCTAATTCTCCCTTTGCGTGAGTGACAGATGCTGTGAATAAACTGTCCAACAAGACTTCAACAGCGGGCAATGTTTGTGCCATCTTGACAGACAATGACAAATCCGCAGGTGTTTCGTATCCGAGTAACTTTGCCTTTTCCTTCTTGAGTGTCAGTATTTCATTGATAATGGGCTCATTATTGACAGAGCCGTCAGATGCTTTCGTAATGTTAGCCTTGTAAACCTGTATCCAAATATTAGCTTCCTAAATTTGACAAATTAACCATGAAAACCTGCCTTTTCGCGCAACTCCCTATTACTGCAATTCATCATAAAAGGACCATAGATAGGAAAGTCAAGAGTAATGCAATATCCCTCTTTGATATTGTGGCGTTCTGCATTCTTTCTCAGCGTCTCTAGAAAAGCCGCAGAACACCCTCTCAAATCATCTACATTGGTGACAATCTCCTGGAAAGACTTGGTAGCATCCAGCACATTGTTTCCGAACTTGAGCGACAATTGAGATAGACGTTCAGAAATTTCATTGAATCGTTTCTTTTCGGGGGATCCCTCTGCAAATCCAATGCCAGCGTGCTTCATATCGCGAAGTGTATGATCAACAATACGTTGTTGAACTGGATTCAATTGATCCCATGTAGCAGGTGTATTGCGCAGTGTTTGCAAAGCCTTGTATTTGGGAACAGACTGGTTCATCATGAGCCCCAACTTGACAAACTCGGGTTGGAGTTTTTCCAAGGTTGAGCGAACATCTGCTGAATTCTTGACACCGTTCAAGTGCGATAAGATGCCAAATGCTCTGGAAACCTCATCTTCTAATTCTGTCACTAAAGCGTATCAAAGTGTAAATAATCTACCCTACAACGCAAAAGCTCTGGTTGTTTTGCTTACATTTTCCAATGGTACCATCCCATGTAGGCTCAAAATTCTTTTCAATTTCGAGAAATTCCTCTCTTGCAGCAACAATCAGCTTTTCAAAGGCTGGGACAGCAATGGCAGGTGATGTTTGAGTTACCAAGTACTCGAAATCCGGGAACAGTTTCCATTGCAGAAAAGGTGTTTGCTTGTAGGAAAGGTCTTTTGTAACAGTGGATGCATATTGTCTAGAGTTCATTAAAGCGAGACGTCTACTAATCAAGTTTTTAGCTGTAACGCCTGTTGCTGTAGCGGTTGTGGGGCAATAATGGCGAGCAACGGGAGCTTCCTTTATTGTAGAAGTAATTGATCGACGCAAGAGACTGTAGTTGGCAACTCTCTTTACTGCTGATGCTCTTAATATTCTATGCATGTTCTAAAATTGTTGTTGATGAAAGAAGTGCTTTTTTTTTTGCATTGTCGAGTCAGGGGTTGTGTTCATTAAACAGTCCCTGACAATGTCCATGGTGAAAATCATGCGGACAACGTGCAAATCATGTTAACTGCAGGCAGTAGTGGCTATTGAAATCGGATTCAGATGTTCATTATGCTTATCAGTGATTTGTATTGCGATCCTTCTCTGTGTTGAGTTACTCTTGTCAGGCACACATGACGGACCAAGCCTTCTGTAATCTTCCATATGATATAGCTTTTATTAGGCAACTATCACAGTTTTTATAGCGTGTAAAGGCATACTTTTGAGAAGACTTGGACAAATGTATACACAAGAGCAGATATGTGATGCATAAGAGATGATTTTATTTGTTCTGTAGATTAAATTCCTATTTATCCTTATTTTAAAAGCGACAACAAAGTTTGTGTATATTTGACATGCAAAACAAAAAAAAAACCACAAATCTATATCTGATATACATTTTTTAGTATAGTCATCTGCTGCAACGAGACTGAAACAAGTTGTGAATCAGTCGAAATAAAGCATATTTATAGTCTACTACTGTTGTCCGACAGAAATACTTTGTTGGATTCAATGTTTTGAAACTTGATTTTGTATGATGGCCCAAACCTCAAAACTAGAAACACTTTTGTACATTCAAAATGTTTAATACGAGGTAAAAAATAGCAACCTATGAAACTGATGAAATAAGCTGAAAACTGACAATAAAGGACACATGCTTGACGGGGCATTTGGTATCAGAAGAAGGAATTCATAATTAGTATACTGCTGTATTCATTATTATATAATTTAATATTTCCCGCATAGTAAATTTTATAGACATCCCTCACATAAAACTGCGTAATATATGCCAAATCAAATAATTGTTCCTTATCTCACTTTTGAATAAGAAGGATTTAAATTGTAACTAGAGCAGTACTATGGTTTGGATACCCATTTATTACAAACACAAAATAATGCTAAATGGCAGATCAAGAAAAAATTAATTAGTTATAACCTTTTGGTCCCTAAACCTCTGAGCCAATCAGAGTGCTTGAAAACTCCGCTGACCTAAAAAAAAATTTGCGAGGGTTTCCCTCTGTTTTGATGTGAGGCAAAATTTTAAGCGCCGCTATAGTAGCAATATAGCCGCTGCTATCATCAAACTTCCCTCAGGTGCTAGAGCATGCCTTACTTACACCACCTAGCTTTAAATTCAGGCATTGAGACCCTCAATCATCACTAAAGTAAGTAGCGATAACCAAGTGGAGGCGGCCTATCTACCTCCTAGCCTCGGATAAACTCTTGTTGAGCTTCAGGGATAGGCACATCCACACAACGTAATAAAGATGTATGCTTCAAAAGAAACATAATAATAAAAGAAGCGAACATAACAATACTATAGGAGTGTAGTAGTATATGTAGGCAAAAGAAAAAAAAGAATGCTCACACGAAGTGAGTCAAAGGAAAGTATGTTATGAATAAAACATTAAAAATGTTCACGTTATTATATTCTTGTTATTGCAACAAAAATACATACATGAGCAACGTGCATGATAACAGTCTGATGATGTAAAAGAACACAAATGCGCACAATTGCAGGAGCAACAGTAGTAGCAGTATAAGTGTTGTAATACAACATGAAGACCAATGTTGTTTTCATGTGAAGCGACAGAGGCAACACAAACAACACTCCACGGCTATATAACAAAGTATCACAAGAAGGGCAATACAATTATATAGCAGTGAGCCATGCTTGCTATTCGTAAATACGAAGCAACAACATTGCAAGTACTTGTTGAACTGATCATATCACAGCCAGCAAAAAAGAAAGAAAAGGCAATAAAGCAAACAGCATGAATGCATTATCGCGGGAAAGGAAGCAGTAGTACAAACGTTCAAAGAAGTTTATATCATTGCGACCGCAAGAAAAAAAAGTTACTTACCGCTTACCATAGCCAAGGAGAGACCAGAAAATAGGCAATCACCAGAGATAGACCAGAGTACAAGCATACAACAGAGACAGCAGACCAAGAAAGACCAGACTAGCAGCAGAAAAACTAGCAGCAAGACCATTTGCAACACAATGAGTAACACCAGCAGCAACACCAGCAGCAACAACAACAGTGTAGAAAAACCAAAGAACGAGTGACACCAGAGACCAGACAAAGATTAACGAAGCAACCGCCAGAGATAGAGACCAAGAAGCAGCTGCCAGACATAACAACCAAAGAAGCAAACAGCAGAGATAGCAAAGAAGTAATGACAGCAGCACCTATGTCAAACAGGCAAAAAAAAATATTGAAATCTATAAACAACCTCGATTAGTAGTGCTTGTTCTACATCTTTCTGTGCTCGTTATCGAATGGTACCCACTATATTCCACTTCAAAGAAGCAGTATCAAGTGCTTTTAACCGTGCAAGGCCGTGTTATCAGAAACTAGAGTGTTATTTTCAACCAAAAGGTTTCCAAAACCAATATGGTTTGATACGAGTCGCGTTTTGGAAAAAGGGCCAAAAAAAACAGTGTATCGAAAAATAAGAGGGCGCTCTATCCGACGTCACAACCATGAGATTTAGCCTCAGCCTTTTGCCGTGGTAGCCGTAACTGCTGCACTTTAATTTGAAATTGTGTAGTGGGTATTTTCGTATTCAAATTTGACTTGATTTCACATCCTTTAAACATTTTTGCTAAATTTGACTATGAGAGCTCTCATTGTTATAATTTACTTCCTAATGCATTTATAAAGAGTCAATAAAGGCGCATTGAATGATGTTGGTTACATTCAAATTTCAGACAGAAAATAAAGAGAAATTTTGAAATTTTTGAAAATAGGTTTTCTGCGGAAATGTCAAAATTTAGCATATAAAAGTCCCAAAAAATAGTCTCCAGTGTTGCCTTTCATCTTTGCGATCATTTTGGTCTAATATGTACTATAGAAAAAGTCTCCATTTTTGGGGTGAAAAACGTGATCGATTGATTTGGAAGAATTTTCCCTTGCTAATACTTATGTAAAATCGACGATTTTTATGAATTTGCAATGACCCAAAAAAATTGAGATAAAGCATCAATAAGTAAAGCGCAACTGAGAAGGTCTGTTTGGCGCTATTTTAAGCATCCAAAACGCTTTGTGGTATAAGTTATTCGAGCTTGAAAATGGCTAGATTTGAACAGAATTCGACCTAAAAATAAGGTATAGTAGGCTACGTTGCTAAACAAGTAAGTAAATCACAGTTTTTTTTGATGGCTCAAATGTTCTCTATTGTACGGAACTCAATTTCTAAGTGACAGACGCTTTTATTCCGATTCTAGGGCTCAAATCGTGCTTTTTGAAATGCGTGATTACAGTAATCCTAAGGCTTGAGAGTCAATGATATTGATATTATGCAAATTTGAAATGACATAATCATCAGGTTGGCAGAACACTTTTGGTAACCGGCTATAATAGAAGTGATATCATATCTAGCCGTAGAATTATTAGACTATTAAAATCTATTCACAATAATGTTGAGCATTCATGATGATGATCAAAGAGAAATGATAGATATACCAGATACACCAAGTCAGCCTCAGTAACATGGGGGCCGCCAACAAAATCATGTATCAAAGACGACCCAACAGACATTTATGAAACAGTACATTCGTTATTACAGCAAAAGTTAGCTTTGAGCGATTGCCGCAATAGTTTTTTCTTTGGTTTCCACAATAAAAAATACTATAACAGGTGAAGTGGTGTCGGCTGTGTACATACTAGTCTCCTGAGAGAACTGTCGAAAAGTTAAAAAACAGGCGTATTTTTGCACAACCTATACAGTATAATATGACGCTTGTGTAATTTCATTTTATGCTCATTTCAGGTTTCTACAAAGCTAGGGGGCTAATGTAAGTCTATTTGGGAATCTTTGCCCAAAGTTTCTGCCTAAAGGTCGTAAAATACGGGATTTTGAGCAAAATCATAAAGAGAGCGTACATTTGGAATTTAAAGCTCTTATAGCATAATAGACCCAAAGTAGAGCTACTAAATGATCTTTGTTTCATCTAAATACGATGCGTCTTTCACGAGATATGACCAAAAATTTCCTCGTGAAAAATCACTGATTTTTGGCCAGAATTTGCCTATAGTAGCAAGGCAAAAATCCGGATGACAATTTCTTTAAGATACAAAACTGTTGGTATCTCATGATAAAATCATGCTAGCTCTTTGAGTAAGAGCTCATTCGATAGGTTCTTGTCTGTTCTACACTATGATAAGTATTTCAAGTAAAACTTTGATGACAGAAACCCGGTAATCTGCCAAAAACAATAAAAAATACCGCAGTAACTATTCTATAAAAAACCAGCCTAATAAAGTTGGCCAAAATACTTAAAATTGGTATCATTAGATTCTCCTTTAAATTCTACCCCAAGTTTTATTTAGCTGGAAAGCAATGTTGTTATCAGAATTGCATGATATTAAGGATGAACGATTTCAGAAATCCATGAATCCTCATTTTGAGTATTATGGAGGCTGGGCTATTGATAGTTTAAAATACCGCCTGAAGTGAACTAGACTAGATTCCCATCATAAACAAAACCCAAAATAAATGTCATCTCAATCAAACCATGCTATCATCAGCAGATAGGCATGCATAATAATAGTATTAGCATGATGATAGCAAGGGTTAAATGCTCTAAAATAAGAGATGACAGATACTAAAGTAAATGTCAAGGGTATTGTAATGTGTTGTAACATAAATATACCTAAAAAGGATACAGGCTCAACAATAAAGAGCTATTCTTTACGCATGATTCAAAAACCATAAATTGAAATACCGTTCTTGATCCATCAGATCAACAACTAAATGACCCAACAAAAATATATAAAGTAATGGAATCACTGGCAACTACTAAACTGCTGCCAGATAAGAGATATAAACCAAATAATATAAGTAGAGACGTAGAATATACATTTTATTGCACATTATCCTAATTTCATATAAAGAAGGATTTTAACAGTATTCTACCTGCTTTTTTAACCCCCTTTTTACTGCACCGCCTTTTTTTTCTTAGTATGTAGCTCAATTCAAGCGTAAATTCGCTACCCTTGTCAAATATAACCTCTTAATTACATGTAACGGATTAATAGGTAAGGTGTTGGCGAACCTCATGGTGAAAATCGCTAATTCATATCTTGCTTTGCTAACTTGTAGCAAGCTATGATGAATTCGTAATAATAAGTCGATGATAATAATCAGTTGTCAACTGTATCTAAAACGAAAGCAAAGAGCTTCTTTATTACAGGGCATCTAGCTTGCTTAAATATGGTAGATCCCTGGTCAATGACTACTACGTTGAGATGGTATATAAATAGCAGGCCACTGGGGCCTTATGGATTGTTGGTATAGCTTGTTGAGAGGCCACCTAAGTCGGTATGTTTCATGTAGTGTAGGTGGATCTCGATATCTTGACATTGGGGAGATTGAATGTATTGTGGTTCCTGAGGCACCTGTGCACACACAATTGACTGGACTTGTAAACATAGATGTGATGTGATACGATAAACATCATCTATGCTGCTACACTGTAAAAGGTGGCTTGAGGAGAAAGTGAATGTAGCCTAAGATGCATGCTTGTATGCAACAAGCTATCAAATTCTAATACTTACCTTGCGGTACATTGATAAAAGTGACGTCTTTTAGCCTCAACCTTTTATTAGCATTTTTTCCTTTTTTCGTTTCTATATATATATATATATATACTATACTTCGCAAGCTCTCTACTCATGAAACAACCCTACCTTTGTGAATAGAATTGAAGCAAGTATAATTGACAGTTATGCAATAGACGTAAGATACAATGTTAACGCGTTTTATACCGTGGTTATACTTGGGAAAACTCTACTAGGGGCTTATTTTTAATCTTTTGCTGTGCACTGGCTGCACATTTGGCGGTGGCTGCTTTGATGGTATATCGTTGCTTCGGTGGTTCTTCTCTGGTGTTTGCTTATCCTGTGGTCTGTTGTCTTTGATGTATGCTGGTTCTCTGGTCTATCTCTGGTTGTGATGCTGTGGTAAGAAGTGGTAAGTATCCTTTTTTTCTTGCGGTCGCAATGATATAAACTTTTTTGAACGTTTGTACTACTGCTTCCTTTCCCGCGATAATGCATTCATGCTGTTTGCTTTATTGCCTTTTCTTTCTTTTTTGCTGGCTGTGATATGATCAGTTCAACAAGTACTTGCAATGTTGTTGCTTCGTATTTACGAATAGCAAGCATGACACACTGCTATATAATTGTATTGCCCTTCTTGTGATACTTTGTTATATAGCCGTGGATTGTTGTTTGTATTGCCTCTGTCGCTTCATATGAAAACAACATTGGTCTTCATGTTGTATTACAACACTTATACTGCTGCTACTGTTGCTCCTGCAATTGTGCGCATTTGTGTTCTTTTACATCATCAGACTGTTATCATGCACATTGCTCATGTATGTATTTTTGTTGCAATAACAAGAATATAATAACGTGAACATTTTTAGTGTTTTATTCATAACATACTTTCCTTTGACTCACTTCGTGTGAGCATTCTTTTTTTTCTTTTGCCTACATATACTACTATACTCCTATAGTATTGTTATGTTCGCTTCTTTTATTATTATGTTTCTTTTGAAGCATACATCTTTATTACGTTGTGTGGATGTGCCTATCCCTGAAGCTCAACAAGAGTTTATCCGAGGCTAGGAGGTAGATAGGCCGCCTCCACTTGGTTATCGCTACTTACTTTAGTGATGATTGAGGGTCTCAATGCCTGAATTTAAAGCTAGGTGGTGTAAGTAAGGCATGCTCTAGCACCTGAGGGAAGTTTGATGATAGCAGCGGCTATATTGCTACTATAGCGGCGCTTAAAATTTTGCCTCACATCAAAACAGAGGGAAACCCTCGCAAAATTTTTTTTAGGTCAGCGGAGTTTTCGAGCAATTTGGTTGGCTCAGAGGTTGAAACAGCGAAATCAATAAACCGTATTATACTGTATGTTAGCTTATACTGCACTATTAGCTGTTGTCGTAAAAAGAGAAAGGTGGTTTCGCATTGTGATTTTGCATTCAAGATTCAGTTTTATTGAGAATTACACTCTTGAATCAAAAACAAAATATGCAACGGTAGTGTAGTACTATGCTAGATTCTGAAACAGTAGCGAGCATCAGGTATTTTCAGAAAGTTCATAGCTTCGTCTACGTCTATATAATGGTTTTTTTGTAGGCGCCCGTAGATTGCGTTGATAAAAGACTAATATCACAAGAACTTTTATAATCCACTGTATGCTACGATGTTAGTGAGGGTTCCGTCAACAAACGATTATTCATACAACTATGAAGCTTCCTTAACGACAACGATGTATTCATTGCTATCTTTATCAATGACTCAGGTGTTACAAATACAGAGCCTCCATGTATTGATTTAGTTCTGTTGGATTTATTAGAAAGCGGCCATATACAATGCTTTTAAATAACTTGAACTCTTATAGGTAAAAACAATATAAGATCAAAGCGTTATATCAAATGCCATAGCAAGGTCTCACAGTAAAGGTTTTAGGCTAGTCTTAGGTTCTTTGGGTAAATCATGCTAATCATGATTTACAAAATCAATTGTTGGGTAGATAGTAAACCTATTTGTTTTATAGTTCATCATCATGTTATAAACCCTAGCATAATGAAAAGTATATAAATGCATCTTTGGGATGCATTCTCAATAAAAGGGCAATTCTTTGGCAGATTCAATTTTACATTGTATTTTGACATAACACAAAGGATCCGTCAACAGCTTGAGCTATGTGCTTGATGAAAGCCCATACTTTGTTGTAAAATCGAGTCTTACGTTTAGGCCTGTTTTACTCATTATTAATAGTGACAAGAACGAAAGTTATAACAAGATACTGCGGCCACCAGCAGCAAAGAAGTTGCTTGTAATGAAAATAGAACAGTGAAACTACGCTTGTGCAGGGACACCTGGATAATGGCTGCATCTGTTCTTCAGGTATATAAATCAACTTTTGCTTGAATCAATCAACCATTGAGTCTATTTATAAAGTTTTTATTGATATACAAGAAACTGATATTAAGCTACATGATTTAGTCTTTTGATTTCTTCAGGTGTGAATTTCAACATCATGGACAGCACAGGGATGAGTTGTGCTCTTGTTGATTTTGATTCCAGAAATTTGATAATAACATTACGAAGGTATTCTAGATTAATTTCTTCCTCTTCCTTGACTGAATTACCACTGACAGATGACATGGATGCCCTTGATGAACGAGGATTGTCTGAAGGGGAATGGATAAGACGAGGCGGTTCAGTATGGATAGGTGATTTAGGACGAGCGTCTAGTTGTGTGTGGTTGGATTGTGGTGATTTTTGAGATGGCGATGATGATGGCTGTTGCTGTTGATTTTGAGCTCTGGATAGCTTTCTGACCTCTTCCTTCAATGTCTGTAATGCTTGTCATTAATGAACTGTCTGTAACATAAAAACTGATTCACTCACCTTGTTCAGCGTCTTGAGGTATCCTTCTTTCGCTCTTAGATCTTCAAGTTCTTTGTTTTGACCTTGCTGAATGGATTGAATACTTTCATTAGCTGCTTGTAATTGAGCCTATTTTTGTTTACGAATCAGTTAAAAAGCCCATAATCAAACTTTCTGGCTAATGATTACCTCTAGTTGACTCTTTTCCTTCAATTCTTCAACTTGTCTGCTCAATTTTTGTTGCACTTCATCCAACTTCTTTAGCAAATCCTTCTTTTCGCTCTCCAATTGATCCATTTCTTTCTTCGTTTGATCGCTTTCCGCTTGAAGCTTTTCAAGCTTCTTCTCTAGCGATTGGACTTGCTTGCTTTGACCTTCCATCGACTCTTCAGTTGTTTTAACCAGCGATTTGAGTTCTGCAACTTCATCAGATCGTTGCTTTAGGTCTTCTTCCAATCTCTTCTTTTGCTCATCCCATTGCTTCTGCTGAACACCAGAAGCACGCTTGGTTTCTTCCATGACGAGTTGCGATTCCTCTAAAGCAGCAGCCTTTTCATTCGCTTCTTCCACCAGACGCTCAGTTTCTCTCAAACGATGTTGCAAGTTTTCAGCATTGCTTTGGGAGCTCTCAAATTCAGCTTGCTTGATTTGAAATTCATCAAACATTCTATCCTTCTCTTCAATGGCTTCCTTGCGCTCCTTTTGCAGAATGTTGATGTCTGATTCATTGGATTGCAGCTTGGCATTGAGTCGTGATAATTCAGTCTTGAGGTTGCTTTCAGATTTAGCTGTTGTATCTGCTTCTTGTTGCGCTCTACTCAATTGAGATTTAATGGACTCTACTTCTTGCTGCATGCGGGTCAATTGCTCTTTGGTAGACTCTGTCTCAGCTATAGCGTCTGCCTTCTCCTTTTCCAACTTTACAATTTGCTTTTTGGTTTTGCTCAGGACGGCAACATACTTTTTAGATTTTTCTTCCACCTCTTCCAAGTTTTCAAGGGACGTGCGAGCTGCAGCAAGCTCTTGATCACGTTCATTGAGCATTTGTTTGGCAACCTTGAGTGCTTCATCTGTGTCATTCAGTTTTTTGGTGATCGCCTTCAGCTTGGATTCAGCTTCATCCAGTTGCTTTGTCATGGCGTCGCTATCCTTCATCTTGTCAAAAGCATCTTGAAGGTTGGCTTCAGCTTCAGAGAGTTGTTTTGAGAGGTTCTCCTTGTCCTTTTCTAGAGAAGACTTGGTGTCGGACGCTGCTTGAAGCTCCTGCTGTAACCTGGATACTTGTGCAGTCAAATCTGCCTTTTCCTTCGCCAACATCTCCTGAGATGCCTTGGTTTGAGTAACCATGGATTCAGATTCCTTGAGGGTCTTTTGTGAAGCATCCAAATCACCTTGAAGCTGACTAATGGTTTCAGCCATACTAGCCAGCTCATCAGTCTTTGCCTTGCTAGATTCAAATTCAATCTTGATCTTTGATAACTCTTCATTTGCTGATGCTACTAGGGTTTTTGATGCATCCAATTCACTGCTTAATGACTCGGCCTCTTTTTGAGCATTTTTCAATTTAGCCACCACATCCGACTTTTCCTCCTCCAGTGCTGATTTGGCCTCCTGAAGCTTTTTGATCTCGTTATTCTTTTTGTCATCACCACTTGTCTTGAGCTGACTGAGGGCGTCTTCTTTTTCTTTCTGTAATTTCGTCTTAATTTCCTCGAGTTGTTTAGCGGCTTGTTGTTTCTCTTGCTCCATAGATGCTTCGACTTGGTCCAATTGCTTCTTCAAATCGGATTTCTCGCCTGTAAGCTTGTCCAATGATGACTTGAATTCATCGATGGTGTTCTTTTCATGTTGGCGAGCATCTTTTAATTCCTTTTCCAATTTTTTCAATTTGGTATCATCAGCGGCTGATTCCAAGCGAGATATCAGATCTAACTTTTCCTTTGACAGTTCTTCCTTATCGCTGTTTAGCTGCTTCAATTCAGCTTCATGTAATGTCTCCAGCTCTCGTAACTTTCTTTCCAATTCCACATTCTGGCGAATCTTCTCCTTGAGCTTGTTGTTCATACCATTGTTGTTCTTATTGGCATTGTTGGCGTTTTGCTTGGTTAATTCATCCAACTTCTTCTCAGCTTCCTCCAGCTTGGTCTGCATGTCAGTCTTTTCAGTCAAATTTGCCTCCAATTTCTCCTTGACCTCGTCATACAGCTTTTGAACCTGATCTGATTCTGTTTCCGCTTGCTTCAACTTGGCTTCATGTGCTAGTATCATCTCCTCTCGCTTTTCTTCTTGTGATTTGCATGCTACTTGCAATTTATCTTTTTCAGAAATGGTAGCATTCAATTTTTCCTGCAAGGCATCTTGCTGTTCTTTGGCTGCAGCCAGTGCTTGGTTATTTGATGTCTCTAATTCAGTTGTAAGCGACTCCAATTTGGCTGATAATTCTTTGAGTTGAGTTTGAAGTGCTTGCTTTTCTGCCATCTCTGCATCCAACTTTTTCTGTAAAGCTTCCAATTCACTGTTGGATATCTGTTGTTTGGTTGTTGCATTAAGCTTGCTCTCCAATTCCGCCTTTTCAGCAATCACCTTGTCAAATTTCTCCTGCAATTCTAGTTGCATCTGATTCATGCTCTCGAATTCTGCTCTTTGCTTTTCAGACGCTTCAATTTGTTGCTTGAGATTTTGCTCTGCTTCTTCCGCCGTATTCATAAACAAGAGTAAACTCTTCTTGGACTCTTCTTTCTCTAGCAAAAGCTCCTCTACTTGGTTTTTGAGTGTGGCAACCGCTCTTTGTTGTTGTTGATCACCGGATGTCGACTTTGCATCTTCAAGCTGCTTTGATAGCGTGTCTCTCTCCTTTTCTAATCCTTTGATTCTTTTGACAAGACCTCTCATGATGCTCTTTTCCTTGTCAGCATCTTTCTCCTTATTATTGAGCTCCTTCTTGAGCGACTCAATCTCTGTCCCTTGATTCTTGGCCATTTGTGTGTCGAATACTGTCCAAAGCCAGAAATAGGATGTGATGAAGAGAAGAGATAGAAGCAAGTTTATGAGCATGTTGAATTTCAGCTGTAAATTTTGAAAGGTCACAAAATTTATAGCCTTTCGAAGCGAAAGAACATGATGTTGGGCAACTCAGTGATACATGAGAAATGTGCAAATAACAAACTCTAAATCAGCCAAGACTTGTCTGCAATGAAATATGCATAGAATGTTGGGGTTCTTGAAGTGTCAACTGCCATGTGCAATTTCGCAATTCGTATTGAAATTCGCATTTGGATAAGCAATCGTCAACAATTATTGACTATCTAAACGTGAAAAAAGTAAAATACGGTAATCAAGATAAGCTATAGTGTCTTTCAATTTGCAATTCCCTTCTTATAGCTTCAGAAATAACCATTGCCCTGACCAGAAAGCCATCAGTGTGTCTGTCAGTGCATACATAATTTAGTCCCCGCTCTGCTTCTCAAGATTGGTCAGATTTTGAAGAAATTCGACTCAATTTATCTATTTTGCGAGATTCGACTATATAAATTGTGATGATCATCCCATATGACCTTAACCTTTCTCGAAGTACTTTTTGAGGCGCGTTCAATGGCGCCTTTAATGAAAGATGTTATAAACAACCTTATAGAGCAATTTTAAAAAGTATAAAATAGCTATTTAGGCCAGAATGCCGAGATTTTACTTGTCATGGCCTCACAAACAAAGTCTCAGGGGTTGCTTTGGATCGAGAGAAACATTTTAGTTTAATATCATAACATAATAAATGTTCAGTACTTTTGCACTTTACAATCCTAATATGGAACCTGAGTTTCAAGGCATCTATCAGACCTGGCTCATATGAGAATAATGATTTTACAATCAATCAACAAAAACCACTGTAATTTCTACCCTCTTTCCTCTGCTCAATGCTGTCAATGTTTTATTTGAGCGACGTCTCAGAGCCTCAGAGATTTCATTACTTACTGCAGACATTTTATGCAACCCATGCATTGTCAATGTCCAGACTAACGTTATTAAATATAGAATGCAAGACGATGTCATTATAAACAATAGTGCTATGACCTTCTACCTACTTTCTATACGCTTCGAGGGCATTTACTACTGTATTGCCTTATGAAAAGGGCATGAGTTTTCCAGCTGGCCCCACCAGCCAAAATTAATTCAAACCCAGAATCATAGTCTGTTCCAGATTGGACATATTTTGATAATTTTGGACTCGATCGAGCTATTTTTGCAGATTCGACTAAGTGAAGTATGATAATCACCCCATGCTTCCTTAAGCTTTCCTGGAGTACTTTTCAAGGCGCTTCCAATGGTACTAAGTAAAATAGATGTTTTGAATACACTTATTAAATGATTTGTAAAAATATGAAAAGAGGTTTATGGCCAAAATGTCGAAATTTTACATATCAAAGTCCCACAAAGATAATTTCAGAGGTTGCTTTGGATTGATAGAAACATTTTGATTCAAGATATACCATAGTAAAAGTCTCCATTATCAAGATGAAAAATGCGATCGTTTGATTTTCGATGAAAACCATGAGGGATACCTCATGCTTTTTGGTCGATTTTTGACCATGTTTTTTTGGTCCCCAAAAAGTCGAGCAAAAGTGTCAGAAAGTAACTGCCAGATGAAAGCAACCATTTGGGGCTATTCTGACGATCTAAAACGGCCTTGAACGCAAGAAAATTCAGCTCAAATGCACTCATATTTTGCTGTATTAGGGACACTAAGGACTAAAAAGTGGGAATACCAGTATGCTGCTTGCCCGTATATGAAGTAGCTACGTGTATATGGATGTAGAACATCACATAAGAATCAGATCCACAGATAATATGAAGGGTTGCTATGTGTAAGTGGAGGGTCAAAATGAAAGTAGCAGTATTTTGATAAAATACGCAAGAGAAATCAGTAGCACGAGCTGCCGCTGCGCAGGTTGGTTCTCTACCTTCGCTACGCTTCGGTGAGAACCATCCGAAGCATAAACACTCATATGATTAGTGATTATATATCAATCAACAATCAGGGTTCCTCTTCTAACATTTTAGCTATATTAATTTTGGGATATTAGCCAAAGGCCCGCGGCAGCGCGAGCCGTTTGAACGTAGGTTGGTTTCCACCGAAGCGAAGTGTAGGTCAGGAAACCACCCGAAGTGCTGAAAGGCTCGTATACCATAGTAAAAGTCTTCATTTTCAAGACGAAAAACGCGATCGTTTGATTTTCAAATGAAAACCATGAGGTAACACCCTCATGGTTTTTAGTCGATTTCTGGCGATATTTTTTAGGTCTCGAAAAAGTTGAGTAACGGTGTCAGTAAGTGAGTGCTGGATAAGAGCAATTGTTTGATGCTACTTTAAACGTCTAAAACGGCTTCTAGCACGAGAAATCACGGCTCGAATGCATTCAAATCACGCAGTGTTTTGTATACGTTTGGGTAGTGAAAGAGAAAGCAAGTATGCTGTCTGTCCATATACGAATTGTTTCAATTGTTGGTAACGTGGGGCACCGTAAAAAGCCAAATCCACAGTTGCTGGCCGTTTATGGAGGGGCTTCACATCATAGTGGGATGTTAAATAATGTAAATATATTAGGATTATGTACAATGAATAGGCGTATTAGTTGCTAGTAAGTAGTTCAGGTAAAACCTTAGTCAATATCAGATCCACCAGCAGGTACAGTAAATGCTTGTTGATTTGCTTGTTCTGCAGAGGTTCAAGCATGTCATGAACATGGATCTGTAGCTGATTTAGATCCTTTGCTTCAAACAAAATGCCTCGCAGATTAGCTGTCCTTGAGGGGTTAGCTCAGAGTACTTCAATACAGATATATCTCCTTCACGTTACCTGGAATAGCTACTGTTAATAGCCGCTCTGCTCTTTCTCTCATTTGCTCCCTCTGCAATGGGGTAGGCGGATCCGCTCTTTGAATAAACACACCATCGGGCCATAACAGATCACACCCCAACCGCAGATAAAACACGACATGATCCTCACTCAACACATGCAACACTGTCTGTTCCAAAAACTTGTCAATCAGCAGACCACCACCAAACACTCGGATCAAGGGCCAAAAGAACATGGCCATCATTTGCCACGCCCATTGCAACACCGGTCGTTCTTCTACTTGACTGGCTATAAAGACAAACTCCATCAAAGGCTCGACAAGTCGCATCTGACGGGTCCTCTTCTTGTGCTGATTGACTCTGTGATAATGCTCCTGTGATTGTGTCATGGTGGCCATGATATACATCCAAAATGTGCGGAATGGTGCAAGTATCACTTGCAATGTAATATAAGCAAACGAGAATCGCTTTCTCGGTTCCTGAGGTTGTTGTTGCGGCAGATCCTCTTCCTCCAGGATCGTTTGTCCTGAATTTCCTTCCTTTTTTCGTCGCTCTTGTTGTAATCGCTGCATTTGTTTTGTTAGGCTCTCGGCCTCTTCTTCTTTTTTGGCAGCAGCAGCAGCCTTGATATCATTGCTGCTCACAAACTGAGTGTTTTTTGACTCTTGTTTTAATTTGTGTGGTGATTGTCCGTTGGTAAGCGCACTGAAATAGGTTTCTTGAAATTGGGCAGATACTTCCAACTCATCCAGTGTCGTCTCATATGACCCCAACAACTGCTTACTTGATCAATTTGATGATTTTCAACACAGTCTACACATGCCTGACTACATTACCTTACAAATAATCATGTGTATGGTGTAGGGATCCGCTAACGATTCAATCAAGTTGGATAGCACCAAGTTGGACAGTATCTCTCTCACTAAATGCCGAACGCAATCGCTGTTATAGTCTTTGGGCTGCAGCAGGATCTTGAGCAATGACTCGGTTAATGCAGCTAGGTATTCTCTCTCTCTATTTTCCACAGGCTGTAGTGCGAAATGAGGTTGCATGCCGTGAAACAAGTCTACCAAGGAGCTGCCTCCACTGCCATGATCCATGTATATGCGTCGCTTTGCTTGTCTGTAGTCGTGATAGTGTATGGACAATAGCTTGGGTAGATCAAGCAATATCAGCTCCGTCCAATCCACCTGCATGCAAAATAATGAGATAATGCTACATGACAAATTTCTTTTGATAAAGATACCTCTTCACATAATCTCTTTTCTAGCTTCTGTACAATCAAGGTCAGTAGATCTATAATTTCAGCACTGAGATCCTCGTCTGTTGATAAAAGTTTGTACCAAGGATGTATGAAATCTCGCAATAGTAATGCAAAGTAAGTGTATAGTTCGAGGTCGATGGCTGTGGACTGAGTGATTGATGTGGGTGCTTTTGTTCGTCTCGGATCTGTCTTTGGCAATGTGAGTAGATGTGGGAATAGTATGCGTAGATGAAAGGGCCGTAAAGAAGCCCCCTGATTCAACATGGTATGAGGTGATGAAGAGTATGAAAGAAAGAAAAGAAAGGTATTTCACTTGGTTTTTTGCAGAAAGCGTATCGTTTAAACACCAACAACACGTGATAAGCAAATCATTAGATAATCTCTTTCAGATCATGCGCATTCACTATTGACATTTAAAATTTCTGTCTTCAGGAACAGTGAATGTGATATTAACGTATTAAAGATTTAGTCGTCTATGAAGATTTTGGTATTACAAGTACAGCGGTAATGTACACATGAGTTAATTTTAAACTTGACTGGTAGTAGCGTTAGATTGGCTTGTTTCCAGCTTTGATTGATCCTGATGCGTTTCTTGTGTGGTCGTCTTTTCAGAGATGGCGGATATCTCAGCTCGGCCTGTCTTTCTGGCAATCACATCTCGAATCCAGTGGATCAGTATCATGAGAAAGAAGCTCGCCACAACAATGATGGCCACTACGAAATACCAAATGGCTGTGGGTGGCCCTTGACTCCAATCCAAGAAGGGATAAACCCATCTCCCGGTACTACAAAAGAATAGACATGGCATGTGAGCATTCAGTGTATTTCTGTGCATCTGATATAATACCTCGCAAATATGACGAAGGCTAAAAACATGTAGAATATAACAGTAAAGAACACAGGCAACACCAGTCGAATAGGGATCTTGATTCTGTTAAAGATCACATCGGTGATCATCATGAAAAACGAAACGCCATGCACAGACACATTGATCCACATTACAACAACAGGCACGCCGTCGTTTGTCTTGTTGAGAATAGACCAGAATACAACAGGTGTTAAAATGCTACGGCGAGAGTCGATTAGCATTTTGAACTAAGCTAGGATCAATACATACTTGTATGTTACGATAGTGGCATAAAGGTACAGGAATAAGTAATTCAATACAGATGGCTGATTCAATAGGAAATCGACATTCTTGTGCCGTAAATAACGAAAGTGGTACACACAGGCAGTCTATACGTTTTAAAGATTAATAGTATGCATTGGAGGGCTCGAATCAGAAACTCACAACTAAATAAGCATGGAGACCGATGAACGTTAGTGTCGTAAATGCAGAAAAAAAGCCCTTCACATCAGCAAATGAAGCCAGCAACCCGAGATAGGTCCAAAACACTACAGTGGAATACAGTGTGACAATGAATCGAATGATGAAAAACGTCTTTGATGAGACCCAATACGAGGTGACAGCTCGCTCTGGTACGAATTGATCAAATCCAAACCATCGAATGATGGCATATTTAGACGGTTTTACTTGTTGATCTAGATATTTTGTCATGAGTGAAGGGAAGAAGAAGCAAAAAAGAGACACAATCCATCCAACTGCCTGTTTATTTATTAAGATAGGCTTGTGTAATCATGACACTATCTTGGCTGGAAAAAAAAAACAGAAGCTTCTGTATAATTTGGCTATGCATTCTCGCAGTTCTTTGAGATCGATCCATCACTTGTATTCTGAGCAACGCTTGATCCGCAAAAACGCAAGTTGATACATACTATGGCATGGTCGCATGCAGCTTATGCCTACAGGACACTAGTCGATATGATTTGGAATATACACCATGAGCAATTGCCTCATGGCAGTTGCATTCGTTACAATATTACGGCCCTGACTCAACTCAAATCAGATGCATGCGGATGAAATTAGGCCCGAATCAGCACAGTGGATCATGTTACATTTAATTTTCTGATTTGCCCCGCGCGCAGAAATGATATGCTCGCTTTGAAGGGCATTTGTAGAGGAATATTGCTGGTAGCATCTTCCCTGCACTTTCGCCTTTCCTCATAGGAGTTCATCCCCAGTCCATGCATGATAATGCTTACAAGCGAATCCGTCGATGCCATGTTCATGTCCTTGGAAACAGCAGACGAGAAGCGAATTTTATTTATATACATGGGCGCCATAACAGCACTAAGCGTCGTCTTCTTCCTCTGAATCAACAAGTATGGATCGTTTCTTCTTTCTCGGCAACTCTACCGTTTATGATATAATAATGAGTTGTAGCTTTCATGTATGATGCATTACTCAAATACCTTGATTCCATTCTTTAGGACACTCGTGTCCAACCAAACTGCCCAATGCGTAAGCCTTTGATAGCAGTAGTTTGTTGTTTTTGAATGTATCTGTGAAATAAGCCAAGATTGAGTAAACACATGGTTGGTCTTCCTCTGAACCGACATATACCTGAAACAGACTTTTGATGCCACCATAGAATTAGTAGTGAAAGGAATGTAGTAGCATCCTCCAACTCATTAGTCTCTGACTCGACTTGATCTATAAACCACAGAGTCAACTCGTTCAACGATGATCCAAGTGATTCTGCTGCATGAATAGACCAGTATTGTAAACAAGTCAATACGAGCTGGGCTTGAGGTTGTGTTAGCATATGGTGTGTGGGCACGATGCGGATCATGGCGTGAATCAGGTCGTTGGAAGGCTGAGTCGATGTGAGAATAGACATGAGCGATGGCATCAGCTCTTGTTTAACTATATACATGCAAGTTAGTTAATGCTTTGGCTTGATTTAGATGCGATAAAAGGCCTACATTGAGTCTTGAGAATAGTAGCCACTTGCTCTTGTTGAAAGAATTGCTCAATACGCCGAGTACTGCCCTGAATTTCTGCCGCCAGCAACTGCCAGTAATACATGGTCTCATATGCTGGTAACGACAATGACGTTTCCAGAAAGTGGGTATCCATCGTATCACCAAAGATACGCATGTTTCCAAAGTGTAAGCTGCAAACGATCTTGCCCATCTACAAAAGACCGATCAATACATGTATGTGTTATCAGAACAGCGCCACTTACAGCATCCGGTAAAAGTACAAGTAGTGTGATTCTTAGTAATTCAGAATTGCCGACGGTTGCATTGGGTAGATATTGGTAAATAAGAGGTATAACGGTATTAAACAGAGGAACATTGTATTCCGCAAGCATCTATTGCAGGTGAGTAACGTGGATGCATCTTACAGATCACTGCTAATTTACCTCCAGATCACCTCGTAGATACTCTTTCAGGTACTTGGATTGGTCCACTTCAGATTCTTCCATAGCGTAAGCATGCAATACGTAGGTTTCATAGTTTTTCAACATGCTTGAAAACCAAACCTCGGTATCATCCATGTCGTGTTGTAATTGTCTATCACAAAGAATGAGTACGACATAGGAGACAAAAAGAAAAGAGACGTACGCTGCTATGAATGCCCACCAACGCATGCCTATCATGTGTCGTTTTCCTTTCATCTTGGTTGTGTGAGCTATGCATCCAATTAAACGCACAAGCTTGTCCCGAGATGCATCCACAGTGCGCACATTCCAAAAGGTAGACATGACAAGATCAAATGCGTCTTTGCTAGCGTCTGCCAATATGCTCTCGTCGTCTGTTGCTGTTGCCATGGTTGCCGTACAGTTGAGCAAAGTGGATAACACCATATTTCGGATGGATGGCCCCACGGTAATAGCTAATGTTTCTGCGGGTATCGCCATTCTCAAGAATACTGCCAAAATCTCCTTGAGGCTTCTCTTTACAATCAAGATCTGCACATTGTACTCATCCATGTCTGCATCTTTCTGCGCAGCTCTTACAGCTTGACAGGCCTCCTTGAATCGCTTCAACGAATCACCAAAGATCCAGTACGACTGATTACTCTGTAGTCCCTCTGCTGATTCGTCGTCGTCTTCGTAATCATCGTCTGTTGCCATTTGCTCTTCGTCTGCATCTGCCATGGCTGCTTTTTCCATCTGGGTATCGTCCGTTTCACTGTCCACTGTATCTGATGTGGAGACAGCAATAAGAGGAGCCTCAGTTGTCTCCATGTCATTGCTCATCTCCATGTCTTGATTTTCTTGTACAAGTTGTGGCTTACTGCTGCCATCTGATTCACCGTATAGAAAAGCATCGTCGTCGTCGTCCTCTTTCATTGTCTTGGATGCTGTGTCCATGGTGCGTTGCTCCCCTTCTTCCACCTCTCCCTCATCTTGCTCTGATGGCACATCCATAGGCTCGGGTTTTGGCGTAGTAATGGTTGCTGCTGATGGTGGTGGTAATGGAGTTGAGGCATGCATAGTAACAGACGATGGCAGAGAAGGTGGGCCCTGTGCTTGCTGATGCACATCCTCCACCAAGAACTCGGAAAACAAGGCTTGCATGTTGTCTCGGGTCAATTGCTCTGTTGCAGGACATCGGTAGATAGGCAGTAGACTACGGATAACACCCTTGGATAGCATGACTCGCATGCCACACGCAACGCACTGCGACATGTAATCCTTCATGGGAGGAAAGTATTCATCCACAGATCGCTTAAGATACTGCATCAGGCTAGCTGTTATATGCGCATAGCGTTCAGCAGATCGCTCCATCAGTAGCATAGCCGGTTCTGTCCAGTGTGAGTTGGGTTGTAAATTGCTATTCAAAGCTTCTTACCTATAAACATGATATTATCATTCGACTTAAAGAACAACCAGTCAAAGATCAATGCCGTTCTGACATTGGCAGCCACACTATTGCTTTTGATGGATCGAATCATGCTGCCAATCACCACATAACGAGGCACAATATCACTCTGCAGAATCTGGTTTGACGGATACCATCCAGCGACAAGGTATCTGACAACGTCCACATAAAATGGCTCGGATTCAGGTGTGCTAAGGAATCGCTGGGTGAACCAGTTCAAGTTTTTCTGAAAATGAGTGATGCGAAGCTATTCAAGTGCATTAGTGGTTGTCCATACCGCAAAACACTAGAAAAACTCACGTTTTGTAGTATGAAAAGCAACTTGTGTTCAATATCAGGTGTCAGACGACACTTTAAAAAGTCTCTTGGTGTAGGTGAGTTGAGCATGGCTTGCACGCCTCCAAATTTAGGCGACAATTTGTGTGGATGGTTCACCACATCCTCCCATAGTTGCGCGAATTCAGGTAACGTGGATAGATCCTTTAGCACACGTACCAAGTCTCTACCGATAGGCACGCAATGCATCCACTTTTCTCTCATCAGCATGTGTACAAATCGGATCTCTTTCTGCTGTAATGGCTGTAATTGTGAAGTGCGATGATCTGCAATGGCTCGTAAAAAGGTGTATACTGCAAAGGGTATCACTTTGGGGTTAGTCTCTAGCCATGATTTATGCAATTCAAAGAGTCGCAATATGTGATCGCACAGTGTCGTATTGAACTGGCTGATATCTCCACCTCGAATCTGTCGCATCAAAATCATGTATAGACTATCGACATGCTGAACTCCCAAATGGGTCAATTCGCTGATCAGCCAGAATACTTGATCTCGCACTGGAGATCGCAGATACTGAAATTTAGCAGACATCAAGATGGCTTGTAGTTTCTGTATCAGTGCAAAGTAATTGTCTCGGTTGACAGATGCTATGGATTGAAAGAACTAGCCTGAGAGGGTTAAATCATGCCAAACAACAGCAAAAAACCTAGTTACCATGCGTGCGTTTTCTGTCTCTGTCAAAGCGCCGTACAATAGCGCTAGGATGACCTCATTGTATTCCTTCTTGTTTTGTGATGCCTTGTCTTGTAAGTAATTGTGAAGCTCAATTTCAGACTTGTTCATGGCCACGTTGCGATGCTCCGCGTAAAGTCTGCTCATTTCCTAGAAACATTGTTTAATCGTCTACTCTCTGTCCATCATTTAGATAGCTTACCAAATCGAGTTCATCATCGGCTTCTATTGGATCCAAATCATAAATCTTGGAGCGAGGCTCGTATTTGGGTCCCATAATGTCTAATATATACAAAGGTTAATGCAGAATGAGAACGATGGCTTCTCTCGAATTCAATGTAGACAAGCCACGTACCTTGGATTTCTGTAACTGGCCCGAAAACGACTGCTTACCCTCTCTCTCTTTCTTGCTCGCATTTTGGGTCAGCCAAAAAATTTTAAACTATCATCCCCATCTCCAGCCAGAAGGTTCTTTCTCTTATCCATCTTGTTTGCAATGCAACTCTTTGTCAAGTCCCTTGCAGGTAACACCCTCGCTCTCGAGGTCACTTCCTCCACCTCTGTTGAGAATGTCAAGTCCATGATTGCTGCCCGTGAAGGTATTGACGCTGATTTCCAATGTCTTTCTTTCGCTGGTAAGTCTCTCCAAGACTCTGAGGCTCTTGCTCTCTACGGTGTCCAAGACAACTCTACTCTCCACCTCAACGCTGAGCTCCTCGGTGGTGGTAAGAAGAGAAAGAAGAAGACCTACACTACCCCCAAGAAGATCAAGCACAAGCGCACCAAGGTCAAGATGGCCATCCTCAAGATGTACAAGGTCGATGAGTCTGGTAAGATCACCCGTCTCCGTCGTGAGTGTCCTAATGCCACTTGTGGTGCTGGTGTCTTTATGGCCAAGCACAAGGACAGACAATACTGTGGCAAGTGTCACTTGACCTATGTCTTCCAAAAGGTTTGTTAAAATTGCATTTTGACATGTGGACGTGTATACTCATTTTCCCCCGTCTATTCATTAGGACCAAGAGGCTTAAATCAAGTTTATTCCCTTTCCTCCATGTTTATCATAGATTTTGCTGTTATCTTTTGGAATCACACTTTTTGAATAAATGTCATCATGCTGTTGTTGTCCGTCAAATTCAGTCTATTCTAATTGATGAGTTACACTTTGTTGAATAACGAGATTAGTATTGCTGAATTGGGAGATCTTTTAGCACCATTTGGGTGTGGATACTGAGCGCAGGTAGAGTATGAGCAGTCTAGATACAAGCACATGAAGATGCAGCTTGTCATGTCTTGTAGTGCTACTCCATGAAACAGATCAACTTTCCATACAGATGCATCTGATCAGGACGACGGACTGGCAAAGCAAATGCAAGACTTGATTGTCGTCCCAAACTAGACATGATTTTGCTATCAGATCAGATCAGGTCAGATCAGGAGACAATTTGAAGTAAAGTTGTCCTGCGAGCTCCTGCGCTTTGTGCCATACAGCTAGTGCCTCCTTTCAATTGAACTGTCCTGGAGTATATTGTGCCTTTTGCTTGGAGCATCTCGGCATGAATTTGACAACTGTTGCGGTTCGTTGACATGTGCATTGCGTGCTAGTGGAAAATCCGATCAGTAGTATATGATGGAGCAATGGCAATCCAATTCGAGTGATGCCAGCATACAAACGTTATTTGCAGCTATGAAAAAAGAAACTACCAAATGAATGAACATCTGGATGTCTGTGAATAGTTGGGAATATATATATATACTTTACCGAAATCAATATGCCTCCTGTTCGAATTAGAAGTGGACAGACTGCAGAACCGCCCTTCCAGAGGATTTCAGCTACCAAAGATGTGATTCATGCCGTGTAAATAAAAGCCATAAAAAGGCAAAACATAACCAAATTTGACAGCTTTCAAGCCTTCATATCTTGACATGTAGACCTTTCTGAGCCACCGGAATAACGCCAAATAATTGTACTTGAGTAGTAGTAACTTTCTGGCACCTTTGCTCAACTTTTTGGGCCAAAAAAAAAAAACATGGCCAAAAATCGACCAAAAACCATGAGGGGTTACCTCATGGCTTTCATCAAACATCAAACGATTGCATTTTTCACCTTGAAAATGAAGACTTTTACTATGGTATGTATTGAATCAAAATGTTTCTCTCGATCCAAAGCAACATCTGAAATCACTTTTATGAGGTTTTCATATGCAAAATATGGCTATTTTCGCTAAAAACTTCATTTCATATTTTATTAAATTGCTCAATAATTTCAGTCAAAACACTTATTACACTTAGCACCATTGGAAGCGCCTTGGAAAGTACTTCAAGAATGCATTAGGAAGCGTAGGGTGATCATCACAGTTGATATAGTCGGAATATTATTAAATAGATTACAGAAGTTGAAAAAAGACAAAATCTGTCCAATCTTGAACAGAAAAATAAACTGAGTTTGAATCAAATTTGTCGGCGGCTTGCGGCTGACAGACCCAAATGCCTTTCTGCTGATGACAATGATGATTGTGATGCTGATTAAATGAGGATCATGGAATTGAAAGGACAATTGCTTAGCGCAAATACTTTTTTTAGGGAGCTTTATCTTATGAAATTGTCTTTTGCAATGACAATATCTCAAGAAACTCGCTGTAGATCTTACACAAGTCCTGTATTTACTTATGGCCAGTTTTATGCCGCCATCCTATTAAGAGCATCAGCAGTGAATGATATGACAAGCTATTATCAGAAAATGGCGATTGTGATGTACAAATGCTGCATAAAACCTGAATGTTCTTTCCCATTGTCCCAATAATAGGCTTCGTTTGATATCAGTGTAAGCAAAAAGGATGCTGAGGGAGATACCTCCTCTCCTCCTCCTGACTCTGATATAACCTTTCTTTTACTAACTAATAATTGGCTTTTTAAAATCTACTTGATATACCAAAATGTTATAATATTTGATTTAGAATGTCTTTGGCGAGAGCCTACAGGGCGACGCCGACATCGAGCGTAGCGAGATAGATCGACTAGTATATGTATACATAGTCGTCATGCTGTCGTCTATTGTATAGCTTGTTTGCATTCATGCCACTGCGCAATTTCCCGTGTGTCGAGGCTACATCTCATCTAGCAAATGATGGTAACCATCAACGTATCATTAGATGCGTTCAATACATGTACACCTTGAACAATGACTGTATATAGACTCTTTCAATCAAGAGGACATTGAAAGGCAATAGGAAGCTGCCAAGAATGAGCCCACGAATACACATCCTAAATCGAGTAATCTGCATCAGCCCCACTGTATAGAGTGTATTTGTTTATATTGATGTGCGGAAATAATCTAATTAATAGCATGATTGATTGGATAAATGTCACTCCCTTTCTTGCTCTTTCTTGGTTCACTCCTTTATCTCTTTTTCTTTTTTCCTGCTAGTTGTTTTTCTGTTTCCTTTTCCTCTCTTTCTTTTTCACATTTTCAGTGCACATTATGAAATTCAGTGTCAATAAATTACTGTCCATTACATGCTTATTAGGTAAGTTCTGACTCTAAATGGCCATGATGCAAAACTAACATTTAGAAATAGCCCTCGCTAGTTTGACTATCGCTGCTCCACTGCAAGATATTTCTGTTACTTCCATCGATCTTGCAGAGAACACTTACAATGCACAAGGAGATGAGCATCTCTTTGTTACTGTCACCAGAGTGGATGACTTGATTGATGACGATGGCACTCTTTTGGCTGAGCGCATCATGGCAGTGCGAGTTACTTTTGATGTCGTCGAGAACCAAGTACGTATAGCACAGCAAATGCTTGGCTAATCATCAGCATATGTTTTAACCTATTTTATTTAGCTGATGTGTAACGGTAGACCAGTTGATATTGGCGTCTCCAACATCCAAGTTGAGGCTCAGATGGCAAACAACCCTGCTAAATTGTCCATTGCATCAGAAGAAGACGCTGCATTGTTGGCTGATACCTTTGATATCGGCCTTGTTACAGTTGAAGTTACTGCAAGCGTATTGGACGAACTCAAGACAGATGATGGCATGGTGTTCCGCAGAATCAGCGTCCAAGAATTAATCACTGAAATCAACGGTGAGAAGGTAGTCCAGACCGAAGCTGGTCAGCAGATTTTGGATGTGTTCGAAAACGGCTCATTGATCAAGTGGTCTGTCGACCCTCTCACTGGTTTCATGTTGCCTGGTCCTGCAGCCATTGAGGACGAAAGCGTATTCCAAGACGATGATGTCTTTAACATTGTTGATTGTCCCGGCTGCGAGTCCATTGATCTCCAAGACTGGTGGAATGAAACATCTTCGGTGAACCAGGGCCTCATTGGCGGTGCTTTTGTTGCCTTCTTTGCGGGCATCTTTATGATCATCCGTGAGTTGCTCAAACCCTCATCCTATGACCCTGTCGCACTCGTTGAAGATCAAAAGAATGCCACTGACGAACAAATCTGGGACAAGAAGGCACAACCTCCTGCCTACGTTGAACAAGAGGAAGAGAAACAACCTTTTTTGAATGAATCCAAGTAAAACATGTATAGCTACATGTCTTTTTTTTTTCTTTTTCGTTCCATCTCATTTTGCACATACATCTATCCGGGAAATAAATAAAACGTATAAAAAAGTGAATTGTATAGACTTTGGCCATATGAAACACATTCCAAATCTTCACAGGTTTATTTACAGTTTCAAAAGGTGATTTCTCCAACCCAATTTCGTCGTCGATAACGAGGCGTCTTTCTACGGTAATCTACTATCTTTCGCACTGGATACACTACCACTGCAGCCAGCACAAGGCCAACAGAGACAGCGACAGTGATCACCATCATATGTGTTGCGAATATGACGCCCTGTTGACTGGCATTCAAAATAATATTAATCTCGTTTGCATGTGCGGATGAAGTAAACGAGCTCAAGGAACTGGACACCCCTACTGAACCAGGAACCAGAAATAGCAAGCCAGTTATCATGTCGACAAACCCAATTGTGGATTTGAATCTTGCGTAAAAGTTTGACAAGAGTGCTACAGCAAAGGCAGCCATCACTGTAGCTACATGTTGATAGGAGACAAACCAAGAGAGCGAGAAATAATGCACGGAATGGGAGACGGCCGCCAGCGTGAGTATCACTGGGAATTTGCGAGGATGTCCTCTGAGGATGATCAAGTTGGCTAATGCAAACAGAGGCACAAACAGGAAATGATACCAAGCGGATATATCATTCTCGCACTGTTGAGTATCTGCACTCACTAGCGCCAGAGAGGGAAACATGATCTTGTGGCAACTGGCACCAATAGCAAGACCAAATCCAATCATCAGTGAGTAGATCAGTGTTGTGGTGAGACGCAGTGTGCCTGATGCCACTTCACCTGCTGCAATTTCCAATATAGAAATCAAGGTCGTGTACCCTGGCAGCAATGTTACTACACCGCCTACAGAGAGAGCATAGAAGCAAGATGTAGTGGTTGGGAATCGAGCAGACACAGATGAAGCAATGTAGCCCACAATGGCACTCAGTAGCACATCAAAGATGCTACCAAATCGGGTCACTCTTTTAGACACATGCAGAAACCCAATGGCTACAATGAGACCTAGCAAGAGGCAAAACCCCATGTCGACCGCCTTTCCCGAGAAGAACAAAGGAGCACTCACACTGGATGCCACAGCATAAGCTAGCCATGTCAGCCACGTTGGATACAGGGTGCAATCTCGACTGATGGGATCCAATTGATCAATGGCTTCTTGTAGTGATATCTCGTCGCATAGTACAGATTCAAATAGCTGGTATGTCAATGTTAATTTATGTAGATCCAGGGTGGATTCCGCTTTGATGATTTGGACTGATGCAGCTAAATTTTCTATTGATAGTAATATGCAGAAAAGGTATTGGCAAGGAATATTTAGTATTCAGTCTTCGGATGAATATCTCTCTCCTGTTTTCTATAGATAATATTACCAGAATCTCCAAACGAAACGACGAGAAAGCCGGGAAAATAGCCAAACTGTGCTTTTACACTGAATTTCTGCATCAATGATTGCAGGCAATGATCAAGCCGATGTGATGGTGCACCGCATGAAACGAGCAGTTTGGAGAATCTCAGCAGAAACAGCATGGCATCGGATGTCGTAGTGGATGCTGTGTGTGTGTACATGTCATGGTGCTGGTTCAATGTGGATGATGTTAATATAGAGTAGATGAGACTATTGCGTCTTGTCGTAGTGGAACTTGCACTGGCGTCGACATGATCTTCATTACAGCAGTAGCAATTGTCATCCGCATATGGATTATCAGCCAATTCAAACATGGATTTGGATCGGCTGTTTTTTTTCTTTATGCGCTTGTTGTTGTCGTTGTAGCTGTGATGACCAGCAGCCAATTTCTCGTCCTGACGAGCACATCCCATATTATAATACAAAAAAGAAACGAAAGAGAAAAAAGGAAGATTATTAGGATTTCCACTACCAAATGTCAATAAAATATAAACGTTTTTCCTCTCTCTCTCTCTCTCCCTCTCTCTTGCTCATTCCGTGATGGCATGGTAGTGCGAAAAAAATAAAAAGGCACACACTCCTTAACCTATAAATCCCTTTTTATAATACAAAATGATCCATTTACTATATTTACTTTGATGATGAGGGTAAAGAACGATCTAAGTTTTTGTATTATTGATTTCATTAGTATATATTTGGTTTGCGCTTGTGCTGCTGTAACGGTACCTTTATACACGGGCTGGCGTTCATAAGCATTTGGACTGACATCTCGAGGATTTCTCTTCTTCTTTCTTTGAGCGTGTTTGTGATTACATTTGCCATGATCACTATCGTTTCCATTGCTGCTGCTACTGCTATCACTTGAGCTATCACTTTCTGATTCTGAGGATTCCCCAATGGAATGAGGTTTATGATAGATGCAGCAAACTACACAATGATGTTGGTTTTCTTTGTAATAAAAATTCTGTAGTAACTTACTCTTTGTCTTTTTCTTGTTCATATGTTCGTTATCAATGACATTTTCATCCCATTGAATCACTCGTCTTCTTCTAGCATTCATATCTCCTCTCAACCGTAATACACCAACATGCTCTCCATCGTCCGAGCTAACAACATCTTCATCTCCACTTTGTCCTTGCTGTGCTATTTCCTCTACTGTCAGTGTTCTGGAACCATGTACTGTAGTGGGTGTTTCTTCTCTCATTCTGGTAGAAGTCGATGGATGAGGTGAGTTGGACATGTTGTATTCTATGAAACAAAAATTGTAGTGTTGTGTAAAAGGAAAAAATTTATAATTGCAATAGATGGATTTCACTGTAATAATACGTACAAGCTGTTTAAATGCCCGAATGTTTCGTATGTACAGTGCACCTCATGCAATGCAAATACATTTGTCAATGGCAAACATTTATACATTGACTACTGGCTCTAGGGTGTATGGTTGTCTAAATTTTGGTTGCCATGGTAACAGTAGCAACCGCTACATATCATCTTTTTACTGAAAGAGGTCTAGATGTTTTGAATAATGATGTCAATGATCATATTATTATGGAGCATATTATGATTTGCATTATATTTAAGAGTGTACACTTGATTGATATCATCCAATGATCATAAACATGCCTGGTTGAGCCAATTTGGTTTAATGAAGTATCAAAACTCTTTTAAATGCTGGAATATCATGTTGATTCAAGTGTGAAATGTCTACATGCGAAAAATTCTCCATTTGAAAACCAAATCTCGCGCCTATTCATTCTTTCCCACTCTTTATGATTTACCAGGAAGAAGTAGGTGATAACCATAATTAAGTATTCAGTACTAACATCATTTTAGCTCGATAAAATTGCATTGGCTTGCAAGGGGTTTCCCTCTAACAACATCTCTCTCTCGCAAAGAGTATTTGCAGATCTTGTTTTGGCAAAAAAATGGAAAGATGTGAAATTTACACCTAACAAGGGATTGCAAATATGCTTGTTCATGGCGCATGAACCAGGGAACACAGTAAGTTGGCGCATTCATGCCTTGAAGAGCGTTTACTTATGCATAACCAGGATAAAGAGCTTGTCATCATACCCATCTTGCAAGATGAGGCAAAACTCTCGGTCAATACAATCACAAACTTGTTCGACTCTATAGATACCCCAGAAGAGTAAGCAGTTTATTTGGGTGAAATCATGATTACATAAATAACCAGCTCCATTATATATAGCCGTTTAACTCTAGCCATCTACTCTTCTGATTCAACCATTGTATATTACCACATTAGCAAAGGACTCGTCAAATCAACTCAACGCAGCTAGATCAATCTTCCTGTTCTTCTGGCCGTCTTTGATAATGCAATAGAGCTGATCAACGTCACCAATAAATCCGAACCACCTACTTCCTGCAATGCCTTGAGATTATATTGTTGATGACTAGATTTCCAATAAGCGTTGAAATGAGACCATGTCTGACCCACAGAAGACAATGTCAATACAAATAATGCTGATCTTTCAGAAGATTGTCTTCTCTCCTTTAACGCTAATGCAGCTAATGCCCCCATAGCCAAATGAAACACACCTTGCGTTCTGAATAAATCGATAGCAATGGATGTTGTTTGTTCAATTTGATGTTTTAATGCAGAGTTTGGCTTTGGTGTAGGTGGAATGCCGAGGTATCGGGTCACTGTTCTCCATGGCTTATTCAGTAGTGCTCTTGCTGCAATGAGATGATATATAAGGTTGATAAGTAATGGCAGATTATTATCTTTGAATACAAATTGTAAGGCGGATTTCAGGAAATAACGAACATGGCCCTTGAGAAATGCCAATGAAGATGGCTCTTTGATGATGATGTCCTCCTCTTCTCCATCCTCATGATGCTGATGCTGATGCTGTCCAGCTGGAATGACAGGGAGTGTGTGCAAAGGTTGGTAATCTTGAGGTTTATTCATATATTGCGATTCTTTTGGTGGTGTCGGTGGTGATTCCATTATGGAATTGTCAAGAGGCGATGTGCTGTCCTCTCTAGTGCTCTGCATAGAGGCAGTAGACATGTCCAATGAATCAGATACTGTATTAACCATGATATTATAAAGTATAAGGATAAAAAAGAAAAAAGATGTTCAAAATTTGGTGTTGGTTTTTTTTAATGGGTGGGAACACAGAAAATATCACATGAAAACATGAATCCACACTTAAAGCCATTTTTTTACAAAGATATAATAGGCCCAATTTGTTCATTTATAGTTGATAAGCTTAAAAAGTGTGTCTCCAAAGGCAAGAAGAACGATGCTTGAGTGAAAGCCGTTAAACATCTTGAAACATGCCCGATTGAAAATTAATCTTTCTGCCGTACAATCCTCTTTAACCGTTTCGTTAATGTATTCAGTTAGAAAGGAAATATTTCCTCCAAAGAGGAAAACAGATTTAAAGAAAGTTAACGACGGTTCGACTGTTTAATTTCAGGCTTGTTGAATTACAATGGCACGGCGAGTTGTGGGTTTCTAATTAATTGGCCGTGTCTAATGGGATACAACGTTAAATACGATTTCATAACCTTTATTCTTGGGTGTGAGTGGGAAAAATTGGTTATATTTCTGTTTCTTTCGTTTGTTCACTGTTCGGCACACGTGAACTGCCTATAAATTAACTCGAATTCAGGCTTATTCAATTGCATCCTCTTCTTTTTACATTTCGATCCAAAACATGTCAACAAACGCGGAAAATAAGAATGGTATTGTAAACCACAACTACTCCAAGAGAACTGAACCTGTGGGCGGATTCAAATCAATGGAGGCATTCTACCCATTTTATCTGGGTGAACATTGCAACAAGGCAAACAGACGATTACACATTGTTGGTAAGATTTTCTTGATTCATTACGATCAAGTTGGGTTGTCATGGAAACTGATGATAATTTTTCAGGTACAACTATTACATTTCTACTCACTCTTTTGGCTATTAGGCGTCGCCAGCCTAAATTACTGCTGATTGGCATCATTCAAGGTGAGTGGATGTTGAGAGACATAGTAAGAAGTTGCACTGATACACAAATAGGCTATGCATGGGCTTGGGTTGGTCATTTCATGTTTGAGAAAAAGTAAGCATCATTGACAAAAAGCGGATAGTGCATGAATTCTTGCAGCGAGACTAACATTTTGGTTTACATAGCAAACCTGCTACTTTCAGATATCCTATTTGGTCATTCCGTGGCGACATGAGAATGTGGCGAGAGATCATGACAGGCAAACGTGCTTTTTAACTTTATTTTATTTAAATAAAAACTAAATATTTATTCTTTCATCAAAAGTAAATAATCCAGAATTGCCTTGGCTGTGGGTCGTTGATTAGGGTCATTGCATAATCCCATTTTCAAGAGCGTAAAGAAATCACTGTATACAGGATTGATGGGCGTTGAAGAGAATGCCACCTTTCCGGTTCTCGCATTTCGTTGAAGAATTTTGTCTTGAAAATCCACATCGCTAATGTCTGCTGTCATTAACTCTGCGATAATCAAGGTGGCCATAAAAACATCGGATGCTTTGGTGAATATATGTTTTTGCGTCATTTCAGGTGGGGCGACATGCTCTGTCCATGCTACTTCTTCTTTGTCAAGATCTGCAATTTCGTTACCGTCTTTAAACTCAATACATGATCCGAAATCAGTCAGCCATCCAGCTCCTGACGAGTCAATCTTTACAATTGATGAGTCTCTCACTCATTTCTTAAATCACTGCAGTGCACTTACTAAAAAGTTTTCTAATTTCAGATCCACGATACCGATATTCAAAGTATGAGCATCTGTTAATGCTGCAAATAAGCAGATCGACGCTTGTAACACCTCTTGCGGTTTAAAGGAGCTTTCTAAGACGACAGGTTGGTAACCCTCCACAGTATTTTTCGATGGATGCTTACCTCGTTTCTCTAAATAGCTTCTCGCGTCTCCATTGAGTACGTAGCGTTGAACTATATACAATGTTGGCTTATGTTTTGTATAAAAAGATGATCGTTCCAGTATTTCTCGACGACAGCAAATCCATCCAATGTACCGATTGATATAACGACAGGCTGCTAGTTTGGCTGCAAACATCATTTCTCGTTTGGCTTGAGAATGAAACGCATCGCTTCGTGTAAACAGTCGCTTTGATTTGCATGCAACATAAAGCCCTCGGTAGAACCCTAATCGCACGATACCCAATTGCCCTTCGCCTAACACTGTCTCTGACAATTGAAGATCTTTGGGATCGAGCTGTCCTCGTAGACTAGTTTCTTTTTGAGAGGTTGCTGTAGTTCCAGAAGATGGTTGACAGTCTGCTGAATCGAGTAATGCTGTCAAAGCTACTACCGATACTCTGATAAACTTCCTTCTGGATGCTCTGCAGACTGATTTACGTTTCCTGCCAACACTCAGCGAATCGACATCTTCCTTTTCACTTGTTGTTTTATCCACGTTCTCTGGTATGTTTGTGGGTGTTGAAAGACCTGATGATGAAGCTCTAGTTGCACTTCTTGAGCAGGGGTTGTAGTTCCCACTGCTGCTTTTTTTACCATCTGTTGCAGAGTTTTGGGAGGATTCGCCCATCTCAGAGTGTTCTGCCAACATGCCAGTTTGTAGCAGAGCAGCACTTAAAGGAGTCAACTCTGCCAATCCTTTTCCTGTGTTTGACTTGTTATTCTGAATCCACCCCTCCAAGTTTTCCGGTTCGTCTTCGCGGACGCGCTTCCAATTCGCGTGCAGCTCGCTGTATTGGTTCTTAGCCATTAGAAAGTCTCTATACTCCCTATCTAACAATTCCACAGGTGCAGATTCAAATAAGGTCAATTTATGATCCATCAACATTGTAATACTAGGTCTGGCGGTAGCAGTGCTAGTAGCAATTGTATGGTTGGGGGCAGTGGTATCATGTCTATGATTTTGACCGAGTGGTAATTCGTCAGATGTTGGTGCAGGACCTTTTTTGACATGTGGTTTGTTTATGGCATTAGAACAGGTCATTTGTCCAGTTGAAATCTAGGGTAATATACTTGAGGATGAAGGAAAAGAAAAGAAAGAAGATGGGAGACAATCAAAATGCGTTTCCCTTAAAAAAGCGGACAATCAATGCTCTTCCATCAGGGTTCTTAAACGATCAAATGCATTGCGATGAGATGTTGATTATGCATCTAAGAGGAAATCTAAACAGCTCCATTTTATGCGCTACTAATACAATTAAGGCTTTCTCAGAGATTTTCCGCTTTAGCATTATTATAAGCACATAAGCCATTCGAGTGAAGTTACTACTTGGACTTGGTTTTCTTCTTCAAAGGCTTTTGTATAAATAGACACCAGATCCAAGATCTAGGGAACAAGAGGCAAATTTGATAAAATCAACTCTTTTCATTATGTAATATAGTTTGACACGAACAAATGTTGCTACACGAACATAAGTGTTGATTACAGTATGCTTATCCAACGGTTTTTACTAGATGCAGACTACCTATAGCATCTAAAATGTCCAGCTTGCCTTACAGCTGTCATCGGCTTACTAATAAGTTGTATCATTGTGCTGTGGTGCTGCGATACAGCAGTACTACCTAGCCTTACATTTCCAGCACAATATTTGGATATAACAGCATGCTCTATCTCGATTAATGCATACAATGTCTTTACGCTATTGTATTACAACAAGAGCGTGCCTATTAGCAAGCAAATGTATAGGATACAGTCAAATTTGACATCTTCCTGGCCTTAATATCTTGGCATGTAGGCGTTTCTGAGCCACCGGAATAGCACTAAACAAGTGCTCACATCTGGCAGTTACTTATTGCCACTATTGCTCAACTTTTTGAGGATCAAAAAAAAATAGCCAAAAATCGACCAAAAAGCATGAGGTACCCCTCATGGTTTTCATCGAAAATCGAACGATCGCGTTTTTTACCTTGATAATGAAGATTTTTATTATGGTATGTATTGAATCAAAATGTTTCTATCGATCTAACGCAAGCCCTGAAATCATCTTTGTGGGACCTTGATGTGTAAAATTTCGACTTTTTGGCCAGAAACCTCTTTTCATATTTTCAGAAATTGCTCAATAAGTTTATTCAAAACATCTAGCTTACTTGGTACCATTGGATGCACTTTGAAAAGCATTCCAAAAATGTATTAGGAAGCATTGAATGATCATTACGATTTATATAGTCGAATATGGCAAAATAGTTTGATCAAGTCGAAAAACTATCAAAATCCGGCCAATCTTGAGCAGTAAGAGCATTCTGAGTTTTAATCTATTTTGCTGCTGGTGGGGTTGACTGGCAAACTCAATGCCCTTTTCATCATGAGGGCAATACAGTAATAATAGATGCTTTTGAAGCGTATGAAAAGTAAATGGAAAATTACATAGCACTATTGTTAGCGATACTATTTTCTTTAAATTCTATATTTAATAACGTCAGTCTATCAAAATACTTGTTAGGTCAACTTCTTTCCTTTTTGAGGCTTTAAAAGTGTGTAGGGGCCATACATCTACAAGTTCGATTCTTTGCATCTAGTCTTTTGTTATTTTTTAACTCGTGGTAGTGCTTGTAGATACTTTACCTTGTCAGGAACCAGATATGCACAGACACTGCGTGAGATCGTCAAATCAACATTGGGTCGAGTTGGTGTTCTAAACAATAAACAATTATTTTCTAAATCAACATTCATTCACTCATTGTTTATTCACACCATTGTGACGAAATGCAATCCAAAATGGGCAGTAAATGCGAATAAAATTCAAATCAAGATGTCAAAATTGATTTATTTCTACAATTACATGTTTTCTAAATGATGGAACTCCTTGGCAGTGGTTAGCCATCGCTGATCAGCTAAAGAGAAAAGAGCCATGAAGGAGACAAGGCAAGCGTCCCAGATGTGGTCCTTGGCGTTATTCCATGACTTGAAAAACATTTTTACAACAGCAAAAGGTGGTTGATAATCGATGAGAAGATAGGTTTTATTCCATTGCTTGGCAAGGAATCTGTGTTGATGAGGTCTGATGGTTTTCATCAATTGCTTATGGTGAAATGCTGCTGCGTTGAGTGATTTTTGCTCTTTGGAAGCGAGACAATGAACGCTGAATGCGTAGCACACTTGCATGATCTCTATCTGCTTCCCTTCAAGTTCGGTCGTTGGATAGTTGGCAATAAGCTCGTCTACATCTTCCAGTACAAAATTGAACGTGATCAATAGGTCGTTTCTTGTTCTTCTCAACAGACTCATGGCCTTTTTGATCAACAACTTTCTGCGTTTCTGAAAGTTACGATTGGGAGCGTAGACTTGAAGCTCCTTGACCTTTTTGGTCGAGGCCGACGCTTGGTTTGCGTTGCTCTCCTCGACATCTGATGCTGATGCTTGGTTTGCATCGTTGGCAACAAAAGCTTTCTTCTCAATGGAAGGCCCATTAGTATTATTTACTTCAGTAGCTTTGTATTTGGTGGCCATTTTATCCTTATTATGCCGTATTTCTTAAAATATTGAAATGGATGAGGCTCCTTCCAACTTTACTACAAGCTCATCAGTGACAGACATCCCTAGAGCAACATTGTAGAAACCTGAGTCAAAGTTACACAGCTATTGTGTTTAAAGTTCGAAATATATCCATCAGCAGAGATGATGGCAACATCCTTGGTTTGAGCGTGAGTTGTCTACATGCAATTGCATCAAATGAAAGAAAATTGTCCATCCTCTGCAAGCACTGCAAAGCGCCATCATATTTTATATCTTAATCTCTTTGGCGAAAAACAAATTAGTGTACTCCGTAGTGTTACCTTACCTGCCAACATTAAAGTACTTTTTCAAATAAAAGTCTGATTGAATCTTCTCTTTCACAACAATTACCATGCGCTACACACCAACAGCCAAACAAGATACAGATGATCTTAGAAGACTATTTGACGATGTCAGTAAGCTTGTTAGAAATTATGCAGACCAACACCAGGAGCAAAATGATGATATTGCTTGCTTGGTCGCCGGCCATCTCGTTAAAGAGAACATGGCTGATTTTACCATCAAGGTTGCTCCTGCCAGCAGGAAAAGAAAAGCAATCAGTGGCTATGACATGTTCAAGCAAGAGATGATGCTGCAGACGAGTGAGGTGTTCTCTACTGCTAGCACGGGAAACCCCAACGATTTACAAAACTTGATGGCCAAGTATGCGGAAGCCTGGAAGGCGCTCAAGAAAAACAACCCTGACAAGGTCAACCAACTGAAGTTGAAAGCCGCAGAAAAGACCAAGGCTAGGGATGCAGAGCCCATTACCACCGGAGGAAGACTCGAAGTCTACCATAATGATTTGAATACCATCACTAAAAGCCTCGTAGCAATGCGAGACAAATACAATTTTCATGCCGTCTTATATCATTATACAGAAACTGATAACGACTTTATGTATCCCAGTGATATTTTTCTTAATTCCAGTAGGTAATTCAATAATCTGTGTTATTCTGAGAGAGCTAACAATGTTTAGAAATTGCCTCTGACAATGTGGATTCTGTGCATAAAGTATTAGGACATCCGCTGGACTTAGGTTTGCTGAAGGCGTTTATGAAAAGTAAGTGGACTTGACTTCAAACTGGTCAACGACTATATCAAACCCTAAAATTCAATTAGCAACGTCTGAGGCCTCATCCGTCCCATCAAGTCCCACTGCTGGGAGTCCTGTCCAGGAAGATTCGGCCTTAGGCGTTCACGCTGATAGAGCTGAACGTCTGCCTGGTTTGCCTGCCTCTCAGATGAAGCCACTTCTTTCGAATTTGCTTCCCAACGGTAATGCTCCTGCTTGTTCTGCTCTTGCATCTACGTCTGCTATTGTTTTTAATAATGACAAGTAATCACTGTTGAAAGCGGAGTACCTCAAGGGTATTCGTGAGATGGCTACGCAAATGACCTGTACGTGTATTTGTTCCTAATGATTTTGTTACAGTTCATCTAATTGTTGATTATTTTTCATACATTTAGCGGCCCTGAGATACTCACAAGTTCCTTGGACTGACCTGCTAAAAAATAAGCATGGTGAACTTCATCTTGTCAATTGGCCAGAGTATAAACGCCCAGATACTGAGGTGGAAACGTCTCCTTTCCATGAACTAACTGGGATGGCAAATTTGGATAATTTAAGTTTCTGCTATATAAAGCTTGTGTATGAAGGCATGAAAAATGGCCCAATAGCCATTGTACGTAGACATCAATAAAAGGAAAGTCCAAGCGCAGTTGGCAATGTACGCACATTGCCCAACTTTACAACATGATCTACATAATTTCCCTGAATGGCATCGTAAATTCATATCATAGGCTGGATTAGAGCGACACATAAGACTTATTTCACCGCGTCTTTGTTTCAAGGTCTCAAACTAGAGATTGATCCATTATAGAGGCTTAAACTAAAGGTTGATCCATTACAAAGGCTCAAACTAGAGGTTGACTCAATACAGAAGCTCAAATAAAGGTTGATCCATTACAGAGGCTTAAACTAGATAATGATTCATTACAAAGGTTCAAACTAAAAGATTAATTCATTACAAAGGCTCAAACTGGAGATTAATCCAATACAGAGGCTCACACTAGATATTGATCCACTGGAGAGGCTCAAACTAAGGATTGATCCATTGCAGCGGCTCAAATGGCAAATAGTTACCAAAGAAGGCAATTCTTTTGGCTGTGTTTTCTGTCAATTACTTAACTACAGATTAGTACAAAAAAGCAATAGTAAATGTACATTTATATTTATATTTATATTTATGTAATATTGTATATATTAATTACAAGTATTATACTCTGAAAGCATTTCAAATTTAAGTGAATAATGAAAGAGAAAAACATATAAAAATCTTCTTCCGATTGTTAATCGGAAATATTGTTAGGATTTTATATATTTTTCTTCGATTTTAAATCGAAAGATGGAGTTAGTAACAGGTCTAGATGTATGGCCCCTACACACTTTTAAAGCCTCAAAAAGGAAAGAAGTTGACCTAACAAGTATTTTGATAGACTGACGTTATTAAATATAGAATTTAAAGAAAATAGTATCGCTAACAATAGTGCTATGTAATTTTCCATTTACTTTTCATACGCTTCAAAAGCATCTATTATTACTGTATTACCCTCATGATGAAAAGGGCATTGAGTTTGCCAGTCAACCCCACCAGCAGCAAAATAGATTAAAGCTCAGAATGCTCTTACTGCTCAAGATTGGCCGGATTTTGATAGTTTTTCGACTTGATCAAACTATTTTGCCATATTCGACTATATAAATCGTAATAATCATCCAATGCTTCCTAATACATTTTTGGAATGCTTTTCAAAGTGCATCCAATGGTACCAAGTAAGATAGATGTTTTGAATAAACTTATTGAGCAATTTCTGAAAATATGAAAAGAGGTTTCTGGCCAAAAAGTCGAAATTTTACACATCAAGGTCCCACAAAGATGATTTCAGGGCTTGCGTTAGATCGATAGAAACATTTTGATTCAATACATACCATAATAAAAATCTTCATTATCAAGGTAAAAAACGCGATCGTTCGATTTTCGACGAAAACCATGAGGGGTACCTCATGCTTTTTGGTCGATTTTTGGCTATTTTTTTTTGATCCCCAAAAAGTTGAGCAATAGTGGCAATAAGTAACTGCCAGATGAAAGGAACTATTTGATACTATTCTGACGATCTAAAACGGCCTTGAACACGAGAAAACGCAGCCCAATTGCACTCAGATTTTGCTGTATTAGGGACACTAAGGACTAAAAAGGGGAGATGCCAGTATGCTGCTTGCCTGTATACGAAATAGCTACGTGCATATGTATGTAGAGCATCACATAAGAAGCAGATCCACAGATAATATGAAGGGTCTTTATGTGCAAGTGGAGGGTCAAAATGAAAGTAACAGTATTCTGATAAGATACGCTAGTCAATCGGTAGCGCGAGCTGCTGCTACTCAAGTTGGTTCTAACTCTAGCACAGCAAAGGTAGAGAGCCATCCGAAGCGTAAATACTCGTATGATTAATGATTTTATATCAATCAACCATTAAGGCACTTCTGACATCTTAGCTATTAACAATTCTGCGATATTAGCCAAAGGCCCGCGGCAGCACGAACCGCCTGAAGGTAGGCTGGTTTCCACTAGAGCGAAGCGTAGGGCGGAACATCATCTGAAGAAGGGTCGAAAAGCTTGCATAAATTAGAGATAAATGAGCGATTTTAATTGCTGCCTAATATTGGCAAGAAAACATATCTAAATAGGCATATAAACAATGTAAAACAGTGGCATGTGCATCACCATAGAAAGAAGCAAGTGTAAATGTATAACATTCTGTCTCACAAAAATCAATATACCTAATATTGCGCTCAAGTGTCATGAGTATGGAGCCAGTAGGTGGTCCATAAGAATTTTTAAGGTGGGCCGTATCAAGCTTTATTTATTCAAATCTCTCAATTAAGCTTAAAAGCCTTCAACGCGTTCTTGGATCTTGATCAAATCAGAAAAGATACCGTAAGCAGTAGGAGGTCCACCAGCACCAGCGCCCTGTTTACATTATCATGAGTCTTCACACGTCGATAGAGTAGTATATGTAATACTTACTTGGACAATGACACCATTAGGGAAGTATTTGGTGGTGAATTTGATGATATTGTCACTACCCTGAAGACCAGCAAAAGGATGTGTGGCGGGATATCTAGTAGGAGAGCCATTTTAACACGTTGATTTCCTCCACTTACTAGCACTACTACTTACTTCATCAACTTGACACCACTGTTGCCCTTGGGATCGACTACACCAACGTAACGGAGAACCTTACCCTCGCTTTTGGCTTCCTCATTCAGTTTGGCGAAGTGATCGTCGAAATCAGGCAGCTTGGACATGAACTCATCGGCAGTAGCAACGCTTCTAAGGGATTCAGGTACAATATTCTCAACATTCAATGTGCTCAAATCAAGATCCAAACCAGCCAAGCGACCACAGATGGTAACCTGCACATATTTCAGCCTATATTCTCATTCTCTACATAAATCCCATACAACATACCTTACGAGCAACATCCATACCGTTCAAATCATCTCTTGGGTCAGGTTCAGTGTAACCCAGGTCCTTGGCTACCTTGACAATCTCAGAAAAGGATCCCTTGGATGGACCGCTAGCAGTGGTAGAGTAATTATTGAAAAGATACGAAAGAGTACCAGAGAAGATACCCTCAATCGTGATAATCTCATCGCCAGTCTTGACAAAGTCAACAAGAGTAGACAAAACGGGGAGACCAGCACCAACAGTGGATTCATGGTAGGTCAAAGGCGTACGGCCATTACCACTGTAATTGGCAGACAACAAATGGATTTCCTTGAAGAGAGACAAGGGACCAGAGAAAGCCTTTTTGTTAGGAGTGACAATGGAGAGGTTCTTTTTAAGCCATAAAGGATACATGTTGGCAATACCTTCAGAAGCAGTGCAATCCACAATGACAGCATGATCGGGAGAAGCAGCCATGTAGTTGATGAATTCATCCAAATTGGGCTTAACACCTGATTTTGAGAGATCGGATTCCCAGTTGGTCAAATGAAGAGGCGTATATTCTTTATCTGAGAGGTTCATTGTGTCAATGTTGGCAATGGCAACCACCTTCAAACGTCTAGCGCTTGAGCGAGTAGCATGAAGTTGAGCGATCAATTCAGAACCAACGAATCCACAACCAATAATACCGACGTTAACCATTTTGAAAAATCTCTTTAATGAAAAGAAAGGTATGCAAGAGAAAGAGAAAGAGAAAGAGAGATGTAAGTGAGATGCTTCCTTCTTGATGGCTCTCTTCGCATTTTTATGGTGGAAAAATTTGATCGTCACTGTGTCTTTCTGTTTCACATTCTACACCATTAGATCCGGGTAATGATCTATGATTCATTTTTATCATGCCTTTCTGCGTCAACGGTTCACAGCTTTTGATTGGCAGTTGATATAAGATCTGACCAAGCATAAATCAAAATAGACGTGAAATCGTGAATCAAAGTTTAGACAGCTTGGTAATCCATTTGATTGCACGATTAAGCTATTCGCGTACTTGATTCCCATGCAACTTGTTCATTTCTAACACTAAATATGTGTGAAATTCAGGAGCGCTGGCTTGCAGCTATGGGGATAAAGCTCTATTGATCCAGACTTGACTACAGAGAAGATACAAGCAAAGTGTTGTCATACCACATTTTTAATTGTAAATTACAGAATATAATCGTGCAAGAGGTGATGAGTGCTATATGTCTCAATTCCAGTATTTTACTGCGAAAAAACGGACATCCTTTCTATCATTTTTCTCGTACACATGGATTCAACATGGCTGTCCATTTGTAATCAGATGGAAAGCGATAGAAGCGTATAGGATGTGTGAAAATGACTCGATTAGGAAGTAAAAGAGAGTGTCAACGAAAACTGTTTGTATACGTTACATTAATGAGTGCCAATTTGAAGAATAAGGGGAGGTTACGAGATATGATGCGAGCACCTCAACATACCATAATGGCGTCACTATCTCACTATCAAAAGTGCTTGATTAATATGCATTTGTGAGAAATTAAGAGGAATTAGTAACTTTATTTCATTTGTAAAAAGACACAACATGAGGATGGAATAGATAAATTGATATTAATAGTAAAAGTTGGGAGGGGGGGTATAGACAGTGTATTTGGTGCTCTCTATAAGATGACACATGATTTCTTTTCATCGGCTTGATCATGTAACTTGACTATCAAAGGATTCAACCGTTAGTTTTATGCTACATGTACCGCTAAAACAAATATTTATTCACCTGATGTTGCAACCCTAGCTGCCTGTTCAAAGCACTCGCTTACGCCTCGATTGCGCTTTGCAGAGCATTCGAGATACCTGATAGCCTTGATACTTTTGGCCACCTCCAGCCCCTCTTCATATAAGATGGGCTTCACTTTTTTCAATGCAACTTCATCATCTCGAAGGTCGCATTTCAGGGCTACCAGCATTGTCTTTGCATGAGGACACCCATCTTGCAATTCCTCAATCCATTTATTTGGGATATTTTCCAATGAATCTCGATTGTCGATAGAGTAGCAAACAATGATAACATGTGTATCATTGTATGATAGCGACCGAAGGCGGTCGAATTCTTCCTGGCCAGCAGTGTCCCATATAGATAGCTCTACAAGCTTTCCATCCACTTCAACATCTTGCACATAATTATCGAATACAGTGGGCTCATAAACCTATCATAGAATATATCAGCTTACATCGAAACACAATGTGTGTAGTCAAGCGGTATTCTACCTGGGGAAAGAAGCCTCTGGTAAAAACATTTAACAAGGATGTTTTGCCACATGCGCCATCACCTACTACGACAATTTTTCTCTTGATTGGCTTTTTCGATCTAGCACAAAAGATCATGATATTATGTTGCTAATACACAGAGAAAAGAGAAGAAAGAGGGTACCTGAATGGGTTGCTCAATGGGTTTTCTACTCCGTTTTCTCCAGTGTATGACAAAATCATTGCTAATTGTGCACAGTTACCACATTTTCCACCTTGGTTGATGTGTGTTCCAGTGACATCCTCCTTCCTCCCGTCCTCCCCGCCTGCCCCTTAAGTTCTGGAATATAGTGTCGTCTCATGGAAGCATCTTTGTATATGAAAGAGTTGTGTATATCAGCAAGTGAATGCTTTGGCAACAAATGTCTGCGTAGATGTCAACTACTGAATGATGGAATAACAGCAGCATCTTTAAATGATAGCATGCAGTACTGTAAAGTGAAGTTTCAAGATGCATGCTTTCATAACTAGACTCATCTCTTGGCCATTTGGCTGCGGAATACCTAGTAAGTGGGCATACAGACGCACTGGTCGTCTGTGGCCATTGATGAACAGCTTGGAGTACACACTGGCCTAATACGTTTAATGGCCTTGCATTGGCCCAGTGAGTCTTTTCAGTGGATCAAACCATGGAGATTGTATACACCGCAAGCCTCCTCCAGCGATGATCCAATGCCATGTACCTGCCTACAGAGCTCTCGTATACAACCTCAATGCAATGTCGCATACATGAACCACATTTACATGACACAGAAACTCCGGGGGTCTTCCACGTCACTTGAATGAAGCTATTCAGAAAAAGGGTATCTGATAGAGAGACCCACTTTCTTCTTTTTTGTTCTTGTTTTTTTTCGCTTGAAAAACTCTAAAAGCACAGCATCTTTAGAGCAATCGAACAAAGACATCACACACGTACTCAAGCAGGAAAAAAAAAGTATTTGAATTTCTTTTTTTTCTTCTAAATTTGTTTTATATATTCCATCTTTTTCCCATATCTTTAATACGTTGAAATGTCAGCTCCTGCTAGCACGGAAACTGGTAATGCAACACTTATGGAAGATGTATCTGGCAATCCTGCAAACACCATCTACGTCGGCAACCTTGACCAGAGGTAACTTTCAGTGATCCATGGCTGCATCGATGGCTAAATTCGTTTCAATTCATAAACGTAGAGTTACTGATACCATGTTACACGAGATCTTTGCGACTGTAGGTCCCGTCGTTAGCGTGAAAATTGTAACTGTAAGTGAGATTTGCTACGGGAGGATGGAGCGACGTGCTAAGTGGATATCTTGTAGGTTAGAAGACACACTGCATATGTATGGTATTCAGCAAACCGTGGGCAACAAATCAGATGAGAAATAACACATGAAATTAGGCAGGTGTAAATTATGCTTTTGTGGAGTTTGCCGATCAACGCACTGCTGAACAAGCTATCCACGACATGAATGGTAGAAAAATATTCAACTATGTAAGGACGACACCATTTACCAAACAAACGAGAGAGAGAGAGGGGAGGCGATAAACACATATTCATGGCTATTTCTTAATTTAAAAGGAAATCAGAGCAAACTGGGCACAGCAATCCAGCAACGCTGCCAAGGAGGATACAGCAAACCACTTTCATGTATTTGTAGGTGATATTGCACCTGAAATTACAGACGAAGCGCTCGTACAAGCTTTTTCTGTGTTTGGATCCATGTCGTATGTTGTCTTCATAGTCTAAACCAAGGATATCATGGGGATCTAATTATTACTTGCGTCTGTTCAATAGTGAGGCTCATGTCATGTGGGATCCAGTCTCTGGCAAATCCAGAGGCTTTGGGTTTGTGGCCTTCAGAGACAAGACTGATGCTGAGCAGGCCATTGCTACCATGAATGGCGAGTGGTTGGGATCCAGGGCGATCCGTTGTAACTGGGCTACTCAAAAGGGGCAGACTGCTACACCTGCACCTCAACCAGGCCAACAATTGCCTTACGAAGTTGTCATTCATCAAACACCCGCTTATGTTACCAGTATTTATGTCGGTAACTTGCCTCCCAACGTTAACCGTAAGTATTGCTGGTGTGATGGCTGATTCGGAATACATCTGACACCAGCTGGTTGCCATAGAAACCGAGCTGGTTCAACCTTTTCAAAGATTCGGCTATGTGCAAGAAGTCAAGCTCCAGGCAGATCGTGGATTTGCCTTTGTAAAGTGAGTTAATGATGAGCAACATGGCAATGGCCTGTAACTTAATTCAACATGCGTATATAGGATGGATACACATGAAAATGCAGCCAATGCTATTGTTCATTTGCAAAACATCAACATCAATGGAAACACTGCCAAGGTATTGCGGATTTAAATGCAGGCGTTTCTTGCTAGCTAACAATGAGCTCTAGTTATCCTGGGGCAAAGATCGTCCTCCACCAGGATGGCAAAACTATGGCGGATACCATCATCAACAGCAGCAACAGCAGCAGCAACAAAACTGGAATAACATGCAATACGGAGGAGGAAGAGATGGCAACCACCGCAACAGCAACAATGCTCAAAACAGCAATGTATTTGGCGTTCCGGCTCATTTAACCAACGGCTATGCTTTCCACAACAGTGGCAGCAACATCCCTAGCCTCGATCCTCATTCTGGCCAAGCAGTGGCAGCTGCTCATGCTGCTCAGTGGAACCAACAAGCTGCTGTAGCTGCTGCTCAGCAACAACAGCAATTATATGAACAATACAATAATGGTGGTAATAACATTTGATCAATTAATGCACAGTGACAGATATTAAAATACGTACTCGTTTCTCCCTCTTTATGATACATGCCCTTACATCCGTAAAATAAAGTCCTCATTTCATATTCTCTCTTGAAATAATGCAGCAAATGCCATTTGTACGCTTGTGCTTGCTTTCTCCGCAAAGATCGCCACGGTGATGCGAACAGCAACTAACAACAATTCTTAATGATTATCTGCTGATGCTATATTTAAGCGTGCCAAATGCTTGATTTTGGTTTATGTTGAGGGGTGGCAAATATCTAGAAAGATTGCATAACATGTCGTAATGCTGATCCCATTCATGCGATTCATTTTTCATCTCATTTTATTGGCGTGACACTATAGCAGGATGCTACTTGCGTACGCACACCCCCTTTCGCACGCGTGACAGAGGCAGACTGAGACAGAGAGAGGCCAAGAAAAGAGCAACATCCACTCTTTTCTCCTGCAATCATCTATATTAAACAAAGCTCTGATCGATATAGACACTCAACATACCCATGAACTCATTATACCAAGTAGATGAACTTGTGAAAGAGTACTTGCTGGTAAGATCCCTGTTCACAAGCTGCTCCTCGTATGTAGCTCACCTCTTACCACAGTTTCGAGGCTTCACAGCAACATTTCGAGCACTCGAATCCGAGATCCGTACCGATAAAGACAAAGGGTTTCAGGTAAATGCTGTTACATGCATGACATGAGGTTGATATCTTATCATTCTGTGTAGGTGGATAAAATTATCGAGGAGTTGTTAGGAGCCATTGCCAATGGAGACATACAAGCACTAATAGACTACTATCGATATCTGGATCTTCGCTTCTTTTCTCGGTTGGATAGTCGATTTCAGCGCACCATCAAGAAATTTGAGCTATGTCTGTTAAGGCATTATCTGATACACGGTAAAAAACAGCAGACGTTTAAATTAATACATGTGAACTAAATCAAAAGCTCAGCTATGCAACACAAGAGACGAGATAAAGTGATAGAGTTTTTCGATATCTATGGGCCTGAATTGCATGGAAAACCAGAGTGGTCTCAATGGTTTGGTAGGTGTTTGAGTGCTTGTTGACAAGGTTTGCAGCTCATTGACCTATGTGATAGCATTGCCTTATATCAAAAATCCATCCAACGATACAACATTCGAAACTTTCTTTTCCAAACAGTGGGTAGACAACTACACCATCTCACTGCACAACTTTTTAGCTACTACATTTCAAAACATGCGTAAGTTGGCCCTCATGTTCCCTGGTGGACTGAGATATTGACCATTTCATTAGCACTCCCAAGTCTACTATCGTTCAATATCGATCGTATCCAGCGCAAAACACAGCAAAGCGAGATTGAAGCATTAAAGACAACAGTGGAGAATCAGAAGGCTACATTGGAGGCTCGAGAAAATGATATTGCAAAACTAAAGCATGAGGTTGTGGAGACTAGAAAGGAAATGACGGACGGTATATCACTGATTCGCAGAAGAGCTGCTTCGTCAGCACAGCAAAACGACCAAAAATCGCTAAAATCAATGTCTACCTCTATTGCGTCTATACATGGCGCTTCTGTGGGTGGGGCCAACACCTTTCTCAATCTACCCAAAAAGTCAAACTCGGAATCAACACACAAAAGCAACTTGTCAGGGCACAGTCAGGATTCAGCAAAGAATGAGGATGAGCCGTTTCTGATAGTAAATCAAGAAGAGTTTTCAGAGCATGTATCTGCTATAACACACGCCAAGTTCTCAAGTCAAGGTGATTTGATAGCAAGCTGCGATATGGATAACATTGTGAGGTAAAGGATTCACCTAGACATAAATGGCTCAAAAGGATCTGACTAATAGCTTTGCAGGGTTTGGAGCTACAAGGGACAGTCGTTTAATCCCCTCAAGATCAAGAACAGCTCCTCAAACGTGCTGTCCATGGAGTGGGATGCAAGATCTGACCGATTTGTGAGTTGCCAAGAGGGTTGCTTGGAAGCCTACAACTAAAATAGTGTTGTATATAGCTCTATCTAGGGACAGACGCAGGATTGATTCGAGTGTACAATGTGGACTCGAAAGCTGTGGTACAGGAATTCATGATGGATGACAGCTATTCATGGTAAATTTTCACTGACCAAGTGTATGGATGGGTACTGAGATAATGTTGATAGTGTAAATCAGCTATCGTCTAGTCCAGTGGAACCTATATTTGTATGCTCTGGATCAGGCAAGAAATCAGGCGCGCTTGTGGCCTGGAGCATGAAGTCCATGTCAGCTTGCGTGAGTGTGGAGTAGTATGCAGGATGATCTTGATACTGATAGCTTCTGTAGGGTACCTTCCAGTTCAACAATGACGAGTCAGAGGCTATTGTGAGCACAATCAAACTGAATCATAATGGTCAAATGCTGGTGGCAGGAGATAGTACAGGTTTCATGCGCATATTTGGTATGATATTCACACTGACAAGCTGGTGGTGGTGATATTAACTTTCTTAATGGATAGATATTCGAAGCATGAAATCCATTATAGAATGGAAGGCAGCACCATCCTGCACAGCTCAATTCAGCTTTGATGAAAACTCTATTTATTCAGTGGATGACAGTGGACAGGTAAAATACAATCATGCGTGTACTACTATGTAACACTCAATTCACACAATGCAGTTATCTCAGTGGTCAGTACACAAACCAGGAACATGTATCTTTAGTAGCGCAATAGAAGGTTTTCCTCCTCCAGCTGCTTATCCAAGCAAATCAAAATCATCCTCTTCATCTGTAAGGTCCATGGAAGACAGCGTAACACAATCTTTATTGTCAGTAACACCTCGTTCTCAGATGGTGGCATTTAGCGCTGATACAGATTATGTTCTCTGTGCTGCTCAAAGCAAAAAGGCAGATACCATCCATGGATCTATCTATCGTATATCCGAATCAGAGAACCCTCCCGTCCTGAGATTTGGAAACCAACCAGCGAGTCAGCCCATTACAATCGTAGACTGGACAAATTCTTCCAGTGCTTGTTTGTTGGGCAGTGTAGATGGTAGTGTCAAAGTAACGACATTGATTAAAGTGTAAAAATACCCTTAACATATATATTCTATGAATCTGATTAAAAAGAACTTGAATATCTTTATTTTATAACATTAACTAAGTAAAGGTACAGGGGAGAGAGAGAGAGAGAGAGGATATATTACATTGTGGATTGCATTTAATTTAAACCTTCCTTGATGATTCTACGTCTTTCAAAGTTGTATTCATCAATCTTGGCTCCGAGTTCAATCTGAATCTCAGTTTCTTGTGTCAAATGGACGAGTGCTTCATTATCACACCATGCAATAAGCTCAGTCAATCTACGGCGCACATCCCACAAATACTTTTGCATAGGCGAATAGTAGGCTCCAGTGTTGTCAGCTTCGTTGACGTACTCGGTGGGTGATTTGAAGCCAGGGAGTTCAGGGTACTCTTCACGAGCTTGAGTCAGGCAATCATAAGCAACTTGAGGGAAATAAACTTTGCCCTCGCCCATCAAGTGTTCCTTGACTGATGATTGACGTAATTCGAGAATAGCCTCCAACAAGGCAAAATCAGCTCCTTTGAGAAGCTGCTTGACCTTTTCAAGCTTAGAGATCTTTTCAAATTTCTATGATGTCGCCCGCTTTAGATTAATTGCTCTGAATCCCAACAAAAAAAACCACCATCCCTACCTCTGCAGAGTTATTTTTGATTTGCTCAATGCTTTCATTTAAGATTTGAACACTAGGAAAGGTACCAGTCAATGCCTAAAGATGCACACAGGTCAGTTTACGCATGGCAGATCAAGCAAATACAACTTACACTGTCCAGCAGCACAGAGACGTCTTCACGGTATTTCTGGAGTGATCTGTAATCCACTGAATACTTTTCATTCTTGATCTCAACATCATGGATCTTGTCCTTTTCTTCTTGCACCTTCTTTTCAGTTTCAGCGACAAGTGCGTTGGCCTTAATGAGACCTTCCTTGGCACGATCCTTCTCAGCTTGCAGGCTGCACTATGATAGAGAATCAGCCTTCATCACTTTATGTCTCCTTTGACCATTTTACTTACAGTCACCTTCATAAGAGCCCATTGAAGTGTCCAAGAATTCAGATTGTGCAACTCACTCTCCCACATGGTACTATCCAACATACATTGTAAACTTGGCTGCAGCACTCTCGAGCAATAACTACGGAACTTACATTTTAGAAAGGGCCTCGTGGTGTTCTTGATCAATAGGTTCCTTTGCAATCTCTAATTTCTTGATCACCAAAAGGTTTTCGAGACAAGGTCTTTCAACATGAGAAATGTTGGCAATAGCATGAATGAGCTGATCAATAGCGTCAGTAGACATAGTGTAGATTCTCGAGTGTAAATTGGAAAGAGAGAAGAAGAAGAAAGAGAAGAAGCAAGGCACTCGACATAAATTGGCCTAAAATCTTTCATTTTTCTTCCCGGATAACTTTAATTGGTCATAACTTTCCTCTGCTTTACATGACTATGAGCATGGATCTTTTCCCCACGTCCATTATTTTTACAGTTTGTTACTCGGTTTGTATCACTTCCATCCATCTTCCCCGCACATAGACACAGGAGCGGGAAAGTTTGGTAACTTCAGAATAATCACACTGGACACGTATATTTTGATTTCTGAGATTAAGTAATCAAATCACTTACCATGTTCACAGTGATTGGCTTGCACAGTGTGGCACAAATTCAGGACCTAAATTATGCTTTGTCTGTGTACGTAATCACTTCTCACATCAACTACCTTTCTTCATTATCATCACCAGTACCTCGAGTCGACTAACATGTGAATAACATGCAAATCACCTCATTTGTTGGTAGTTAAAGTACAGGAGTAAAGCAGCAGAGATAGCATTACATAGCTCGATAACTGTCTTGTTTATACATTCATGGTTCAGCTTCAAGCCTATAGATGGTTAAAGTGCTATGCCTGTGGACTATCTTCATTATTAGTCTACATGAATATTAGTGATGTTTCGATCTCTCTCGGGAAGTCAATATGAACAATGTAGCTGAAAAGAAAGAGAAATACATTGTTTGTATGCAAAATAGAAGTGAACAGTATAGGGAAAAATACTGTAAAGCCTCTCTTGAAAGCAGGCATTATGCACTTTTGTATCTTTCTGACAGGCTATAGAGTTCAAACAGAGAAAAGGTTTTGCGTCTTAATCATGGGGAATGTAATACTCAACTCTAGATTAACTCTGCTTCCAAAGCGCATAGATTGTATCAATTTACAAGAAAGACCATCTAAATGGCCCAACTGTTGAATTCGAGTATCTGACTATAACTGAATCGATTCAAGACTTGCATTCATTATTTGAACATATAACTTCAATCGAGCCAGAATGAATAAGCATCAAGAGCATATCGCAATCACTGGTTGTATACTATTATTTGGGTCAAGAAAAACCTTTGGCAGATATCCCAAATAAGAAAATAACAAATATGTATGCCATTCAGAAATTCAGCTTTGCTTCGCATTCCTGAAGGCATCAGCAAGTGATATTAAATAATTCATTTCACATCAACTTTAAAATACCTATCTACATTTTGATTGAATAAACCTCATTCATCAAATTTTCTCATAAAACTGATTTATTATTTCACTGCATTCAAATAAATAGAGCTGTGATTGAGACAATCAGTCTTCATAGTTAAAAAACGCAACATGCGTTCGCTTAAACTGCATAAAATATGTTATCGCCCTGAGATCTAAATGCTAATGCATTTATATTTACATTGAAAGTTGCAAGTTTGATATCAGATCCGAGTATAGCAGCATTCGTTAGATTAGATAATATGAAGCCTTTCACACAAGCCATCTTCTGCATATAAAATTTGGATCAAATCACAAACAAGAGTTTATATGTCATTTTGCTGCAACATTATTATAGCAGACAATTCAACCAATCTACTTGAAATAAATCAATACAAACGAGAATACGTTAATAACTCTCTTATAATAGCGACACCACCTGCTACCTAGGAAGAAGCGCTGGATATACTGCATATTCGGTTACTAATCCTTTAAAAGACAGGCAAGTCTAGCCGTTTCGCTAAAGATACTACCTACTTGTAGCAAATAGAGCAAGTCTAAAGATATGTAAAGTGGTACTTACATCCTCTAAAATCCCAATCAAATGTTATAGAAGTTAAGTTTTGTTTGATGGTCTACATTAATTCATTACTTTCACAACAACCGTCTTCATCGGTCGGTACATAAAACTTTTCGGACTCCGATTTTGGAGTTTTTGGTCAATTTAAACCCCGCCTTTGCCCTTTAAACGATGGTGCAATTGAAATTTGCGTAGGTAGCATGGTTGTTGAGAAAAGGGAGATTTTAGAAAATAGTTAATTTTGAATAGATGCTGCTAGTAAAAGTTTTTAAGTTACTATATGAATGTGGTATGTACGTGTGATGAAAGCTGTAGAAGAAATTTTTTTTGACTAGGGTATGTTTGATGTGGGGTTATGGAAGGTAATACGAATGAGTAATGATGGAAAATGTTCCAAATGACCGATTTTCAAAGGGCCATATCTCTGAATTTTACTAAGTGATCGAGAGCTTCAAACTTAATAGCTTCTGTTTCTTTGTCAATTCTCTATACGATGGTATGGTTATTTTAGATAAATAAATAAAACAGTTGAATATCCCCTGCTTGTAGCTCATAAAATATATGATTTTGAGCAAATTTATGAAGGGAACGTACACCTGGCACTTGAAACACTTATATTATAATGGATATAACGTAGAGCTATCGAATGGTCTTTGTTTTGTGCGAATCCAGTGAGTATTTGTCGAGATATGGTCAAAAAAAGGGTATCCTGCAAAATCAATGATTTTTCTTCAAAATCTACGTGATACAAGCAAAAAATCTGGTCACGATTTTTTGGTCAGGACAAGATTGTCAATATTTCATGATAGAGTCATGCCAGAGCTTCAAGCAAAGGCTCATTTGATAGGTCTACAATGTCTAGTAATGCCTAACAATATGTTTTAATGACAAATACTGATTAATCTTTAGAAAACAGTGAAAAAGTGGCAAAAGTTAACTTATCAAATATCAGCTGAACAATGTACAGCAAATACTTGATATGAATACCATTGTATTCTTCTTTGAATTCTCTACAAGTTTCATATAAGTTTGAAGGGGTGTTTACTATCAAGAAACGCGTAATTTTAAGGTCGATAGATTTAGGAATCCTACGGATCCTCATCAGAACAATATAAATTGAAGCTCCGTTTAGCCTTCGCATGTGTACGCCACACAAGGATGAATTTGACCGAGCATTTTAAAAATCGGAGTGTACGAAAAGGGCCATATTAACTTGCTGGTTTTAAGTTATTGTAATGAAATAGCCACCCAAACGTAACTGTGGAATACATCCACTATGATCTGCATTCCGACAGTTTATCCAGTTACTAGATTTAGATATAAACTGTATGTACGCTGGATTAGATGTACGACATCGATTTATACTATAAGAAGATATGGACTTCAGATACGCTAGTACTATAAGATTCATACTATACAAGATATAGGCTATAGATGGCACCACGGACATGGATGGCACTATAGACTTATACAGTGCGCGAAAAAAACGTTCCAGTGTTTTGCCAAATTGCACTTATAGCCAGTTTCCTCTGCAAATATCAAAGCTACTAGGGTTTGCTTAGTTTCATAAATACCCTAAGTAGTTGGCTATCAGATGATATATTATGCACTTTATTCACGTAATTAGAAAAAGAATGGTAGCGTCATGAAAAGTGAAAAGTCGAATTTATTAAATTTTATAAAAAAGCTCAATATTTAGTTGGACCACCTTTACTCTTGATAACCGCTTTGATTCGGCGTGGCATGCTGCCTATGTATTTAAGACAGTCTTCTTTTATGAATTTATACCATTCCTGTTCAATTTTGCCTTCTAGCTCAGAAAGGCTGTTGGCCCTAGTAGGGTACTTGTTCAAACGACGTTTTAGTTGATGCCAGACATGTTCAATGAGGTTTAGGTCAGGGCTTTGGGGGGGGCCAATCAAGGACACTTTGCACAGAGAATCCGTGATGCGTGAACCATTTCTTAATGGGACCAGAAGTATGTGGTCTTGCGTTATCTTGCTGGAATCTAAACGTTTTCTTGTCCAGCCCATAGTACTCGATAGTGTCTAGCAAAGATGAGTCCAGAATTTCAGCATAAACTTCTGAGTTAACACTTCCTTCGGTAATGGTGGAACCATAGCTGGGTTCCTCCGCTGTTATCATGCCCCAGAAAACAACGCCACCACCATCTCCCTGAACTTGAGCCTCAGTTTGATGAGGCATCAACTCAGTGGGCCTGTCAGTCCAGTAGAAAGATTCGCTGTCAGATCCCCACATGTTGACCCTGCTTTCATCGGAAAATCCCCATTTACGCCAATCGTCCGCAGTCAAATGTCGATGTCTCTTGGCCCACACAAAACGCTTTTTCCGGTTCTCCGCAGACACGAAATTGGTCTTTATCTTTCTTTTAGCCTTGAACCCTTTGCGCTTGAGTATATACTGTATATTCCTCAAAATCATCTGAACTACCATATGAGCAAGGTAGCACTGCACACCCCTGGGGCCGTCTAAATTACCATTGCGGAGATTCCTCTCAATGCAGTTCATATTCTGCGTAGTGATTTTGCTGCGTCTTCCGGGTTTGGCATGTTTTGAATGACCAAAAAACTTCTTCCTGTGGCGAGAAAGTACACTGACGGACAAATCTGGGAAGATTTTTTGAATGGCACGGAGGGAACAACCTTGGTTGAAAAGAGCCTTGACAGATCCTTGAACCTCCTGAGGAATGGGACGTGTCATGTTAAAAAAAGTGATGAAGTAAAGATGGTAAAATATAATGAGGGGAAAAACCAAAATCTCACGCTTCTTTATACTTTTTTAAGCATTCTTCGGATAACTAACATTTTAAACATAAATGATATAAAAAATTACGGCTCTCGGGTTATTTTCGTGGAATGTATACAAACAATAAGGTCATCAAGCGATATTTCCAATTTTACAAAATCGAAATTTTTTACTTTACGTCAGTTGCACTAGCTCAATATCTACTGTATCAATTATTTTAGTAGCTCATTTTGTGGCTAAAAACCCAAGCTTTTGTAGTCTTACTTTAGTTATAAAACTGGAGAAAATTTGACAGAGCTGTAAGTGTAAAACTACGAATTGGCAAAACACTGGAACGTTTTTTTCGCGCACTGTACTTGTATTCCGACATTGACTACGGATGTTTACCATATCTGGATAGGCACCAAAATTAATGCAATATGAGCTTGTTGCTTCAGATGTGCACTTCATGATCCACGCTATAAGACACATGCTTATATCCGTGATACTAGCTACAGATACTTTATGTACTACAGACTTGTACTATATATGAGACATGCTATAGACATGCATATGATATGCTATAGACATGCCATATATCCAGATACATGCTAAAGATGTATGCTTAGCGATATACACTCAGATATGTACTATTAATATAGACTAAGTAGACTGTACCTATCGGATACATGCTACTAGATCGATATTAATTATCCTTATAGAAAGGATAGATCAGGGTACTTCGGATGAGAGTCTAATTATTCATCCAGACAGAGCTAAATCATGATTAGCTTGCTGGAGTTGTCTTTTAGCATGATTAGACATTAGTTGATCTGAGTTGACTTATTTGTCAATCTAATTAATAGAACTTTTATCCATTGTTATAGTATATAAGAAGGATCATCTACCTGGCCAGTAGAGAGACTTCAGTTTACTTTACACCTGTCAGTTTGATAATAAAATATACCTTTATCAAGTTGACATTACTGTTTTTTTATTCTTTTTTTTCCGTGAATTTTAGTCTGTAAAGCCTCAAATTCCACAAACATATCACCGTCAGAGTCAGAGGATTCAGGTTCCAAATCTTCATTGATATCATCTTCAGGTTCCTCAGTTTCTACATCACTATCATTTTCAGAGGAAGTATATCCATCATCGGATGCCAGACCGTTATTAGAATCTCTAACCACTGGCAAGATGATGTTGTTTTGAGTGTTTCCTTCAATAGCATACTTCATGTTGGTTGAAGTGACGTGTCTGTTTTGAAGAGTCTTCGTGTAGGTAAAGGGGCATTTGGCTTTCACCGCTTTATACTCTACTCTATTGACCTTTTCCTCGAGATTTAATTTGGCTTTAGCACGTTTCATCCAATTATTACCGATGATCAGATTCGCAGGACACACAGGTAAAACTGCGATGGATCCAGGAATAGTGATGCTTCCACCCAAGTTCAAAGGTACATCGTATACAATACCTAAGGAAGCCTGCTTGGTACCATTCCCTAGAGTGAAGACAGATGTAGAAGGTGCATCTATTACGAGCTGTAAATTGTCGGCTATATCCTTAGACATACATGTCTTTGCAGATCCAGTATCCAACATGCTTCGTACACGCATATTCTTGACATAGAAATCTGTATATATCGCAGTGGTATCAACATCGTCGTCCTCGAAATAGTTTAAGGTAATGTTGCTATCGTTCTTGGAGATAGAAGAAGCTTTAATAGCTTTGAACAGTGCACGCTTAACACCAGGAGCGACCGTCAATAAGTCCTTCACGTTGATATCAGCTTTTCTTTCCAATATCTAATTGACATTATAGGATATCTTAGAGGACAAAGGTATGGCATTTCGAGTAGGGGCTTTCGAAACCTTTGGTAGAGAGGATTGATTCAAGGTGGGAGCAAAGGGTTGGACCAACAAGTCAGGCTGTGAAATGGATGGTTTGATGTTCATAGGTTGATGTGTCTCCATGTCCGTTGGAGAAGGTGGGATGGTGATTTGTTTTTTTTGATTTTTGTGTGGGCTTTGATATTTTTTTCTTTTTGTCTATAGAGTATGGTTGAGTCCTTGAAACTTCAGGTGGTTTGGATAATCTAGTAGCCGCGTGAAGATCTAAGGCTTCCATGGAGTGCAAAGTTGGATTGATGGAATTTTGTTTATGATAAGGCAATTGACCATCTTGATGTTGTTGATCAACAATTGCCTGATTTAGTTCTTTTGACTTGGCCATTACATTTTTTTCTAGTATTAATGTGGTCATCAAAATCATTGTAATTGGGATGAGGGTCATGGTGATTTTTGGGTCTATAACGATGATATTCATGATTGTTGTATGATTTGTTGTAATAACTATTACCATTATATTTGCCGTTGTAGTGTCCATTGGTTTGGATACTATTGTTGTGAGCAGGATTGACTTCCCCACCTCCGAAATTGTCATTGTTATATGTATGATCCCTTTGGTTACGAGAATCACCATAGTTATTACCATAAGATTGACCATCTTGGTTGTAAGAATTACTATTGTAATTACGAGGGGGAGCTTGTTGGTTGTACCCGCCACGACGTTGATTACCGTAAGAAGGACCATCGTAGCGTTGATTTCCTTCAGGGGTGTAGCTGTGATTGTTGTTAGCATGTTGAACTGCTCTCTGAAACTTAGCACGAGGGTAGTAGCTAGCATAATGATCAGGATATTTGTCGTCCAAACGATTTTCTTTACTATAACCAAGTGCATAGGTGTCAAGAACGTGATTTCAACAGAGGATTTATTTAACAAAACGATTATCTTGAAGTAAGTGAGAATAAGATATACAAGATAATCTACCACTGGAAAGGATGGAGGGGAAAGGGACGTGATATTTATACTTGATAAGAGATGCGGACATAAGTGCTGAGACATGGATATAGCATGGATAAACGTAATGATTCGTAATCTGAAACATGAGTCATAATTACATAACTATGACATTGGCTTAATACTTGACGTTGATAGGTACTTGACATGATAACGTTGCATAAAGCTTGGCATGACATAATGATTACTAATGATGACTAATTGATTACTAATGGTTATCAATTAGTACTCCTAAATCCTGAACACCGAGATGACATAAGCATAACGTAGTCATAACACTTGGACTGCACGGTTCTAGATCCAGGTACCAGATCGAAGCTTGGTTCATGACAATAGGTATCGGTCGAATGATATCCATCAGAGTTTCTATGGTTATTTCTATATGGTTTACGGGTCATAACCTTCTCATCATTTGCCTCTTGGATGATATTCTTGAGGAAGGATTTGAACTCTTTGTCGGTTATCAACGACTTGACCGCCCTGTCTCGTATAGTGTTTCTTTCAAACTGACCTTCTTTGTCGGTACTGGGTATCAACGAATGTAACTCCAATGCTTCCATTCTTGAAGTTATATTAGCAATAGTTGGAGACACTGAATTCGCATACGCCTCAGCAGCCGAGGTGGGGATAGGATTGATACAAACGCTTTTCGAGGATAGCGCCTTCTCGTTGTTTACCTTATTCAAAGCCAATTTTTTACCGTTATCACCATTGAAAAAACCAGAAGCACGATCAACCGAAAATGGATTGTCAACAAAATGGATTGCTTTCACTGAATGTGCATTCCACCATGCATTTGAGTGTTTCACCCAGTCTTGAAAATTGATAGCGGACATTTCTTTGCAGAAGATTTTGATTTCCTTACATAAACCAGCACGATATCTTGCAGAAATGAACTTCTCATCATGTATGTTAGCTAAGTCGGCAGCTTTATACAAACGAGACAGAAATTCACTGGGGGATTCCTTGGGAGACTGGCACATCTCGTCGAAGGTACTTTGATAGCACTCGATGATGGATTCGGACACAAAACGTTCTTGTAAAATAGTAGTAGCATCAGTGAACGAAATCTTGTTCAATGCGAGATTCCTTTCCTTCAAAGTATTGTCAAAGAAGATAGCGGCAACACGACGAAGTTGAGCTCGCATGATGGCGACCTTGCGAGGGTCTTGAGTAATACCTTTCAAAGCAAAGAAAGACTCCATAAGTTGCAGAAAGTGACGAAAGTCTTCACCTTCGAAACCATAGAATTCGATAATTTTAGGCCTACCAGCGTTAGTCCAGCGGTGAGAGTCAAATGGCGCCGATGATGCCAACACAGTAGATTCAGAAGTAGCAGAGGGTACAGTAGATAGAGTAGCCATAATAAAGATAGAAGGGAGTTGATACAGGAGTGAATATGAAGGTTACCCTGTTAATGAGCACCACTTGTTACAAAGTGGTTCAATGTAGTGTGAATAGTAAGAGTGATAATAGAGTAAGTATATAGATAAATAGCCAAAGCAGATTTGTCTATAGAAATGAGCACCAGGTTTATAGTTGTCCAGCTAGTAAAGGACATAAAAGCAAAGAAAGAGATGTGTAAATAAAGTGATAATAGTAGATAAAGTACAATGAATCAATGCGTTAATGTATACAAAGGATTCAAGGGATATTATATTTGATAAGTTCAATGAAATAACAAAGTTAAGGAGCTATAGAGCTATATAGATATAATTTTCAAGTAGGAATAAGATAATCTTTTATTGTTTGATATCATTTGAGTATTTATATCGATTCTATGAATTATGTGTCCTGAATTCTGTTTCTATATGCTATAATTTGTAATGAAGGGCTGACCCTTCTATAATTGATTTTGATACCCTTAATAATCCTAAAAGCTTGAACAGTTTTTATAGCTGGAAAGCTATATTTGTTGTTGAAAGATGGTGAATGATGATATTGATAATGTTACTACTAGAGGATGAAAGGATGGGTAATGTGGGGTTGCTTCCCATTTGTGTGCTTCCATTAGGAAAGAGATATGTTTAAGAGTTTGAATATATATCTGTCAAAATGATACGAGGCTGAATAGTAACTGATTTGTCATTCTTGAGATAGGATTCAGAGTATATTCGAATATAAAAGGCATTTAAGAGTTTAATAATGTCAATTTGTAGTAACAGAAGTAGAATCCAATATAGTAAGTAGTGAAACGTAGTTTATACGATAGTGTAGGCAATTTACAACAAAAAAAAGAGAGATTCAGTTACAAAACAAAAATCGATTTGTAACAGTAACAATATCTTTATTCACGACAACATAAAAAAAGCTGGTAATTACTACGCGCACCACAGAATTATGCAGAATTAAAATGCGCGGTCGGGGAATCGAACCCCGGCCCTTCGCGTGGCAGGCGAAGATTATACCACTTAACCAACCGCGCTGAGTGATACTGTCAGATGCTAATACGTAGAAGTAGTATATGTAATCTGAGATCTGATCGAAATATAAATGGAAGTAGATATAGAGAGTGTGCAGGAAGATGTTATAGCCCTTTAGTTGAATGGATAAAAAGGTTCTTTATTAATATTAGATTTGAACATTGATTTTATCCAATATAGTTTGTGTAATGTTGTGCGCTATCCAGGTTGCAGTGAAATCGGGTTTGATGGATTTCACAAAAAAAAATAAAGCAAATAGTAAAATACAATAGAAATCAACTGTATTTTATTTGTATATAAAATGAACTGAAGATCCTGGAATTGAGTAAAAAAAAGAAGAGTATTTATACATTTGCAACTAGCTTGTAGGATTAGTGATGATAGAGAGCAATAGGTTCTGCTATTGCGATATCTGGCAAATGTTGTTGATGTTTGATTTAAAGTGGTAATCAATGCAAGAGCACTGGCCATATGGATCGATTTGAGTAGCATTGATGGGCTTGGATGAGCTATGGCCATAGCATGATTTAATGCATCCTTGACAGTTTAAAGTACAATGTTTGTTATTCAAGTGTGAGTGTCTTTATTTGAAGTACTGTGCAGCTATGGCAGCAGGGCATAGTTGCCATATTTAAATATGCTTATTAGTGACTTGATTTTATTTAGATAAAGATAGCATTATTTATTACAGCCATCAAGAGTGTGATTGAATACACTGTGATATACAGTGATTCATTCACACAAAGTGCGAGACCAGGGTACATCCTTACTTTAGCATATATAAACAGTTGTCTATGTATATTTGAACGCTTTATTAATAAATCCAAATAGCATGAATTTGAATGGGTGATATTTGATGAATTCCGGCTTTCAATGAGATTGCTTTTAGGTGGCTATTTCATCACACTACGGATGGCTCTCTACCTTCACTCCATTTTGGTAAGAGCCAACCTAAGCGGCGGCAGCTCGCACTACCATTGCACTTGCTCATGTTATCAAAATACTGCTACTTTCATTTTCACCCTCCACTTACACATGAGAATCCCTCATATTATCAGGAAATTCTGACTCTTATGTGGTGTTACACATCCATATATATGTAGCTACTTCATATACGGGCAAGCAGCATACTGGTATTTCTCCTTTTTAGTTCTTAGTATCCCTAATACAGCAAACTGTGAGTGCATTTGAGCTGCGTTTTCTCGCGCTCAAGGCCGTTTTAGATTGTCAGAATAGCCCCAAACGGCTACTCTCATCGGGCAGTTACTTTCTGACACTATTGCTCAACTTTTTGGGTGTTAAGCACAAAGAATAAAAGGATTATTATTTGTAGCTTATAAAAAATGTTCGATATTATAAAAACAAGAAAAGACTTATTTGAATAAGATCAGACACAAAAACTGAAGATTTATTGATGAAGACAAGAGTTATTCTATTTATACTAAGTTCTGAATGCCAAAGTAGCAATTTATCTTGTACAACGCTTATCACATCTGGTGAACCTCAGTATTTAGATAGCTGAGATGCACTTCAATTATCATAGCTTGTCCATGTTGTTGCACAACATAGACATATCTTCCCATCAAGAATACCTTAATCTTTATAGACAGTTGTAGCCCTTCTGGCACAACATTGGGGATCAAAAAAACATGAACAAAATTCGACCAAAAAGCATGAGGTGCCCCTCATGGTTTTCATCGAAAATTGAACGATCGCGTTTTTCACCTTGATAATGAAGACTTTTACTATGATATACCTTGAATCAAAATGTTTCTATCGATCTAACGTAGCCTAGCCTCTGAAATCATCTTTGTAGGACCTTGCTATGTAAAATTTCGACTTTTTGGCCAGAAACCTGTTTTCATATTTTCAGAAATTGCTCAATAAGTTTATTCAAAACATCTACCTTACTTGGTACCATTGGATGCGCCTTGAAAAACACTCCAAGAAAGCTTAAAGAAGCATTTTTTTTTGTAGGGGAGTCGAGCTCCAGGTTTTATTTAAAGTCCTTTAAATGTCATACTGAGGGAAAGAAAAGACTGTTGGTGGACCCAATGTCTGCAATGAAGGGGAATAAGATATTTTTGAACTAAGTTGGGAAAGAAGCGCTTAAAGAAGCATGGGTTGAATATCATATTTTTATAGTCGAATCTGGAAAAATATTTCAATCAAGTCGAAATATTTTGAAGTTTATCCAATCTAAAGCAGATTTTGTGTCTGAGTTGGAATTGATTTTGGCTAGTAGGGCAGGCTGGCAAACTTATGCACTTATAATCATAAACGCAATAATAGATGCTTTTGAAGCCAATAGAAAGTAGGCGGTGAATTTCATAGTACTACCTTTAGACACACTGTTTTCTCGTGTGGCCTCGCATCTAATAATGCCAGTCTACTGAAATACTTGCAAGATCAACTTCTTTCCTTTTTGAGGTTTCGACAGTGTGTAGGGGATAAATTTATGACTACTAACTGGCATGATAACGTTTTATTTTTCACAATAAATGAGCTCTTGTTAATTAATTAATTATACTAGACAATCACACAATTTACAGCTGCATTGCTTAGTCCTGCTTCTTCAATAGTCTGATCAAGCACGTCAATCAATTGAGTACGATTAAAAACCAACTAAAGGACAATAATGCATTAGATTTGGATCGGCTAGACGAAAACTAAATGTAATACCTCAAATTGCTGATTGCTGGCATCAGGCACTTCCGCCTTGACGAATTCAAATATATGTTGAACAGGGTCTGTCTTTAAGAAGCGTCTAATTATCCTGCTGCCATCGCCCATTCTCAATTGGATTCTTGTTGAATTGGCCACATCAGTTGTTTCGTCCCTCTTTACTGCTTTAATACCGTCGAACGCTGAACCTGCTTTTAATTCCTCTTCGCTGTCGTTTTTCTTCTCACCGTCATCCTCAATATCAACTACCATTCTTTCTACTGACTTTCCTTTATCCTTTGCTGATTGCTTTGGTTCAATGTCCATTTCTGATACATTTGGAGAAGCTGATGTTGCATCGTCGCTTGGTCCATCTAAAGAAGCTGCAATTGCTGCATTCAATTGTTCCTCCTCACTCATATCCGAGATATTCTAATGATGATCAAAAATGTTAAATCATGCCTAGCCAAGTATATCAATCTCCCAAATACCTTTGCCTTTTTGGGACGCTTGGGAACAGCTGCTGCTGAGCTATCTGGTGAGTTTTGTTCCATAAATTCAGTGACATCCATCATAAAATCAGTTGGTGATAAAGCCTTTTCCCAGACTTTAATGCGTTCTCCAGTTCGTGCGTCAACGATCGCTAAATGGGGGTATGCATTAACACTGTAAAGATTGTTATAACGTGCTCCTTCAGGGCTGCCGTTGTTGTACTATTTTGTTAATGAGAGCATTAGAAGTGGTAAAATACTGGAGATAAATAGCTAATGAAATACCTGAAGAAAGATAAATGATTCTTTCACAATATCTTTAACAATGGTATCGCTCCATAAATCTCGATTCAAGACTTGGCATGAAAATTCTGTGGGATCTTGTACGTTAATCATCAGCCATCTGTTCTTTTCTTTCGCAGCTTCTCTGGCCTGTATTTAGCAGACGTTAATACATAGTAGTAAACATTTACAACGCTCAAATCAATGAACCTCTTCAAAAGTACCACGGAACATTATATCAAATGGAGGTCTGAAGAGATCAGCTAATCTTCTGGCTTTGGCACTTGCAGGACTACCAAGAGATTCTGAGGGAGATCCTGAGGAGGATCTGTTTGGCACTAGATATTCGGGTTAGACATAATTCCAATCATACTAACCCTTGGTTTACCATCAGATTGTAGTCTGCTCAAAAAATCAGTGACAGATCCAGTAGCTGAGTCACCTTGATTGAATACTGAAGGGCGGCTCACACCAGCTTTGGAGAAAATAAGAAGTAATCCTTGTTAAGTTGGATATAGCAATGCAACCTACCATTATCTCGTCGAGACCACATGGGAGAAGAATATAAGTCACTGGTACTTCCACCAGCCAAGATGTCGGTTTTGGGTGCGATGGGCGCTCTGACTTCATGTTCTTGCTCTTGCATTTGTCTTGCAATCTCTTCGTCTGTCATAAAGTTGCCATTGTCTGAATGTATAGATGCTGCTCTCGACGATGAGCTAGTTTCAGTGGGCACTGGTTGGTGTGCTCCACCACCGCCGCCTCCACTTTCCAAATACAAGTCAATTGCTTGGCTAACATTGTTGTCTGCTATCTATAGGAGAATAGTGAGATCAGTACGCGTGTCAATGTATATGACAATAATGACCATTACTTCCAAGAAGTTTCTCGCTTCTGAAGGTGTAGCTCCTGTAATTTCACAAAAGTTCAAGATATCTTGTTCACTCATAATAGATTTGTTCGAGTTTGAGGAAGAAGAAGGATTAATCACTATCTTTATGCCTCTAGTTGTAGTTTTTGCATGTAAAGAATACGTCAGTTCAGGGACAGTCACCGAGAATCAATTCAATGGCCTTGAATCCAGGGAACATTCAGTAAACCAAATACAAATCAATCGATGTATTCCATTTTTCGGTGGAAATCAAGCTTCATTCAACCTCAGGACTCTATACAAACGCTGTACTAGTTTTTTTTTTGTCGATTAAACCATTCGTGAATCAAGGCTTTATAAAGACTTTTGCATCTGCATGTTTTTGAACATCAAATCATCAAAGAGAGCGAACTCTTGTTGTAGATCCAGTTTCAGTTACAAATACTGTCATAGACTTGAATAATTCCGTTATGAGAGCAAACAACATGCGCATTTGAGTGGCAAGCACGGAACCTATGGCACAAGAATGATAAATGGACTCTTGATGTACAATTTCACCATTGTTGAAAGCATGTACTTTCAAATGCCAGACATATGTTGGCTTTATGCTACCATCTTTTTTAGAGCTGGTTGTTATGCAAAAAAATGTGATCTTATATGCAGTGATTGCATGCAATGTTCTGATCAACGGATAGACTACCACGTTTGATAGCTGGTAGAGTATCATGTGAAGCATCTAAAGCAGATCTTGATTCAGTAGCTGACCCTTGTGATCTTCAGCGAGGACTTATGGGGTTGGCATCAAGTTATCATTAAAGAGCACTCGAGTGAGAGCATTCATCCGGCTTGAACTGATTTTAAATGAAATGAGCTACCAAAGAGTTCCTTCATTCAACCACGTTAAATTACATCATAATCGCACTGATCGAGGAACCACACTTATTTGTGCAGACTGTCTGTAACAACTCACATGATGCGTCAAATGAATAAGCAAGGGGTAGCTCCTTTCAATTAGTACCTTGACAGATACAATACATGCTGCTCTGGTTGATATTATGTCGACTGTCCAGATTGCTATATCCAGGTGTAACGCATTTTTAGCGTAATGAGTTTCAATGATATTTTCGCGACCAAGTGCATTTTGCGGACGGGAGCATTAATGAAGCTACATTAGCTTTCATGTGAAAACTGATGTGGCTCTCAAATTATTTACGATACCAACCGATCATGATGAAAGCGAGCTTTTTCTTTTGACATTTTGGATACTACCAACAACAACTATCGATCAAGCACCTTTAATCTAATGTGTTGATCTTTAAGCTGTCGTTCAATTCATAGATTCAAGAGATAAACACTTTTACTTAACCACTGTACGCAAGAAAAAAAAAATATAGTGCTTTTACGAATATCCCATCTTTCTACACTGAGGTTACACTGGAAGAAAGAACACTCACCTGAATAAACAGAAGGACCATCATCCAAGGCTATCGTCACCATCTAAAGACATCTCATTTGAAACCCACAGAAACTAAGAAAAAACGTGTGCAATCGTGTTTCGGATGTGTGAAATTAAGAGACATATGATGATTTTTTTTTTTTTTTTTGAAAACAATGCGTAAAATTTATTTAATTTTGTACGTTAATGAATATATGAGATGTTATGTATAGTAATAAATGGACAGGGAGGGAAGCGAAGCAACTTATTGACGAGAGAGGATGATTTCACCGAATTCGGGCTTAAGAGAAGCACCACCAACCTATAACAGATTATCAACACACATGTCATAACCCCAACAAACAGATATCAACTTACCAAGAAACCATCAATATCGGGCTTACCAGCAAGAGTCTTACAGTTACCACCGTTGACGGAACCACCATAAAGGATACGGGTCTCATCAGCAGCCTTTTGAGAAACGTTCTCAGCCAACCATTGACGGAGGAAAGCGTGGACATCTTGAGCTTGCTCGGGAGTAGCAACCTTACCGGTACCAATAGCCCAAACGGGTTCATAGGCAACGACAACATTGGTCCAGTCCTTGACAGAGGCAGCAATAGCCTTCATTTGACGAGCGACAACATCGTTGGTGATGTTGGCCTCACGTTCCTCGAGCTTCTCACCAATACAGGCAATGACAGAGACACCAGCATCGAGAGCGAAAGCGGTCTTCTCACCAACGAGCTCATCAGACTCGTGGAAGTACTCACGACGCTCAGAGTGACCGAGAACAACCCAATCAACACCCATATCCTTGAGCATTTGAGGAGAAATCTCACCAGTGTAAGCACCAGAGGCCTTGATGTAGGTGTTTTGAGCAGCAACCTTGATTTCCTTCTTCAAACCTTGGTTGACACGGTCAACGTAAAGGGCAGGAGGAGCAACAACAACCTCTGCAAGCAAACAGTGAATAACTTTGCCCAGATGCTTAGGATGGCCATTTTAAATGCAACTTACCAGTGTTGGCAGGAACCTCGAAACCATTGAGCATCTCGACGAGCTCCTTGGCTTGCTTAACGGAGCCGTTCATCTTCCAGTTACCACCAATGAAAAAGTTGCGAACCATGTTGAATATATAAAGTTGTTTTTATGAGAAATAAGTAAAGAAGAAGAAGAAGAAGAAGAAGAAGAAGTAAGATGAGATGCTATATCGCGTTTGATATATACTATGCAAGTTAAGAGTCACTTTAACCCGGGGTTTTATTCATGATCTATGGTTTGAAACGCCATTCAAATTAGTATGAAACGAAACATCAGTTCATTCTCTAGAGCCGTTTATAGAGCGAGAGCGAGAGCAGTAGTAGTCTTATTATCGCAACAGATCTAAGAAGGATGGTTTGAGTGACATTACGTTTTCTCAATGAACGACCCCCCCCCTTGTATGAATAACGTGCATTGTAGCACAATCTTGTAGTTGTAGATAACCTGAAATCTTTCATTTGATCATTCGAAGCACAGACAAGTTTCTCGTTTATTGTTTAGTAGGAACGAAAGATTAGATCAATCACCCGCGCCTATCAAGATCCTGGACGCTATGGCTTAAGGCTTTATTGAATGCAAAAAAAAAGGGGAATACATTGATAGAGATAATATAGATGGATCATTCTGTCTATGTAACATTGCTCTTGTTGCGAGACACCATGCTCCGCAAAATTGCTCGTTTTATTTCAATATGTCAATGAACGTCTAGAAAGCCTATATACAGCAATAGCTTTCCTTTGCAAACTGCTGTTGGAGAGTGAATTGGCTAAACATGCTCTCTTAAACAACATTTCTTGCAAAGAGACATATGCGGATAAAGTGTATTGGAGTTCTAATTGTTGATCAAGTGGTTCGAGTGATAAGATCAGATTGTGATCAATGGACCCCATTTTATTCCGTTCCCTAGATTTCAGTCAAAGGGGGTGAAGCTCATTTCATTGATAGCAAATTATGTACTCAATTGTGTTCATTGCCAGCAGTCCAAGTCAAAATCTTAATACAAGACATATGGGCAATTGCCAGACAAGCCAATCTTGCTTGAGGCTCAGCGATGTTGAAAAAAAGAAAAGGAGTCTTTGTACCTTTTCATACAAGCTTTTTCTTTTCATTTCAATACAATATGAAAGCTTCTATACAGCAACTACCAGCCGAGGTCATAATCAACATATTTGACCAGATCAACGATACAAAGCAGCTGAATCAATGCCGATTAGTTTCCAAATCATGGACGTCTTTGGCTGAAAAGAGCATGTACAAGACACTGCACTTGTATCTGTGGAACGACTCTCGTTTAGAAAGACTCAATCATCATCTGAAGCAAAAACCAGAGCGCTATCAGCTAATACAGAGCATCCGTATCACAGATCCATACTTCAATGCCTTCAGTGAGAGGCTGTTTCGTGAGTTCTTACATCTAGCGATGACACCAAGTATACGAATTCTTGATGGCGTATGGAAGCAAGAATACATAACAGCGCTTCTCGAGTGCATTGAAAATTCATCACTCAAATTCGAAAAGTTAAAGCAGCTGCCTTACTCGGTGCACCATGACAGCATCTACATGCATTTGATGGGCCATTTTAGAAATAGCCTACAAACAGCATCTTGCAATATCACAGGCAAGACAAGTCCAATTCATCAAAGAATTATCCGCGACTCAATCAAAGAATTCAAACATCTGACCACACTAAGCATACAAGACTACCAAGGCTTTCAAAGTGTACAAGAAATGGATAACTTTTTACAGAAATGCGACCAAATCAAAAACCTGGAGTTCATCATCAACCAAAGCACAAACTACACTGACATGGACATGGATGCATTGAATCAGTGGTTGACCAGTGGCAGTGTTCAACAGGCTGATAGTGTGAAATACTTGAAGATTGCCTACATGAAAGGGCCTGATGGCAACAAATGTCGCAGCTTTGGCCCTGACTGGGTCAATTATCTAGCATTCAAATGTCCAAATGTCGACACATTAAGTATCAAAAACATCACTCTTAGATACAGTCATATGGCTCTTCCAGTATTTGAAAACGTAAAAGTATTCAACTTGGACGATTGGAAGTTTTATTGTGCTCAAGATTTGGACTATTTCATCGGTCGCGTAAAGAGTGATAGTAATTCAGTTACCATTCGGTACACAAAAAGCACAGGTGTCAATCTGTCTGAAATATGTTCTGTCAGCGCAACAAAAGACAGAAATAGCAGCATGACAAGATTTACAATAGATGTCAATCCTGAAACGCCTAGTAACACTGCTATCGTATTGTCCTGCTTCAAGAATCTGAATTACACCTGCAATATTTGAATAAATCTCGACTGAACCCACTTGTTTTGATCATTTGAACCACCATCATTTGAACGCCATGAGTACTCATTGGCGTAATGATTTTAGTGAAATGCTGTTTGTTAATCACTTTGATCTCTCGTGGGGGGGGGGGGGAGGGGTTTCGACCAATCATGAAAATCTGATCCCTCACAAAATTTTCAACAGTGGAAAAACGGACCAATTCATAACATTGTTCATCTGGGTCAAAACATATTCCTATCTGATGGGCAGTTGAATCAACTCCTGTGCATAAAACCATCAGCATCTATCCCTCCGCTGTGTCTTTTTCTTGCTCAAAGTTAAGCGCAGTACCTTTAATCAGGCGCAGAAGAAATCTCTTTAGTGAATCAATGCGTATTTCTAGAATTGTCTTTCCACGAGGCTTTTCCCCTCCTTTTGATGCGGCTGTCATTAGTCAACGTACTACATTCTTATATTGACTGCAGTGTTTGAGATGCAACAAGGTATCTGTAAGCTTCGATAGCAGTGCCACAAAGCAGCCCAACCCCCTTTTTCAAAGTAGTACAATGAAGCAATAGCATGCATCCATATAATTCCTCATTAATGTCAAATTTCATGCAACTCGTACAGGCCTAAACAAGTAAAAATCACAGTAACAATGAATGAACATGGAATAGCATCATCCAAACCTAAAATTTAGGGATTTAGTAGGGGTTAAGAGAAATAGGGAGCGATAATTCGCTCATGAATGCATCGTTTTGACGCCTTTTCTATATCTGTTTATCTATTTGCATTAAATGGTCTGATGTTTTGAATGTATGTTGGTCTTCGTGAGAAGATGGGAGTATAAATGGAAAGTATGATGCCCGGCTTCCAAAAACACACACACAAACAAATAGATAAGATACACACGCTACGATATAAATGGACATTTCCCGCTCTTTTTCTTCCTAATAGCACCAACAACTTATCTACTGGATAGACTATTAATCTATGGCAATTGCATGAAAAAAAAATCGTCATATTTCTTCATTGTATATGCTTTTTTTGTGTATTTTTAGTGTAGATTAGAGGGCTGTATGACAATATGATCACTTCTAAAACAATAAAAAGGAGATCGCCGTCGTTCCTTAAAGCAGGTACCATAACATTTTTGTATCGATTTCACACAAAACGCATGACATGAGATCATGGTGTGGTTATAGTTTTTCCCTATTAAAAGGCGTAATAGTCGTATTGGTACCTGATTTACTCAGTTTATCGAGCCTAAACCAACCCACCCTGTTTAGATAATACATTGCACTAATACAAATGAACACTAGTAGAGTAATTGTCTTGTAGTTGATTTATTGACATTTATTTCATCATACATTTAATACAGCTAACTAAAGAGTGATTGCGTGAGTGAGAGAAAGAGGAGGGGAGATGAGAGATAAAGAGATTTTTCGAGGGATATGTACACAAAAAGAGATGGTAATACTAATCACATTAGTATCTGGAGGCATGAGCTAGATCTTTCAAAGAATCGAAAAAGACCGTAGGAGAATGGCGGAATCTACCGAAGCCTTCCAACGCCTCAAATTCATCTTTTGTTAGATTATGAATTGAAGTAGTTGAAATAGAAGGCAGAGCATCATCTGTAGGATTACACAAATCAGCTACAGACAATCTTCTTGTTCTTTTCAATGGTGGAGTATGTATAACAGCATCTTCTTCTTCGTCCTCTTCCTCGGATGATGTGGAAGATGTGGATGAGAAAATCCGTCTTTTGGGAGATGAGGATGACAAAGAGACTGGGGAGATAAGGCCTGAGGAAGAAGGCTGTTGACCATGCGTTTGTATGTATAATTCAGTGTTGATGTAGCTATTATTGGCAGCACAACAAGATTTCTTTTTGGTATCTGTTTGTTGTTGTTGTTGTTGGTGTTGTTGGTGTTCACACGCAGCAGTAGCAGCAGTAGCAGTCGGTGTGCTCTTTTTTTGAGAAGGCTGTCTGGTCTGTGCTCTTGTATTTGAACGAGTATTATCTCCTGGTCCATCTTTGTGATGTCTGTCCTTGGGATGAGAATTGACAATGTTGTAATGGTTGTTGTTTCTGTGTGTCTGAGTATGTTGCATCATATTGTCAAATCTGCTGAAGGCCTTTTTGCATTCAGGCACAATGCATACAAAAGGTTTCTATATATCAGATCGAATCAATTAGTATTCTAACTAGCTTTTGCGTAGGATGTGAAGTTTACTTCTCCAGTGTGCTTCCTATCAAGAGAGATCAGTATACATTTTATGCATTGTATCTCAATTTTTTTTTATTACCTTGCATGGCGTGCCAGATGTTCACTGCGAGTGAAGATCATGTTGCAATCACCATAGCCTTTGCATTGAAATAGCTTGGGACGAGAGCTTCTAGTGCGCTTTTGTTGCATTTTAGATGTTGAAAAAAAGAATTGGGAAAAAGAGAAAGAGATGGATAAGAAATGGATACAAGTGAACAACGCCTTTTTATTCTGAAAAAGAAAAAGACTCCTTTTTTATCGTGATAGCAGGTTAGATTAGGCGAGCAAAAAAAAAAAAAAAAAAAAAAAAAAAAAAAGACTCCAGGCGTGGGTGTATTTAAAGGAGTAGAAAAAATGTCCAGGCACAAGCTATTATCCTGTTGTTCGCAAACTTATCGTCATTATGGCGCAAATCATTCCATATCGTCCATCAAAAAGTCATCTTGGTAGCGCCTGCGGAACAAAATTTCCGTTTCAGCATGTGTCCTCGTTTCATTCTTCTTCTCCTACATACCTTGATTTCTCTCCATTTTCATTCATGTCTGTATCATCGTCACCGTCATTGACATCCAAGCCCTCTTCTTCAGCGATAGGTGCGTTCATACTCTCGCTCTTGCAACAGAAAAATATCATTCGTTTTAATTTTCGGTTAAAGAAAAAATAGTTCATGGACCATCTTTGCTTTGTGTGTCAATAAATTGAAATCCAGTGGCATTTCATTGAATACTACTTACAAGTAGCCCTCTTCTTCGTTCATGGGATCATCGTCCACATCAGGATTGTATGTGTAAACGTCGCAATCGTTCAATTGTACAATCTCGTCCAGCACATCCCACAGTCTGTCGAATTTTCAAAGCGAATCAATCAACCCCGTGCCCATCACATCAAACACAACGAGCGGGCTTACCTGTATCTGTTCACTATCACATCGTTTCCCAAATTAAATAACGTTGTGTTGACAGAATTCATGACCATTTCGACTGACGGCAGCTTTAAGAATTGATCGGGTCGTACGTCTTCGAAATCATGTTCGGGGAATGCAGCGTTCAAGGTAGCCAGTAGGTAGAAGAATGTCTTGCGAGGTGCAGCTTCCGTCAATCGACCAAAAGGCGAGATGACTTGCAGATCATCAGGTGAAATAGAGCCAGGTGCGAGTAAGTCGGCATTGTATCTGTTTTCAAGTGTCTTGAATAGCTTCTTGTCGGTGCCAGCAGATTTACCTAGGATCATTCACATGAATAGTGTGCTTTTGCTGTATCATACAAGACGCACTTACAGGAGTAGGCTTCTACTCTTCCCGTCAGTATACATTCGGAAGTCTCCCATAAAAACGCTGTGTTTATTAGATCCAAAGAATCCACTTCGAGAAATTTCATGTTAAAATACTAAGTATTGTCGTAGCTAGAAAGTAAGAGGGAAAAGAGGGAAAAGAGGGAAAAGAGGAAAATAATGAATTGGAGAAAGGACCCATTTTCCTTGTGGGATGGCGCATGCTAATGATATCACTGGTCCAATCAATGGCTTTAGTGTCACTTGATCATGGAATTAATTTGCCGTTGCATTATTTTGAGTGAGATTGCTGAACGGTAGCTCAATCATGTAGGGCTACAAAACATTCTCCATGCGACAGCCTATTTGTTTGATGCATGCTGTATTCACCGTCTTTTTCTCTCTCTTTCTTCTCTTTGCTTTCACCCTTGAATATCCCAATGCTCAATCGTCTTCCATATGAAATCATATTACTCATCCTGATGAGATTGAATAATAGAAAAGATTTGTTTTCCATTTTAGGGTCATGTCGTTCATTGTATGGTTTAATTCAAGATGATGCATTTTGGCGAGATTTGGTGAGACGAAGATACGGCATCAAATACAACATCCAGCAGCAATCATGGTGGCAATTGTACATTTCAGGTGACGCAAGTCAAATGTGCTGTCATTTGCAAAACTACGATATGAGATCATTGCAGATCAAAAGAGACTTGTTGTGGAACTTGATCCAGAATTTGAATGGGGTTTGCTGTAGAAATGTTCAGTTTGACCAATATAGTCTGTGCATGGATTCTCGGTGTGAGTTCATTGGTTGTGGCGATGTTTTTTTCGAAAAGGATGAATCTTATTCTGGCCATCTGAGAGGGCATTACCAACAGACCCATCACAATATTGTATTGAAGCTGTCGCCATTGAACTACATGGAGCTCTGGTGCTACAGTTGCAATAGTCCAGTAAGTGCGTGTGCCCGGGTGGCTATTCTACTATACTCATCGCTCCCATGTTAGATTGGTTATTGGGGGTTTCCGCATATTAAAAAACCAATAGCCGAGAAAAACATGTGCCGCAACATCCTGCAGTTCATGACAGCTCTACCACCAGACCATAACCCCTCGCTAAAGCTGGACGTGATTGAAAGAAGACGGTTGATTGAACAGAGACTGTCTGTATTCCAACAAAACCATGACTTTACCTATTTGATTGAAAAACAATGGTTTACAAAATGGATAAATTTCCTGACGGGTATACACACACATGAGACATTGGGTTCATACATGCGGATTGCATATATTAATTAAATTTTTTGGCAGGCAAATCAAATGAAATGCCTGGTGCATTGGACAACTCCATCCTCTTTTTCTCGCATGAGAAGCAGAAGCTAAGGCATGATCTGATGATTGGATGCGACTATGAGCTTGTCGGTCGAAGTATACGTGCTTATATTGAAAGAGTGTATGGGCTTGAGAATGGATCCCACATTGTTTCAGGAGGTAATAATAATAATAATAAAAAAAAAAAAAAAAAAAAAAAAAGAGACACACAGGCTTCGAGTATAAAATTTTTATTCAACAAAATATAATAGATGACTATATAGGCCAACCATTATATCGCGGTATATCACAATCCGCCCTTCTTCACAGACGCTATTACTGACTGGGATCAAGCATGGTTTTCAATCATAATTTGCACAATTTGCAATCTGTTTTGATCATATAAACAGTCGTCTCTCTTCTGCCTTTTGTTTCTGCTATTATCATCTTTTTTGTGTTCGTGTTCGTCTTTCTCCTCTTTTACTTGTTTTTCTTGATTCTGTTCCTCATCCTCATCATCTTGCTGTTGCTGTCGATATGAAATAGGGCTCTTTTTGATAATTTTGACAATTGGATTTTTGGGTCGTGGAGGAGCCTTTTTGATCAAAACAACAGGATGACGAATCTCAAGTGGAGGAGATGCTCTTCTTTTGGCTGGTTTAATGTCGTCGTTGATGCCATAGCGAAGTGGCCATCTCTTGACAATTTTGACTACCGGCTGATGGGGTAAAACATCCTCCTCTGCCTCTTGTGGTCTTTCAATCTTGACATTAACCTTTTGAGCCAGCTTTTGAAGGTCGTTCTTGGATTGTTCTTTATTGATAGTTGGGGTCTTTTTCTGACTGACGGGAGTCTTCTTCTGAATGACGGGTTTTCTCATGGTAGCAGACGACTTGGCTTTTGAGCTGCTGGTAGACTTAGCAGTTAGCTCTGCTGGAGACGCTGATTTCTGCTTCTCCTTTTTCGCAGCGGGTTTGGATGGTGAAGGTGGTGTGGATGGTGATGCAGAGCGCACAGAGGAAGAGGATGATCTTGGAGGGGCTTTGGAGGTCGTGGAAGGCTTGAATCGAGAGACTAATTTCATCTGATTAGGCATCATCATTTGCTGCAGCAATTCCTCGCGCAGGGCAATCTCATCCATTTTGGGATCATATTGGCTTGTGGATTTGTATGTGGCGGTGGCGGTGGAAGTAGAAGTGGAAGTGGCAGCGTACTTGGCGGAAGGTGTGTATTTCGAGGCAGTCGATATTGAAGTAGATGTTGTTGTAGATTTAGAGCGGTAGATTGGGTGGATGCTTGAGGTGGGGTAATCCAAATTGATAGGCGACTCTGAAGAAGCTCCAGTATCGTCTGGCCTGGTTTGTGTTGGGTCTGTTACCATGAATCCTTCATACCACAGCCATCGATAAATCAGCATTGATATATAGACACCTTGTGTAATGGTTACCTTTTGACTTTTTCCCCTCTACAACATGCACTCTTTCTCGATACATGACCTCTTGATTCACTTTGTCTCTGATATATTTTCCGTATCTTTGCTCAAAAGAAGGCGTTTCATATACATTACCAACACCAATCAGTGGTAGCTTGCATTGCTTTGCTATGCGTGGCCAGAGGTTGATTGTCAAATCCATTAATTTCTTTACATCTGGATCGCTGTTCATCTCTTGCAACCATTCGGGCCCGTGTTCAGGATGTTTGTCCAAGTTGGTGAGAAACTCAGGGAAAGTACTGCTGCGAGCTCTGAACTTGATGTATCGGATCAGCTTGGATTTGCTCATTGGAAAAGGTTCATCATGGTAATGTGTGCTGTGAAACCTCTCATACGCCTTACAGGAATCAGAAATAGACATGTTGTAAAGTTTGGTTGAAACTAGAGGGAAGGGAAAAAAAAAAGTGTTGCAATGGATTGCTCCCAGGCAGACAAAAAGATAGGTGCACACCCTCCTACCTTCTACTTGATTCTGAGCTTCCGTACCATCTCGTGACTCTTTCAAAGGTGCGAAGCTTGATATCATGGATACATAGATGTAGCTTGATCATGCTCGACTTGCTTGCCCTATGGGTTTTGTCCATTTAGAGTGCTGCCTGATGGCATTGACTGCCTGGTGGTATTGACTGCATCCTTTCAAGCGAGAAAATGATGCCATTGTAGTTTGATTGGGATGGCGCCAGAATTGACATCTCTGGGCACACAAAATTCTGGTTTAGCGATATTGGAGATACCAAAGAGATCCACAGAGTACAGTAGGTGACCTTTGCTCTCAGATCACTGCAGTATATCAAACAAGGGGCCCTTCCAACGTTGTCCAAGCAATGGAGAATTGGAGAGCATGACAAGCTGAAATACAAGCAACTGACAGAATGATGTGGCATTGCATGGCGTAGGTGCTCTTGACAATACTATAACTTTGTGTATACTTGTACTATGTGCTCTAATTGTCCTGATAACTGACTCATGTATCGACTTGGTCATTCAGTTTCTGTTGACGTTACCCAATGTATATAAAAATCCTATTTGAAATTTCAGGATATGGTAGGATCAACTTGAGACGTTAAAGAGCAATCAATGAAAGGCAAACCAGATCGATCATCATTACCAAAACAAAAACAAAGAGTCATGAAGGAGTCATGCCGAAGAAGTGGCTGCACTTGACGATGCTGACCCCTTGATTTGATGTTGCTGTTAGTTGCATACTCTTCAACATATCCGTAGTCTAAGCCTCTTTTCCCAAATGTCTTTTGAACAGCAGTTTGGAACCGCACTAACAAGTATTTTTCCTATTTTAGTTTCTCTTTCATTGTTTCTCCATCACACACACAAGCATGTCAACAGTAGCAGCTCAGTCTACTACTAGCAAAGATAACAGTATACGAGTGACGAGGCCCATTGCGTCTACCAGCAAAGACACAAAATCCTACGTTCATTTTGTAGCTGGAGGGTAAACTTGCATTGTCTTATGACACACATTATGTATTGACGCATTTGCACATTTAACAGCGTCGGTGGTCTTGTTGGTGCAGTGTGTACCTCTCCACTAGATGTAGTCAAAACTCGCCTACAGGTAAGGACATGCACTGGGACACTGGAGAAAGAGACATTGTTTAACTTGGTCGTTTTGCATAGTCGACATTTTATCAACAAGGCATAGAAAAGGGCATAAAACACACAGGCTCTGTATTGGGACACTTTATCGAAACCGGCAAATTATTAGTGTATGTGTAGCGCAGTCTATATGATATAGTGTTGGCATATTCATGTGAAGGATGTAGACAAATCAAGCAAATTGAAGGATTTCAAGGTTATTTCAAGGGCCTTGGACCCAATTTAATCGGTGTAATTCCTGCTAGGTAAATTAAGGGAACCTGGCGTACGGAATAGGGATTTGAGCTAATGTCTTATAGAGCAATCAACTTTTATGCCTATGGCAATGGCAAGAAATACTACAGCGAGTTGAACTATGGCAAAGAGACAGCCATTGTACATCTGGCATCTGCTGCGACAGCTGGTAATTCTACATAATTCATGCTTGTGTTACTCGAGAACTCTAAATCCGTCCACAGGTATTATAACCTCGACAGTGACAAACCCAATTTGGGTGGTGAAAACAAGGTTGCAGTTACAAGGCAAAAAGAGAATTTATGCCAACAGTCTGGATTGTGCGTGGAGCATCTTTAGCAAGGAAGGCGTCAAAGGCCTATACAAGGGCATGAGCGCTTCCTATTTGGGTGTTGCTGAAGGCACCATTCAATGGGTCATTTACGAGAATTTAAAGAAAAGATGGGCTCATTCACCTGCTCAAATGGAGAATAAGCTGACTGTGGGAGGTAAAAGTGCTCAAGGTAAGTGATTCGTGTGAAATGCTCTACTGCAAGTCAAAGTTTAACAGTGTATCCATCAGCGTGGTTTGGCAATCTTGGAGCTGCTGCTGTGGCAAAACTAGTGGCTGCCTGTGTCGCTTATCCACATGAAGTAATCCGAACACGATTGAGAGAGCCTGTGCCAAAAAATGGCATTGTTAAATACACTGGTATATTGCAGACATTGAAATTGGTAGCTAAGGAAGAAGGTATTGTTGCATTATATGGTGGTATGTCTGCTCATTTAATGCGTGTCGTGCCTAATGCTGCTATAATGTTCTTTTGTTATGAAGCTATTTTACATAGCTTTGGTTAGAAAAATTAGAAGGACATTAAAGCTCTCTTTTGTACATACTATATATACAGTACATATATTTTCACTCTACTTATTTCATTAAACTCATAAAACAGTAAAATCAAGGTCGCCAGGCACATTTGAAACCATAAAAAGAAAGTTGAGCTTACAAGCATTTCGATGGTGAAAGCCAAGCTGCATAGCGTTATGAAATATAAAGCTGGGCATTAAATGATTTAGGATAAGTTATAGCACACGCCAATCCACACCGCCCCTCTTGTAAGCTTTCAGCAGCATCAATTGCCATCAGGATAAGTAGGGGAATCGACAATACCAGCAAACAAGCAGCCGCCAAAAATAATTTAATCTCAGATTAACGTTCTGTCCTGATTTGATCAATTTCAAACTTTTTGGATTCAATTCGACCTATTTTGCTAGATTCGACTATGTAAATTGTATGCTCGTCCTAAACGCCCTTATACTTTCTTGGAGTACTTTTCAATGCGCATTCAATGGTCCTATTTTTAATGCAAGTCTTGAACAAAACCATCGAGCAATGTCTGAAAATAAGAAATGCAGTTTTTGGCTAGAAAGTCGAGAAAATGCATATGAAGGTCGTACAAAAGTGATGTCAAGGGTTGCTTTGGATCAATAGCTTCATTTTGATTTAATATAAACCATAACAAAAGTCTTCATTTTTGAGGTGAAAAAAGCGATCGTTTGATTTTTGATAAAAATCATGAGGTATACCTCATGGTTTGAGGTCGATTTTTGGCGATGATTTTTTTGGACCAAGAAAAGTTGAGCGAAAGTGCCAGCAAGCAAGTGCTAGATGAGAGCAATAATTTGGCGCTGTTCTGAAGGCCTAAAGCGGCTTCCAACGCGAGAAATCACTGCTCAAATGCATCGAAATCTTGGCTGTGTTTAGCATACGTTTGAGTAGTAAGAAGTAATGCAAATATGCTGTCCGCCTCTATAACGATTATTTTCATTGATACGGACGTGGAGCATTGTAGGAGAGTTAGACCCGTAGTTTTGGAGACTTTTTACGCGATGGTGGAAAGGTAAAACTATATAGAGATGAACGAAGCAAATTGGCAGTGCAAGCCGCTACCGTGTAAATTAGCCCTTATCAAAGCGAAGCAAAGGTAGAGAATCAGCCGAAGCGTGCATAGAGGCACTCGTCTGTAATAAAAGTCTTGGTTCACTTGAATGTATTGTTGTATTAGCTTCTTCAACCTGTTGGCTGTAGTATACAGTATATTGCTTTTCATGGTCCGTCTGAATTGTTTTGTACATTACACATCTCATCTCGTCAGAAAACTAAGCATACCAAGTAGCTAACTTTAAAAGAGATGCTATGATACGCATTCAATTATACCCTCAAAAGTACTTGACATTTCTATACCAACTGAATGGATCTACACACATTGACATGACTATAATTAGTTTGCACGAAGCAGGTTGGATTTCCTTATCTGACTTGATGTACGGGGATTGGAAATGTTTATATTTATATCATTTCAAATTACCATTTCAACTAGAAATTTGACTTGAAATTTCCGTTCTTGTTCTTCCTCTATCTCTTTTTTGCATCACTCAACTGAACGAAATGACTCAATTCCCTCCACTTCCGCCTCCACCTCCAGCACCAGCATCCAAAAAGATGCATCCTCCACCACCTCCACCTACGTCTGATTTCAGAACAGCAGTAATCAAGAATCATTGGGTAACTATAGCCAATTGTATCCAACAAGTAACTTGTATTGACCGCCATGCATCCTTAGAATGATCCACCCAAGAAGGTAAAATAGAGTCAAATCGCAAGCCTCACCGTCTCACTGGGATGATGTGATTAGATCTTCCACAAAAATGCAGATGATGAGGATGTCACATTAGATGTTCAAGAAGTCTCCAAGACACTATCGAACAAGCTCGAGCTTTGCAAGACAACATTCGAGGTAAATTTGTTGCATTGACGCTTATCGTGATGTATGCTAAGATTGCTGCAGTCTGGACCACAAAAACGAATTGTGGATGATACGAGTCGTAGAATTGGCACTTTGTTGGAAGAATTAGAAAAGAAAGAGCTATCAAACGATGTGGTGAAATCACTCCACACACTAACCAATGGTAAGTTAAAAAAAGCTGACGGGAGATGCGCACAGTGTGGTTCATGTCTGTATTGACTATGTGTAGCACTGGAGGCAAAAGAATATACAAAGGCACTGGAGGTACATACACAACTCATGACAACTCAGTATGAAAGCCATGGAAATTGGATTGTGGGGTTGAAGCGACTTGTAGACCTCACAGAAAAGGCATCGGTTTAATAGAGTAGATATTTCGTTTGTCGGATTTGCCGAAAGAGATTTTGTATTCTTTTAGTATGCAATAAATGTGGATGATGGCAGACTCCTTGTTCAATATGCTTTATCAGTGGCACTACTTCACGAGCAGTTCCTAAACAACACTTTGCTTTAAGTGGAGATAAAAAGTCTGTGTGTTGTGGATCAAATCAACATATTGATGGCGATGTACTGGTTGCAACTGCCAGCGAAAGACGAGGATATAGGATCCCGTGTGTTTTTCTGCGATCTGGCCTTGTTAAAAACGGTCCTTGAAAGGGGATAATCAACGCTGTCTAGTATATGATGTACTAGCCGATCTATCTCGCTACGCTCGATGTCGGCGTCGCCCTGTGGGCTCTCGCCAAAGATATTTTAAATCAAATATAATAGAATTTTGGTATATCAAGTAGATTTTAAACAATTCATTATTAGTAAAAAAAAAAAAAAAAAAAAAAAGAAAGTTATATTAGAGCCACTAGGAGGAGGAGAGGAGGTATCTCCCTCGGTATTCTTTTTGCTTACAATGATATCAAACGAAGCCTACTATTGGGACAATGTGAAAGACAATTCAAATTTTATGCAGCATTTGTACATCACAATCGTTATTTTCTGATAATAGAATTGTGATATCATTCGCTGCTGCTGATGCTCTTAATAAGATAGCTACATAAAGCTGGTCATACGTAAATACAGAACATGTGTAGGATCTATAGCGACTTTTTTTGAGCTATTGTCATTGCAAAAGACACATTCATGAGACAAAGCTCCCCAAAAAAAAAGTATTTGCGCTAAGCAATTGTCCTTTCAACTCCATGATCCGCATTTAATCAGCATCGCAATCATCATTGTCATCAATAGAAAGGCATTTAGGTCAGCCAGCAGCAGCCAATTTGATTCAAATTCCGTTTTTTTTTTCTGTTCAAGATTGGACAGATTTTGTCTTTTTTCGACTTCTTTAATTTACTTTATGATATTCGACTATATAAACTGTGATGATCATTCAATGCTTCCTAATACATTCTTGAAGTACTTTTCAAGGCGCTTCCAATGGTACTAAGTAAAGTAGATATTCTTGAATAAATTTATTGAGTAATTTATGAAAATATGAAAAAGTGGTTTTTAGCGAAAATAGCCATATTTTGCATATGAACACCTCATAAAAGTGGTTTCAGAGGTTGCTTTGGATCGAGAGAAACATTTGATGTAATACATACCATAGTAAGTGTCTTCAGTTTCAAGGCGAAAAACGCGATCGTTTGATTTTCGATGAAAACTATGAGGGGTACCTCATGGTTTTTTGGTCGATTTTTGGCCATGTTTTTTTTTGGCCCAAAAAAGTTGAGCAAAGGTATCAGGAAGTTACTACTACTCAAGTACAATTGTTTGGCATCATTCCGGTGGCTCAGAAAAGTCTACATGTTAAGATATGAAGGCTTGAAAGCTGTCAAATTTAGTTATGTATTGCTTTATAGAGTTTATTTACACGGCATAAATCACATCTCTGGTAGCTGCAATTTACTAGGAAGGCAGTTCGGTAGCTTGAGCAATTCTTTATTCGAATAAAAGTCATATTGTTTTTGGTGAAGCTGATCCATGCAAACTTTGATGCGCTACGTTGCTCGTAAGCTTATTAATAAAGGAAATGAGAAATCGAATTTGCTGCTTAGATACTATGGTTTTGAATGTTTTACAGCATATATAATGAATGTTTTGATGAGCAGAAGGCTATTTTGGTATGCTAGGTACGCTTTTCTGTGCAGCGTGGGTGCATCAAGTATTCTCACTTGACTTAGAATGACCTGATCCACTACATCATACTTTAGGCAGCCAAACTTTGAGATTCAATGTAATGAAATCCTATTTAGCGCTGATATTACGAGAATATTATCCAGGACAGACAGCAAAAACCAAGCCATTGTCATAATCTACTTGTATATAATAAACGGGTGCTTTGACAAGCGATTAATGATAATTTTAGGTACCAAGATTGTTGGTTGATTGCAGAATTTGCATGTAGAGGTCAGAGATGTCGGAGTGATACAATGCTCCCATCAATCAATGTCCTCAATGATGTGCTCTTCAACAAAACGTAGCTATCAGGTATTGGATAGCCAAAGCTTCATTTAAAGATCGCAATGGAGTAGTATCATCCATCTCTTGATTACTCAAGGCCCTCGCTGTGCTATAGCATTGCAATCCATATCTTAATACTGCGTCGTATCCTGTGACTATTATTACAACCAAACCTGTCTAAATACTTGTTGCAGGAAGAAGCAAAAGATTTTTTTGTTTCCTTTACAACACATTCCTTTAGCAACAATGTCAGCAGAGAAACCAGTCTGTGCTTCTATCGAGTGTAAAAACGAAGCCCATTTGCAATGTCCCACTTGTGTCAAGTTGGGCAAGAATGAGGGCTCCTTCTTTTGTTCTCAAGATTGTTTCAAAAAGAGTTGGGTAAGTAATGTCCATCATTGCTTCCAGTGTCTGTCATTAATACAGCAGGAAACAGGGATCGCATAAAGCAGTTCATGGAAACACAAAGTGTAAATATAGTTAACGAGATGCAGCAATCAATGATGCTAATGTTAGTTGGAAACTTATAGCTCCCTATGATCCTTTCAAGACATTCAAGTACACCGGCCCTCTTCGTGCTGTGTATCCTCTCTCTCCTCGTCGTCAAGTACCTGCCGAGATTGCTAGACCTGATTATTCAGAGACTGGTAATTGAATCTGCTCTAATCTTGTTAGGCTATGTAGTAACTTTGCATGATGACAGGTATCTCCAAGTCTGAATACATGGCCAGAAGCTCTGACATCAAGGTGTGCAATGCTGAAGAAATCGAAGGTATCAGAAAGGCCTGTGCTGTAAGTGATTCAAATGGAAGCTTATGAATAGCAGTAATTAACCAGAGATCTTTAAGATCACCCGTGAGGTACTTGAAATTGCTGCTAATTCTATCCGTGTTGGTATGACAACTGATGAGCTTGGTAAGTCAAAATTAAGGTACAACACTTTCAACCAGCATATTGAGTGTCCGTCTTTCATTAGATGCTATCGTTCATGAAGCTACTATTAAGCGCGGTGCTTATCCTTCTCCATTAAACTACAACTACTTTCCCAAGTCTTGTTGCACGTAAGTTTTTTCAATATGTGTTTATTGCGCATTTTACTAACATTGCATCGTGACCATAGATCTTTGAACGAAGGTTAGATTTTGATGCATAACATCCCCCTTTTCCCAACATTGAATTAACGCTCTTTTCCCACATCATAGTCATTTGCCACGGTATTCCTGATCAAAGACCTTTGGAAGATGGCGATATCCTCAACATTGATATCAGTTGTTTCTACAATGGTTTCCATGGTGATACCAATGGTACTTACTTTGTCGGTAATGTCGATGAAGCTGGCAAAAAATTAGTCAACGTTACCCGTGAATGTTTGGAGAAGGCCATCGCTCTTGGTAAACATGCCCTTGTTCATCACCCACTTATTGCTATATACTCACACCTCACCCTCTAAATAGTCAAGCCTGGTATGAGATATCGTGATTTCGGTAAGGTCATTGAAGAACATGCCACCAAGAACGGCTTCTCTGTTGTTCGCGCTTTTGTTGGCCACGGTATAAACCAAATGTTCCACTGTGCTCCTAATGTTCCTCATTACGCCAGTAAGTTTTTGTCCTTTTCCGTGGTGCTACTTGAGATTCCATGATGATTCACACAGCATTTTCTTTTTAGACAACAAGGCTATTGGTGTTTGTAAGCCTGGCCATGTATTCACAATCGAACCTATGATTTGTGAAGGCGTTCATCAAGAGCTTTTGTGGTAAGTTGATTTTGGCAACTCTAGTAACGGAAACGATATTTACGTGAACAAATACTTAGGCCTGATGGCTGGACCGCTACCACCAAGGATGGCAAACGTTCTGCTCAATTTGAGCATACTCTTCTTGTCACAGAGGATGGTGTTGAAATCTTGACCTAAGTTTGATGTACCTTTCTTTTCCTCTCTCTTTTTGCACCGTTTATATAATGGTATTCATTTTTAGACATGTAACTTTATTATATAGATTGCCAATACTATTTGATAAAAAAAGCCGATGGGGATTTCAAGGAGCAGGGCGTTTTTGTTGATGTTTAACAAATCGGAGCATGTGAATTGAATAAAAATGCCAAGAGTACCTTGTCTTGATGTGTGGATCGGTCGTTCCTGAAGCGCACCTCATGAAATGTAACTAATTTAGAGTGGCGCGCTTGTATTTTTACATGTATATTTGTTGATATTTCGCTTGTGCAATGAGAAAATACACTAAGCATCAGGTACCATGAAGTAATTGATGTCTGGGTTGATCTTCTTGCTGTCGTTGACTGTTGCCCTTCATCTAGGCTTAAAGCTTATATTTAGCTTCTTGCTCTTTTTTACCTTATTTGTATGTAAAAGCGAACTAACCTTAATTTCAAATTGAACGGGTGATTTACCGAGTTCGAAAGATCCTTTACATGAAACTGTACAATAAGGTACCTGTGCATAGTAAATAAATAAACACCCATATAAGCTCCCACCCTGCTCATCGAGCATCCCTACCTCGTCTGGTATATACATTTTCGCGACACTGTATGATGGATTTTCGACGTGTAAAGTATAGGCTTACCACTTGCCTTTGTAATACCTTCTAGGTTTATACAAATTAATTGAATAGAGAGCGCCATTTGAATCAACGATCATGGATTGACCATACTGAAAAGGAAAAATAGCTTAAATTGAAGCCGCATAAGATTCATTTCATAGTGTAACCATCACGAGAATTTGATGTACCTGTATATTATGCGTATCATAAATGTTTATCATTTCAACCCCATCAAACAACGCTAAAGTAATCGACATCGCTTTTAGCCACTTTCTCACTCGGATCAATGATGAAAAAAGGAAACCAAATTTGCACTGATAAAGATTGCAAAAAGATATAAAAAGGGCCACTTTTTGCCACTCAAATCTAACTTTACCAAATCAAATTATTTCACTCTTAAACATGTCCAACTACCACGAAGAAGCTTACAACAAGATCACTGCCACTGAAGTTGTTACCGAAGAACATCAAGCCGAATGGACCCACGAACTCCTCGGTGGTGCTGCTGCTTTCGGTGCCATGGCCATGTACAACAAGAAGCAAGAAGAAGAGGGTACTCCCGTTGACCACGCTATGGCCAAGAACCTCCTCGCTGGTCTTGCTGGTGCTGCCGTTGATAGACTCGTTGAGACCAAGGGTTTGGACTGGTTCGACAGACAAAAGGCCAAGAAGCACGCCGAAGAAGAGGCCCAAAAGTTGTACACTCAACAAACCGGTTACGAATTCTAAATCTAGCAGTAATCTCTGCCCTTATACATATACTCCATCTGAAAATTCCCCAATTTTTATTATAAATAAAATTGTTTAAATACTGTATCATTTCAAAAAAAAATGTCTTTAATTGAGTTGTATGTAATTGGAGTACATCAAATGCAAGTGGTTCCGCTGGTGAGCAAGGTGAGTTGATGCTTGACCAAGGTGAGTATATTGTGCGGGTTACTGTGGTATGCGTTGTAATGTGGATATTTGTGGGTTAACTGCTATGTTTTTGTGTGCCTGCAAATGCCAGCAAGACTAGTACGCGACTGCACCATCTTCCAAACAACAACTCATATCCGGAACATCATACATCTGACTCTGTGAGATGTCGCTTTGCAAATCACAATCTGTATACAAAAGATGCCATTTTTCCGTAAATTAAATGCTGCTCACGCCTGATTCATTTAGCAGTTTGTGCTCAAATTATCTTTCTCGGTTGTCTGATATCTACAGTTATCAAAGGATTTCACAAACAAACGTCGAAAAGCTATTATGCGAGGACTGTTGACCGTCAAAACGCGTAAATCATTCATTGAAAAAAAGTTTGTATAGTATGGTATGGAGAGTACAGCCAGATGGATCGAACTTTGCAATTTTGGAAAGTTCTCGCACGAGTTTGGATGAGGGATTTTCAATGGCTGCTTGCTATACGATGAAGAGGATAGCAGAGCGACGCCACTTGAAACGGTGAGAATGCAGATTCCCTGAAACCAATTTAAGGACATCTTTTGTAATCATGATAAAGATTGTAGAAATTAGACTTATTACGAACTATAGACTATGATGCTATAAAGCGTCAAAGGCTTCATAGCATATATATGCTTATCAGAGGTGTAGAATATGCATCGAGATGTTCTTCTCGACGCACCAATGACATTTTAATACCTATATAATCCACATGTGCAGTGATTGGCATACATGATTGGCATACATGATTGAATAAAATGTAATGAACATTTAAATTCAAAAGAGGCTTATATGTGTGTCTGTTTTATAGCAGCCTTATAGATTGAACATGGTTGATTTATTTTTACTTTTTTTTTTTTTTTTTTTTTTTTTTTTTTTTTTTGAAGTCTCGCCACTATGGATAACTTTAAGGTCAAGTCAGTGACAAGTGCAGCCTTGCCCTGACCAGAATCAAGCGAAATCCTGAAAAAGCCAAATCAATGCTAGCTTTGGCGCAGCTTAATGTATTGCTTTTAAGGCGGGAATAATTTATGATGCACACTTACGCTGTGCCCTGATCTCACCTGTGGACGAATCAAGTGGTGCCATACGCATCTTTGTTATGCAAATAGAAGAAATGCTTATTTTTTATTAAATAGCCCTTTTTGCAACCACTTTGGAATAGGCTTTGAAGTAGATGAAGAAGATTTCGAAGATTTAGAATCAGAATTAGATGAGGATGTAGTAGGTACATTAGATGATGTTTGAGGAGATGCAGTTGGCGTCAAATCTTGCTTCATGGCAAGATACTCTTCTTTTAAATCGTTGCCTGCTAAAGTAGATCTTAGTACCAGCCAAACCCACTCTTGCGAACAGCACTACAATACCTTTCTCTCCCTTTTCAATCCAACCAAACAAGACATTGGAAGCGGGTGATAATCCAGCCTTGAATAGAGTGATTGTTGGTTCTACAAGTTTTGTTCTTGGTGGTAAGCAGAGCACAAATTTACGTTCAGGTGTCTCTAACAAGGATCGCACAAAGTCATACACAGCAGAGACTACCGCACATATCAGCCCAAAAAGCCCTTCCTTTCATCAAAAATCTCGTCATTACCTCTCTCCTTGGATTGAAAAACTGCTTGCACAATAGTGTGGTCAGGCATTCGAACACGAATTGTTGTTTTGGGGTATTTCTTCAACTTTTCCTGGTCCTCGCTATCTCTCATCTTTTGAGTCTTCAAAGGTCTGTGTTGGATTCCAGTGTAATCAGTACAATCAAGGCCACCATGATCCAAAGTAGTTTTACCTGTTTTCAAGATTTTGTCGACGTTCTACCGTTGATTGATACAGCTGCTTGATTTCATTTGAGTCTAATTTGTAAGCTGATTCTGGTAATTCGGCTGCCATTTTAGAACAAAAAATTAGCCAGTGTCTTGACAACGAGCAAGTCATCACTTACGGATAGAAGCCCCATTCTTGGGAGGACTCAGGATTTTGAGTTCTCTATCGAATGGTTGTGTTGCTGTTTCTATAGAGGATGTCATGCTTATTGAGAAATGAAGGAGAGAAGAAGAAAGAAAGAAAGGCACACGTATGCTTCTCGCAGCTTCTCAAGGGGCCAAAAAGATTGAACGCTGAGATTGAACAAACGGCGTGGCGTGCAAGCTTCATTGCTTGACATCTTTTTTATTGATAAAGGTATTATTAGACATGAAACCAAGTACGCAGGAGTGATTTACAACTGGGAGGCATGCACTTTCGAGAATGCAATTGCACTGTACTCTTTCTCCTCGGGATTTCGCTCAACAAATTGAGTCATTATTTTAGCAGTGGACTAGAAAGTAATCAGTGTTGAGCATTACGAAATGCGTGATCTATCCACATTTGGTATATACCTCTATGAAATTCGAGCATTTTCCATGATTAATAGGAAATGAGCGACGTCCATCTAATTCATACAAGTGTTTATCAACCTCCACAAAGCAAATGAAATGAAGACGAAGTTGTTCGGTAATGTCAGGTGCCTGAGAGCATGTCTTTAGCATGAGATACTACAGGATGATGGCATTGTACATTACCTCTGTCTGCCCTTCGTGAGCACCACTTGCATGGATCTGCGCCAATTCAGCACAGTTTTCCAAGTATTCAGCTCTTTCTTCAGGTGACATGGAACTTGTTGCCTGGAGTATGGTTTGAAATACACCAGGCCCTATTCAAATGACATGTACGTAACATGCGATAGTCAATGCGCCTCTCCATAAACATGATATCATGTCAATACTTACCAACTACAAGGTGGTTGTTGTTGGCAATTGAATGGAGAAGTGCCATCATTCCACAGGCATTTGAAATGGTTTGCTTGTAATAAATAAGGTTAGGGCTAATATTCTGTTCGTGCACTTTCAGATGCGTTTCCTCTTTTTCCCTAAATTCTTCATAGGCATCAGTTATAGGAAACAGGAATATGATTGCAGCCACTGGTTGGGGTATCATAGCAAGCGATTCTGCATCAAATCCTGCAAGCGTCATGTTAGTCAAGGACGCAATATATCTCATTCTCAATCTCTATGAATACCATAGACATCAGTGAAACTCCAGCCTGGGTCAACACCATTGTTGTGGATAATCTAGCCAAGCTGTATGATAAGTACAAGTAATAGGCTTCTGTTGTATTGGTATTTACTTTATTCCAGACCTAAATTCAGGCATTTGCTTTTATGAGCCTGTTGATCTATTTTGTAATTGCTTGTAGTAACTTACATCTGGATTGGCCTCCAAAGGTAGCCACTTGATATTTTTTTTCATGACAACGTCTTCGTCCTGCTCTAATGGCACTTGAGGCTCTTCGCTGATAAGAATATCTTGCTCTGCAGTCATTTAAGTGGTATGTTTGGTAACAGAAAGAAGGATAATAGGAAATCCAGATTGGACCTAGATGTATTTTATATAGAAAGAAATCAATTATTATGGAAATGACGTATATCGCATGTGTGTATATAGTATATGTATTCCATATTCTATATTCTGGAGAAATGTAACTGTCTTCATTCTTGCAGGATTGCCTACATTCGATCCAAATGTACGTATTTGCTGCTCAAGATATTGTATTGGTATGAGCGTAGAACGTAAAGAGAGCCACTGTGTATAGACTATTTTTGAACCTTCTAGTAGTTCGAATGAAATACATTGCTACTCTACTTTTGTCATGAATGAGGCAAAATTATACTAAATCAGCTTAGTGCATGTGCTACCAACAAAGCAAGTGAACTACAGTCTAACTACGAGCTATGAATAACGCTCATTGGAAGCTTTTCGCCACCAAATTTGTAGTTATGATGGGTATCTTGGAAACCTGCTTGAGCCATGACGCCTCAGGCGAAGGTTAGCTGCGGTTATTGCAGTAGGTGTGCAGATGATGAGCATAGGTAAGTCTAATATCGCATGCTGTGGCCATATACATGAAAGTTGCAACAACAAACAATGCCACAGAAAAAGTACAGAGACAGAAGATGTCTTGCTAACAGCAGCTTTTCTTTTTATTCGAGCAGACAGGCTGCAGATGTTCAAGATTGATATCCGTTCTAGTTTTAAGTTTTAGAAGTAATTGATAGTTTATAATGATAGACTTTTGACAAGAGTACATGATATTCATTTTTTGCAATAGCTAGTAATGATCAAGCGTCTATATTAACAGCACTTCAAAGGGCAATGAATGAGCGCAATGGAACAAATCATTGTCATGATAAAACAATGAACGAGTGCCATCATTACTAGACAGAAAAGATGATAATAAGCCAATGCAACAATAATGAAGAAAGAACTATGAAACATCTGTAATAGGAATTTATCGTTGTTCATTTAACAGCTATCTTAAAACCTCCTTGAAATGACATTAGATGGCAGTTTAATGAAGCATCTTAGGGTGCATCAAACAAATATTTTAGAAGACTATTAAAGTTTTACCTAATAAGCCAGTTCAAAGACTCATTGAAACAGCCCATGAAACGGCCAGTTCAGGTTCATCTTATGTTGATTTCAGGGCCGTTTCAGGGTCATTTTGGAGTAACCAAAAGGATACAGTAGGAAGCTCCGGAGATATCGAACGGCTTTACTGCAGGATAGCGCGTATATTATTGTTAAAGCTTCTGAACGTTAACTGGATTCAATTCAGCAGCATTGGAACAGCAGCCATTGCAACTATTCTGAATAGGAAAGCAAAATTTAGTCAATAGACAAGAAGCCTGGCTGAATTGACAAATGTACCAGTAATAGTGTTGAAACAAGGGGTGTTCTTTTATATATTGGCTACTTTATACTTTGCTCGCCTGATTATTTAACAACCAATGTGTAGTAGCGACTGAAGATTCCTTCATCTGTTTGCAAACATCTCAGAGTAGGCGTATAATTGTTCTGATATCAAGTCTCTAGCATCAATATGGGGCATGAAAAAGCAACCCCCTCCTTCCTCCTTCCCTCCTTTTGCTTAAATACACAACACAGCTTCAAGCCCTTTGCCAAATCACACCAAAACGAGATATCACCAAGCGGTTTTCAATATACAACAACGTTTCCCAACACCTAATCCATCTATCCATGGCTCGTCATCATTTAAAATTATTAACATCATCTTGCAAATAATAGGTTTCATCATATCTACTTTGCTCATCAAAATTGTCTTGCTTCAAGACAAAAAAATCATTCATCTCTCAATAGCAACTCGCCATCCTCCAATCTTAAATCCAACAACTACACTATCCTTTTCTTCCTCGCAAATTTTCCCTACAAGAACTTGCCAATTTCAATCCAAATTTCAAAATCGAATTTCAAAACTCGATTTTGGAAGGCCCAAACCTCAAAGCCGAAAGCGCTTATATACATCCAGAATCTTTGTTGATATGAGGCAGAAGTTGGCAAACCTTGAAATTGACACCACATATTGTAAATCAATGATAAAAGGCACATGTTTGACGAAGCATTTGGTACTGCTGGGAGGATCTAGTACCGAGCGTACTACTCTACCTATAATATAAAAATAACTTTCCTCACGTTATAAATCCAATAAACATCTCTCACATAAAGCTGTGTAATGGATGCCAGATTTAATAATTATTGCACCTTATGTTATTTTGAATAAAGAAAAATTTAAATTGTAACAGTTTAGACACACTTTTATTACAAACACACTATAATGTTAAATGACAGATCAATAGGAGATTAACTAGTTGTAACCCTTCGTTGTTCCAACCTCTTAGCCAATCAGATTGCTTGAAAACTCCGCTGACCTAAAAAAAATTTTGCGAGGGTTTCCCCCGGTTTTGATGTGAGGCAAAATTTTAAGCGCCGTTATAATAGCAATATAGCCGCTGCTATCATCAAACTTCCCTCAGGTGCTAGAGCATGCCTTACTTACACCACCTAGCTTTAAATACTGGCATTGAGGCCCTCAATCATCACTAAAGTAAGTAGCGATAACCAAGTGGAGGCAGCCTATCCACCTCCTAGCCTCGGATAGAGTCTTGTTGAGCTTCAGCGATAGGCACATCCACGCAACGTAAAAAAAGGTATGCTTCAAAGAAACATAATAATAATAAAAGAAGCGAACATAATAATACTATAGAAGTATAGTACGTTATGAATAAAACATTAAAAATGTTCACGTTATTATATTCTTGTTATTGCAACAAAGATATATACATGAGCAATGTGCATGATAACAGTCTGATGATGTAAAAGAACACAAATGCGCACAATTGCAGGAGCAACAGTTGTTGAGGATATAGATCATCTCTGAGAGGCAAATGTATTAGGCGTCGTATATTACATAAGAGGATCTGAGAATGAGCTGAGATGCATAGTAGAAGTGAGAGGTCTTTATTCAAGCAGCACGAAGGAACATGAGTGGTGCCATCAAATGGCTAATCTATATCCTGGTTCCTAGAGAGTGGTAGCCTATGGCCTTTCGTCCCTGGAAGTGGGTTTCAATTCCGACAAATGTTCTTCCGTCAAAGCTATTAGGAAGAACATTCTATCCTGGATCATCTTTGTTGTTTATCCTTGACTGGCGGTTCATGAGTTCTGATGCAGCACATCCTCGTTACTGGTTCAAGGCTTATACAATTATCCCGCATTCAAGATCAAGGTCCTATTGCTGCGGCACTGTCAAATAACTATAAATACCTTTGATATCTACACTAGTTTTGATCCCTATTCAATCTTGGAATAACATAATAAATATATTCAGTTCTAATTGTATTTACTCTGTCTATATTTCGTTATTCTAAACAACAGTAGCAGCAGTATAAGTGTTGTAATACAACATGAAGACCAATGTTGTTTTCATGTGAAGCGACAGAGGCAACACAAACAACAATCCACAGCCATATAACATAGTATCACAAGAAGGGTAATACAATCATATAGCAGTGTGTCATGCTTGCTATTCGTAAATACGAAGCAACAACATTGCAAGTATTTGTTGAACTGATCATATCACAGCCAACAAAAAAGAAAGAAAAGGCAATAAAGCAAACAGCATGAATGCATTATCGCGGGAAAGGAAGCAGTAGTACAAACGTTCAAAGAAGTTTATATCATTGCGACCGCAAGAAAAAAAGGATACTTACCACTTCTTACCACAGCATCACAACCAGAGATAGACCAGAGAACCAGCATACATCAAAGACAACAGACCATAGGATAAGCAAACACCAGAGAAGAACCACCGAAGCAACGATATACCATCAAAGCAGCCACCGCCAAGTGTGCAGCCAGTGCACAGCAAAAGATCAGAAATAGATCCCTAGTAGAGTTATTCCAAGTAAAACCGCGGTATAAAACGCGTTAACATTGTATCTTACGTCTATTGCACAACTGTCAATTATACTTGCTTCAATTCTATTCACAAAGGTAGCATTGTTTCATGAGTAGAGAGCTTGCGAAGTATAGTATATATACATATATATACATAAAGACGAAAAAAAAAAGGAAAAAAAAATGCTAATAAAAGGCTGAGGCTAAAAGACGTCACTGTTATCAATGTACCGCAAGGTAAGTATTAGAATTTGATAGCTTGCTACAAGGCAGCAAAGCAAGATATGAATTAGCAATTTTCACCATGAGGTTCGCCAACACCTTATCTATTAGTCCGTTACATGTAATTAAGAGGTTATATTTGACAAGGGTAGCGAATTTACGCTTGAATTGAGCTACATACTAAGAAAAAAAAAGGCGGTATTTTAAACTATCAATAGCCCAGCCTCCATAATACTCAAAATGAGGATTCATGGATTTCTGAAATCGTTCATCCTTAATATCATGCGATTCTGATAACAACATTGCTTTCCAGCTAAATAAAACTTGGGGAAGAAATTAAAGGAGAATCTAATGATACCAATTTTAAGTATTTTGGCCAACTTTATTAGGCTGGTTTTTCATAGAATAGTTATTGCGGCTTTTTTTTATTGTTTTTGGCAGATTACCAGGTTTCTGTCATCAAAGTTTTACTTGAAATACTTATCATAGTGTAGAACAGACAAGAACCTATCGAATGAGCTCTTAGTCAAAGAACTAGCATGATTTTATCATGAGATACCAACAGTTTTGTATCTCAAAGAAATTGTCATCCGGATTTTTGCCTTGCTACTATAGGCAAATTCTGGCCAAAAATCAGTGATTTTTCACGAGGAAATTTTTGGTCATATCTCGTGAAAGACGCATCGTATTTAGATGAAACAAAGATCATTTAGTAGCTCTACTTTGGGTCTATTATGCTATAAGAGCTTTAAATTCCAAATGTACGCTCTCTTTATGATTTTGCTCAAAATCCTGTATTTTACGACCTTTAGGCAGAAATGCTGGGCAAAGATTCCGAATAGATT